TCTAAATTTATTTTTTTACACATTTGATTGGTAGTAGAAAAAATTTTGTATGCAATACGTGTGTAAAGCACCTTTTTTCACTCATGTGAAGCCTTCGGCTCGTGCGTTAAGATTCACATTCGTAAAAAAAGGTTCACTTTACACACTTGTTGCATAAATAACTATTTTCGAATAAATGCGATACGTCATAGGTTTTGAGACATCAGAAGCTCTTAAAATCTAGAATAAAAAATCCAAGGTCGTATTTAAAAAAATAAAGTTGATGGTGGCCCAAAAATGAAACGTCAGATTTTAAATTTGATGATGGCATCTTGTAGAGGAGAAAAAGTGGCAACGATGAAATGCCATTCATTTTGAAATATCTCTTCAAATAAGGTCAGGAAAAAATAAAATCATTTTGGGCGAATTTCGGTTTTTTCGGGATATCTTCGGTAGCACTCGGAATTTCCAAAATATCAAAGCGCCATTTTAATGAGCACAAATTTTTAGCGACCTCGTATCTCTTACCCTTTCCCAGATCCCTATACAGGCCCTCCTATCTTGGACATATTGTATACCGCATAAATAATTATTTGAGAAATCAAAAGAAAAAAAATTGACAGGTTTCAAATGTCAAAATCGATTTTGACAGAATAAGACGTCAGCTATCGAACGCACTTTATCTCAAATTTTTCTCTCTCCTTGTCATTTTTTTCGGGGAAAACATAGACAAAATGACAGCTGTCAAATTTTTTGACAGGTCCAAAAAAATTTATGCATTTTTTTACATATCTATCACATAAATTATTCGAAAACTTAAAAGAAAAAAATTTGACAGGTGTCAAATCTCAAAATCGATTTGGACAGAATAAGACGTCAGCTATCGAACGCACTTTATTTCGAATTTTTCTGTTATCTCTTTATCACTTTTTTCAGGGAAAACATAGATAAAATGACACCTGTCAAATTTTTTGACAGTTGCAAAAAAAGGACCCCGCAATATTTAAATGGAAATTGGTTACCCGTGATATTTGGATGAAATTTAAATATGTCATTGGGGATGCCGTAAGCAACATTTTTTACCATGGGCACAACCCTGTATATATGACAGGTGAGACGTGGTTAGCTGTCAAATATTGGAATCTTATATCCAAAACAAGAGTGACTATGGCAGATTTTGATGATCGAAGTATCGATGTCTACTAAGTCGACCAAGTCAAGTCGAAAAATGTCAACCATTTTGAAACCTGTCAAAACCCTGCCAAACGGCAGCATCTTTTCCCGTTTTCAATATTTTATGATGTCATTTGATATTTTTAACTTGTACCTATGTAAATTCTGAATTCGAAAATTGGAAAAAAAAATGACAGAACTGTCAAAACCTGTCATTTGTTTTAGTAGAAAAAAAATACTCTAATCTGGTTCTTTTTTGTTTCAAGGTAGTTTAGCGGTGATAAAACATTAAACAAAGTTCATGCATGTCACATTTTGACAACTGTCAGAATCTGTTAATAGATTTTTGGTTCATATTGAGTTTGTTCGCTTAGTGAAGGTTTAGTTCTATTGTATTATTGTATTATTCTATCATTATAGTTGTAGAACTTCACTAAACAAACAAACTCAATATGAACCAAAAAGCAAAAACAGATTCTGACAGTTGTCAAAATGTGACATGCATGATCTTTGTTTGATGTTTTATCACCAATAAACTACCTTGAAACAAAAAAGAATCAGATTGGAGTATTTTTTTCTACTAAAACAAATGACAGGTTTTGACAGTTCTGTCTTTTTTTTTTTCAATTTTGAATTCAGAATTTACATACAAGTTAAAAGTGTCAAATGACATCATGAAATATTGAAAACTGGAAAAGATGAGTGCCGCCGTTTGACAGGGTTTTGGCAGGTGTCAAAATGGTTGACATTTTTCGACTTAACTTGGTCGACTTAGTAGAAATAGATTTTTTGTTCATCAAAATCTGCCATAGTTACTCTGCTTTTGGATATAAGATTCCAATATTTGACAGCTAACCGCGCCTCACCTGTCATATATACAGGGTTGTGCCCATGGTAAAAAATGTTGCTTACGGCATCCCCAATAACATATTTAAATTTCATCCAAATATCACGGGTAACCAATTTCCATTTAAATATTGCGGGGTCCTTTAAACATTTTTTTTCATAGATATCGCATAAATTATTCGAAAAACTAAAAGAAAAAAATTTGACAGGTGTCAAATATCAAAATCGATTTCGACAGAATAAGACGTCAGCTATCAAACACACTTTGTTTCGAATTTTTCTGACATCTCCTTGTCAGTTTTTTCGGGGAAAACATAAACAAAATGACACCTGTCAATTTTTTTCTCAAAACCAAACTTATAGCTATTAAAGATATCGGCGAGATTTACAAACCTGGTTTCAACCGGCTACGATTTTCTGAAAAAATCAAGTTTGAAAATTTTAAAGAATTTTCCATCGAATCTTGACTTTGAAGCCCTGCCTCTCATAAACAATTTCAGCGATCAACTTGATTTTGATCGAAATGACAGCTGACAGGTAGTTTTACATGTGCTTTCGAAAGAGTGGCATTCTGGAATAAAATACCGCATAAGCTGGTGGAGGATTTTTAAATAACAAAATTTTAAAAAATTCCAAAAATTTCTAATAAATTTTTTTTTTGACAGATGTCAAATGTCGAATTTGATATCGACAAGGGCGGGTATTATAAAACTTATTTTGACAGAATAACTAAAAGTTAACTTCTGTAATGACGTTACTTCTCTTGTAATTCCAGAAGCTAACTTTTAGTTATCTGTCAAAATAGTTTTATAATACTCGTCCTAAGTGGACTGTCAGGAATCGAACCCACTTTATCTCGAATTTTTCTGACATCTCCTTGTCACTTTTTCCGGGGATAAAATAGTCAAAATGACAGCTGTCAAATTTTTTTGACATGTGCAAAAAGTTGTAATTTTTTTTTTACATAGGTATTGAAATTTTGGAGATAAGTAAGGTTTTGGAAATACGAGCTGTTTCTTGGATTATTTTGGGATATTTGTCGAATGGCGTTTCTGATTGGTAAAATGAGTGCAAAAAAATGAATGTCTCTGTTTCTTCAACAGGCTGAGAGAAAGAGATGGAAATACTCTCAGTGCGAATTAAATCTACCAATCGGAAACGCTATTAGGACTAATATCCAAAATCCAATTTAACAGAAACCTGCTTGTATATTCTTATCTACTAAGGGCCGAATTATGGACTGACTGGTAAACGTCTGGTTGTTACCTAGCAGGTACTTTCTATGCACAAGAGAATAGAAGGTACCTGCTAGGTAACAACCAGACACTTACCAGTTGGTCCATAATTTGGCCATAAAACGATTAAATCTCAAAATTTTTTTTGTTGAGATTTTGTGACCAAAGGGTCATTTGGGATTCCCTAAACTCCATACACTAAATTATTCTGAGATTTAGAGCCAAATTCTACGAGAAAAGGCACTCAGAAAAGTTGAAAAATTGATAAATCACCCCAAATTGCTTAACACGATTTTATCTCAGGAACTATTTGTCCAAATGAGTTGAAATTTTCAGGGATTGTAGTCCCCTACTGGGATAAGAATCGCTGAAAATTTCAGCTTTCTATCTTCGATAGAAAAAAAGTTATGACCTTTCAAAGTTTTCCAAAATCTAAATCATAAGGTTCTACCTTCTTACTAAACCGATGAAATTTCAAATTTTTTTTTGTTGGGATTTTGTGTCCTAAAGGTCATTTGGGATTCCCAAAACTCCATACACTAAATTATTCTCAGATTTGAAGCCGAAGTCTATGAAAAATAGCACTCAGAAAAGTTGAAAAATTGATAAATCACCCCAAATTGCTTAACACGATTTTATCTCAGGAACTATAAGTCCAAATGAGTTGAAATTTTCAGGATTTGTAGTCCTCTACTGGGATAAGAATCGCTGAAAATGTCAGCTTTCTATCTCTAATAGAAAGAAAGTTATGACCTTTCAAAGTTTTCCAAAATCTAAATCTTAAGGTAGCTAAATAGATACCTAATAGATAGATAGATAAATAGCTACCTTCTTACTAAAACGATGAAATTTCAAATTTTTTTGTTGTTGAGATTTTGTGTCCCTATGGTCCATCGGAATCCTCCAAACTCCATACACTAAATTATTCCCAGATTTGGAGCCAAATTGTATGAAAAAAGGCCTTCAGAAAATTTCGAAATTTCAAAATAACTATTTTGTAGAGGGGATCCCAAAGTCCCAAAACTACCCTTAATTTTCCGATTTTTCTTGATTTTTCCGGATTTTAGATGAAAAAATCAAACTTTTTTGAGGAGAGGGGGTCAAATTAAACAGTCTCGTTTGAGACTTCCTAATACCGGAAAAAATTCAAGAAGAAAATTCCAAAATTGTATTTCGAATTTTCCAACTTGACATGGCCCCATTAAATAGGCCATAACTCTGGAAAATCTGGACTGAATTCAATGAATCATCTTTCATTCGAAAGAGCATTAAATTGGCTACAAAATGATCTAATTTAATATCAATAACTATTACCATTCCAAAATTATAAAGCTTCAAATTTGAAATTCACATTTCGAAGATTGAAGCAAATTCTATAACATTTTCAACTTATAAGGGCCATAAGTACCCTGAAACTCTACCGATCTTAAAAAAAAAAAGATACCTACAATGTTAATTATCGAAACTTTTGCTTTGTGAAAAAACAAATTTGTTCCAAAAGAAGAGTAAATTGTCGGCAATAATACAATAAAAGAATAACATTTAATTAAGTTTCTTAATGTAGCACAGTGGGTACGTGTGTGCCATTTTTTTTGCAACATCTATATGATATAATTTTCAGCCATCATCACCAGTGTGTTGCTGAATAATAATTTCTGCCTCTAATTATATAATGATGAGTTTTAATTATAAGTATTTGTGTCCATGTTGAGATTATTGTTATTTTAACAGGAAATAGAAAATTTTGAAATCTTTCTTTGTTTTCAGATAGAACAGTTTTTATATGGGGAGCCAAAGAATTAGCCAATAAGGACCGAAAATCGCTCAGAGTTAATATAGAGTTCGATTATGCGACTCACGTCAAATGGAGTCCGGATTGTAAAGCCTTTATTATACACCGATTCAACGAAAACTGCTTGGAAGTCTACAAAGTGGACAAGAAAAAGGACGGCTGGTTGACTGCTAGTAAGGCTGTCACTTTTCCCAAGGTAAAATATTAGATATTGTAGATTTTAAACCAAGGTTGACCCACAAAACTTGAGAGACAACAACGTGTCTAATTGGATTTTGTTGGCCTAAAAAATTGTCATCAACAATGATAATTGAAATATTTTATTCAAAAATAAAGTCAAACCTTGAATTGAAGCGTTAAATAAAACAATTTTTTTTACTTCCTCATGCCACACTGAAAATACAATAATTTATTATTTAACGTACAAATTGGGTTTTTATAGTAAAACAAAATTAATTACGGAACCTGAACAATAGGAAGCATAATAAAAATAAATGGCCTGGTGCCCCCAAAAAACACACGGCATTATCCTGTTACAATTGAACAAACCGTTAATTTAATACCAATGTTTAACATCGACCGAGAAGCAAATGACATTTAATGGGAATAAACGGCTATAAACACTATAATCAATTGTGTTGGAAGAAAATTACTGTTGCAAATAAATTAAACCTTGTATTTTTAGGGCCATGATACTGATGTCATAGGCATGGGCATAGCGAGCAATGGAAAATTCATCATGACATGCTCCAACAAAACCGATATGATCGTGTGGGACCTCAAAGGGGAAAAACTGGCCAAACTGGATACATTTTTGATGTCTACTGAGTGTGCCAAAATATCACCTTGCGGACGATTTATTGTCGCATCAGGTAACACAAAAATTTTCCATGTGAATCCCAAATTATCAGAGACAAATATGGCATTGACATTTTTCACTAGATGTGATTTTACAGGCAAGAATCTCTCAAAACTTGAGAGTTGGTAAAAAGTAAAAAATCCTAAAATGTCTTTGCCTTAAATGTATGGATTTGTGTTCCTCAAAGCTAGAAATTAGTGAAATCCTTTTCTTGCCAATGAGAGACCTCTTTACTCTATAAACTCTTGTAACAACTAACCCTCAAGAGTTTCTAGTTAAATTATGCTGTTGTTTTTAAATTGATTTATCCATGACCAGAACTCAGTATTAAAAACATAGTACTCCAAACATAATGTAAAATTATGATTGTTCTTAGGTTTCACTCCAGAAGCCAAAACATGGGAAGTAGTCTTCGACAAATCCGGCGATTTCAAAGAGGCAAAGCAAGTGCCCCAACTCAATCTAGGAGGTCACTCGTCTGGAGTTTACGACGTAGCATTTGACGTGGACTCTTCGCACATGGCTACAGTGTCCAAGGACTTGACTTGGAGGCTATTTGATACTAAAGGTATATAGGTGTTTGTTTTAACTGTTTTTCAACTGCTTGTTTCGAATATAGTGAACTACAAACAAGGCCAAGACGCTCGCTTGGACATATCTGGACGCTACGAATCTTCTAGCAGTAAATCGTTAGTTGCTTTATCGCCTAATGCAGAAGTTTTGGTCGTGGCAACTGCTAATGATTTACAGTTTTACTCTACCATGACGGGAAAATTGGATTCTACTGTGGAAAATATATCCAACGGTAACATACTCACAATTACTTCTTGCATCAAAATTCACTATAGAAGCATTTTTTTTTTAGAACATATCACTTCCATTCTGTTTGACGCTTCTGGAAAACACTTGCTTGTGTCTTCGGACAAACAAATTAGGGTTTTTCTTAATGTACCTGGATATCGGTGTGCTATTGCTCATGCCAAAGAAAAACTCAAAGAGCATCAGACTTCTGCTACTCGAGAAAGACTGCAGCAACTTGTCAAGGAATCTGAAGACTTTTTGAAGAATTTCTGAATATGAAATTTTGTCATTCCACATTTTTCCTAAGGATTTAATACACTTTGATAATTGAATAATAAAGAAATAATTTGTTTTTATTTGCAATCGGATGAATCTTTCACAGCTTCTACACTTGGAATTGTAAACTGTTTTATTCATTTATTGTACAGATTTTGATTTTTTTTCCCTAGAAAACCGTCATTAGATTCGTACTAACAGGGAAGGTTAAGGAGGTTGTCAGAAACAGGGTGACACCAGTGGCATACGCTCGATCGACCTACGAATAGAGATTTATATGATTATTCCACTCATGTGTTGGAAATCCCATAAGACAAGTGACGAATTTCAGAATTACAGCGAAAATTCTCTTTTCCATTTGTTTAACTAGAGCAGTGGTTCCCAAACTTTTTTCTTTTGCGCCCCCTTTCTGAAATCGAGATGTGGTCGCGCCCCCCTTTCTTTCCCCATTATACAAAAACATTTTTTTTACTCACTGTAAAGCTGGATTTATAGTGTCAGTAGCAGTAACAGTAACAGTAACTTAAAACTTAAAACTTAAGAACAGATATGAAATTATCCATTTCTTAAGTTTTACTGATAAGTTTGTTAAGTGAACTATAAATGGCTTTACGGTAGGCCGTGTTTTAATATTTTACTGTTACTGCTACTGTTACTGATACTGACACTATAAATCCAGCTTTAAGCTGTAGCAATGATCGCAATGATCGCTGTAGCAATGATCGCATCAGTGCTGCCACTTCTGACGGAATGAAGTTGGTAGGGTAGATTCTTGGAGAAATAATCGGTAGTTTTCCTTTAAAAATCGGTAGCTAGGCGGTTTCGTCATATGACGTCATTCCACCACAATTTGCTTAGGTATATAAAACCAGTCAATAAATTTAGTCATAATTTTATTGTGCAATGTGATTCCTATTTCAATTTTTCGCAAGCATATTCAAACACTGATTATGCTCAGATGTTATGTGTCAATAATTGTGTCACTCCCCTAACTCCTTCACCATTCAATTCCTGGCCTGCGATTGACGTAACTACCAGCAGCTTATAGTGATGATGTCATCTGCAGACCGCGATGGAATGCAGATTCAGGCTGTGCTAGTTAGTGAGTTAATATTTTCGTCGATTATAAATGTAGAAAAGGTGATTTTCGGTTTGTTCTCACAGAAAAAGTTGAGTGTTCATCCTCGAGTATCCCAGAATTTGATAGTGGGGGAGTTGGGGAGTATGACACAATTTAACACATAACATCTGAGCATCATCGAATATGCTTGGTTATTCTCGCGAAAAATTGCCTATTATGTGTAGTGACTTGCAATTTCGATAGCGTTTTCATAAGTGATCATCAGTGACGTGACACACGAGACACGATGTCAGATGTCATTAGTTTCTAGATTTTCTTGTGCAATGAGAAACAATTTTATTTTTTATTTTAAATGAAATATATCTACATATTTGTTGCATTATCAATAAATTGCAGAAAAATCGTGAGAAAATGGTTTAAAATCGAGAGATCGGTAATCATTTGAAAATCGGTAGATCTACCGATAAATCGGTAGAGGTGGCAGCGCTGGATCGCATGGCAAAGCTGCTTTGGCTAAGGTATGCACTGTTGCCGGATTGTAGACATCTTTTTCTAAATTTTAACTGATTTTTTATTTATGAGGCTTGAAATTTTCATTAATTTTTTAGAAGACTTACGCCCCTCTTAATGTTGCTTCACGCCCCCCAGTTTGGGAACCGCTGAACTAGAGAGAATTACAGCGATAATTCTCCCATGTTATTGTATACATGGTTGTCATGCTAATTTTTGATACAAACAAACGGTTCCAGATAGCAACCATTCATTTGTATTGATTGCTAGGATGTTCAAATCGTTTAATACATATTTATTTCCATATTTTTTGCATTCTCATACGTGAAATAATCCTCTAAATACCACTTGAGCTTTAAAATGAACCAGATAATTTTTCACTCATGCGTGTTTTCTCTGCAAATTATAGAAAACACGCAATCGTGAAAAATTATCGATAATTTTGAAGCTCTCGTGGTATTATCCCCGAAAATATACAAAATCATATAATCAGATGATAATTATTCAAAAACTATACAGGGTGTTTTTTCATATATTGACACCTCACCTACAGCCTTTACCTCTCCAGGTAGAAGAAAGGTGTAGATACAAAAATTGTACAGTTTTGACTAAATTTTTAGAATCCATGGTCAGAAACAAAAATTGAATGTCAGAAATGTGAAATTTTTCATGGTTCCAGCTTTTTTTCAAATGGGATGCCCTATATTTGGTTCTATATTCTTGAAGAACACAATTTCCCGATTCCAAAAGTATATAGTTTGTCTATATTTGGTTGAGCCGTCTCCGACATATTTGGTTCTAAAAATTTTAAAAATACTATCATAGAAACCAAGTACCTCAAATTTTACCTCCAGCTCTCACCTGTGCAGGTAAAATGGTTCACAAAATCAGTTGGTAGGGATAGTTACAATTTTTGGAGACGAATATACAGGGTTGTCGTTTTGTATGAAAACGGCCTAGTATTTCAGAACGCACTCGAAAAAAAGGTACAATATTTCTTACCTGGGGGTTTTTGGGAATGCCCGATTTATTGTGGTGGTATTTGCAATGTTGCCAAGTTCACTGTTTCTAAGATGCCGTATGTAATTTGATTTTTTTAAATGAAAGTCTTTCTTTATTTTCATTGTAATTAATTCAACGTCCCAACATTACTAAAACCTAAAACCCCTAAATGCCCAACCTCTATTTGACTTGGTTTTTGAAATATGACAACACGGTTTTTTGTTAAAATGTACGGAAACGGTGTTGTATTTCAGAACAGGCTTTGGAAAAATGTAGAATATTTCCTACTTGGACCTACCAGCCCTCCTATAAATCTTGAATACGCATTATCCTCGGCATTTATCACATTTTTCTGAAGCCTGTTCTGAAATACTAAATCGTTTTTATACATTTCAACAGAAAACTGTGTTGTGATATTTCAAAAACCAAGTCAAATAGAGGTTCGGCATTTAGGAGTTTTAGTAATGTTGGAACGCTGAATTAATTATAATAAAAATAAAGAGGGACTTTCATTTAAAAAAGTCAAGTTACATACGGCATCTTAGAAACGGTAAGCTTGGCAACATTGCAAATACCACCATTGAATCGGGCATTCCCAGGAAGTTGTGTGAAACAGGGTGACACCAGTGGCTTACACTCAATCGACCTACGAATGCAGATTTATACGAAAATATACAAACTTATATAATCCAGATGACAATTATTCAAAAACTGTACATAGGATTAGATTCATACTAACGGGGAAGGTTAAGGGGGTTGTCAGGAACAGGGTGACACCAGTGACGTGATTGACGTTAATAAAAATAACTTTTTCCTACAGCCGCGCGGAAAAATCGATTTTCCGTACTGATATGCGTGCGGAAAATGAGTTTTCCCGCACGGTGCGGTAAAACTTTCACAGCACGCATATCAGTGCGGAAAAAGTTTTTCCGCACGGAATAGTATATTACATGCGGAGGTGGAAAGTGTTCCATTATTGTCGAGAGATACTATGGTTGACCGAGGTACGAAGCGCCGAGGTGAACCAAGGCTCGAGACAATAATGTGAAAACTTTCCATCGAATTATGTATACATACTATTTTATTTTGAACCATTGAATATTGAAAAAAATAAGGTAAAAATATGACAAAAAAATGGAATTTCGACTGACAGTCTGACACCGACATTGACATCTTATGAAATTTTAACAATATAAACACATGTGACATCTACTTCTAAATACAAACATTGCACCTGGATTTGTGTTTAGGTGTAACAGGACAATTTAATCAGGGCCGAAAGTGAGTTCTCCAGGCCGATAGTGACAGGAGAACATTGAGAACAGTCACTTAATTTCGGCCTGCTTTAAAGTAAACTAAAGTAAAGTGACATTCTCGAACCTCCAAACCAGTAAGGAATGTGAAAATTACATATACCTATGGTTCAAAATAGAAAAATTTACCGCAAGGCTGTCAAAAAAAAAAAAAAATCTACATTCTTACGCCTGTAAGAAAAATATTGTACCTAACACTTGCGGAAAATATTTTTCCGCACTTGTTAGGTAAATAGCTATTGTCAGGAAACTTCACAATGGTTGCCAAAAGAACCAATCGAAAACACATAAAGCCAATTTTCTGAATCAAAAATACAGTTTTTTTTAGTAGGGAATTTTGCATTTTCCTTCCAAGAATAAAATTACAAAAATCGGTTTGCTCCATGTGAAGTGCAAAACTCTTAAAATTTTCTTAATTGTCTAGCGGATTCGGTTTTTTTATTTTTCCCAAACAAGCAATTTTCAATGTTTCAAAATCTCAAAAAAAAAAATACCATAATTCCCATTAAAATCAACTTTATTATAAGTAAAAAAAAAATAACAAACTAACCAAACTTATCTACCATTTATACTTATAATAAGCCTGCTGATGTTGCTCTTGATGCCAATGCTTATGCTCATGTTTATTCTCATGCTTATGTTTATGCTCGTGTTTATGTTTCTGCTCATGTTTATGTTCATTGAAATGTTTATGATCGTGTTTATGCTCATGTTTATGATTATTCTCGTGCTTATGCTTATGTTCATTCCAAACTTCGTGTTTATGCTTGTGTTCGGCTTCGTGTTTATGCTCCTCCTTATGCTTGTGATCATGTTTATGTTCGTGCTTATGCTCGTGCTTATGTTCTTGCTTATGTTTATGCTCGTGCTTATTTTGATGTTCGTGTTTGTGTTCGGCTTGATGTTTATGCTTGTGATACTGCTCGTGTTTGTGTTCGTGCTTGTTTTTATGCTCATGCTTATGTTCATGATCATGTTTGTGTTCTTCTTTATGCTTGTGCATGTGTTCTTGCTTGTGTTTGTGTTTATGCAAGTGTTTGTGCTGATGGTAATGGACTTCGGCGTGTTTTTCCTCTTCGTCGTGATGGTGCTTTGCGAAATCTTCCGTTTCGTAAGGCTCTACTTCTTTGTGGTAGTTTTTGGTGTCGATAATTTCCAGTTGCTTGGGGCCTTCTAAGTTGAAGCTGCTGCCACTGTCATATTGTTTGTATCCTGTGGCGTCTAAAAATAAGCCTCGGTTTTGTAATTCTTCATTGTCTTGGAAGGCTTTGTCGTTTTCCACGCTGGCGAATTGGTTGATTACATTGTCGTCTTCGGCATAATGTTGTTGGTAAGCGGTTTCTTGGGAAAATGGTAGATAGCTGTAGGGTTGATAATTGCTGCTGGACGCTTTTAAAGGGTTAACGCTGTGGCCTGATGCTGAACCTACTTTTTCCTGATTCACTTGACTGGTTTGAGTGTATTTTTGTGGAATAGGCTGCTCGTAGGTGATAGGTTGCCCTAACGCAGTTAGGAGTAGGCTTAAGCTCAGGAACACACTCGGTAAGACCTATAAGTAGGTAAATGAAATTTTGTAAAATAGTGAAATTATTACTTACCCAACCTCCCATGTTGTCGTTGAGAACCAAACTCGATGAAACAACACGCTGAGAATGCTCGACTTCTTGAAGAAGATCCCTATTTATAATCAAATTGTTGAACCACCACTAATACGGTAATTAACTTCTTAAAGACCAATTTTCGATATCGAATTAACTGTTTTTTTACAATTTCGTGCACACGATAATGTAAATTAATAATTTTTGCGTGCTTTTAATGGTCTATTACCGAACGTGTGGCGTATATTGGAGTTGTTAAATAAAACAATTATCGGAGGATTTAATGAGGAGGGTATTAGGAAATTACTTCAACTCAGGAAATTGATGTTCTTAGTGTACTTTTGATTTTGAGCACAGAAAACCTACTAGGAAACTTATAGATTAGTGGGAAATCTGGAAAATTCTAGAGCCTGATAAAGAATCTATAGATAGGTAGGTAAGTAAAAGGTACGTATGTAACAATAATAAAATTAAGTAGGTATGCAAAAAAGTGAAAAAAATAATTAGGTAATTACCAATACATTTAATTATTGATAATAATACAGTTTAGCTGATCATTAGAAAGTAACACCTCTTCATTATCACGTGCAGTTAATTAATTGCATTATTGTCTATATTAGATCAATATGCATTAGATCTGGACATCTGTATGTAGCTCCAGGGCCGAATTAAGCAAATAAATTATTTTTGAGAAAAATACTTTTAAGAATAATTTCCAAGAATACTAAAATACGCGGAAATCATCCTAAGAGACAGAGCTGGGAGTAACGACAAAAAATAGTTACTTTACTTTAACGAGTTACTAAAAGTAAAGCGTTACTTGGTAACTTCGTTACTTTTCAAATTGATTGATAAGTAACTGTAACGACATTACTTTCATGAAGTAACTGCAGATCGTTATTTTGTTAAAGTAACGAGTTACTATGAAAGTAGCGCGTTACTATGAAAATAACGCGTTTATATGGAAGTAACGCGTTCCCTCAATTTGTTTATCTTCTTTACAAATAATTGACGATTGAGGAAAAGGAAAATAAGTAATCCAAAAACTTTGTATTGTCAAATAAAATGTGGGTAGTACAGGAAAATTGTTTTGAAAGCTCAAAATAATCGTTTTTGGGCGTGGCACGCGCCGCCTCTGCTCTAAAGACACTATATGCAGACACTGGGACACTTCAAAAAGCAGGTTTGTCCAAAACCCAGTGCTCTATTTAGTCGCTTAATCTTTTCGTAAAGGTCTTATTTGATTGTTTGGACTGCTGTGTTGGTGAGTCAAATTAAGGAACGCAATTTTCGACGTAAATAGTTATTTTTGAAGTAACGCGTTACTTTAAAAGTAGCGCTTTATTTCAAACTAACGCGTTGATGTAACTGGTTACTTTCAAATAACGAGTTACTTTTAAGTAACGAATTATTTCTAAAGTAGAAAAGTTACTTTCAAAGTAAAGAAGTTACACTAACGCGTTACTTTCCAATAAGTAACGGAAATAAAGTTATCCATTATTCGAAAGTAACTGTAAATTTTAAGTAACGAGTTATTTGTAAGCAAAAGTAACTGTAAAGTAACGCCTTACTTTTTTCAAGTAACGATCACAGCTCTGCTAAGAGAGAGAGAGAGAGAACGTTCCTAATCGGACGGTCAGGATCAGGACCCAACCAAGCACGAAACATCTACAGGCAGTTTTGGGATGTTCTTTCTAAATCCGCTGCAGATATTCTTATGGTACAATGTGAAGAAGTACTGAAGAATTCTAATTGCGACTTTGAAATGTCTCATGCCTGTTCTTTTGTTATATTACGTTGAGTCGTCCGCAGGAAATTTTAGAGACATTTATAATTTAATAAGGAGCTATCTGAATTCTATTTGCACATAATGGCAATATTGCATCTTGCGTTCTGTAGAATATAAACTGGATATGTTCCACGCATATCGATGGCTTGTCACACCGAGATGTCGCCCAAAAACCTGCGCAGAAAATTTCATATTCATATAATATGTAATGTACAGACTTTTCAACATAACACATGCGTGCACATTCTGTTTTTTTAATACGCATATTCAGGGAATCTTCATAGAAAAGGCTAGTGTCCACATTATTTAGATTCTTAGGAGGTGCTAGGCATATCCCACAAAATATTCAGTTCATGTGCCAATGTCCTATGGCACAGACAGCGACACTTTGGGACGCAGTATCCGAAACCAAAGGGAATCGCGAAAGCGAATATTGGGGACATCCTAGGTCTTACTAAGGGAGTGAACCTGATATGAAAACTTGGGCCACGAACTTCAATGCAGGTGTCCCCAGGAAATAATTAGAACAGAATTATGTACGAAAAGTAAAATTGGAGTTTAGAATATAAATAGAAGAGTAAGGATGAAAAAATGTGCATCAAATATTGAGGATAATAGGTATAGAAAGCAACTTTTACCAGTAATTTTACAAATGATAACTCCGACCTTAGATCTAGTAATTACATAAGTAACTCATAAAACTAAAGGGGCATTCCTGTAAAATTTCAAGCAGTGTATTTTTTTAAAATTTCATAAAAATTCGTTCGTGCGTGCATATATCGTTTTACAAGAAGAGCGCATGGTTCCGGTGAAATAATTGCTGCAAAAATTAATTTTTCAAAGTATATAAAGTTATAGCGGCAATTATTCAGCACATCAGTTACTTCTCAGCTTGGTTTGCTAACTGAGGTTTATGTTTAGCACCATGGGGGGCTGGGTAAGTACCTATTTTTTCAAATAAGTTTTTTGTTCTAATTGCCACCATGTTTGTATTGGTTCAACATCCAATTTTCTTGTTACATAAGTACAAAAATATTCATCCTTAACTCATCCCTTAAACACTAACAGCAGGAATTCTTATTAGTTTCATCATTGATTAGGTACCTATTGGTCATTTAATTATAACTGAAGTATGAAGTACCACATTCATCTAGGTACCTATACCTACTAGAATTATTTGATTTTTAAGGGGTGTCCATCAATTATCATTCTTTAAAAAAATTGATTATTGGAATCAGGCAATTAGGAAACCCTTCATCAATTTGATTTTCGTCTTTGATCATATTACATAATAATTCATCATTATCTTTTAACATCAAAATTCTCATTTCAGAATACTGTGATTATGTTCTTCGCATCTACAACCCTAGTGATAGCTTACAGAGTGGACTACACCCAAACCCAACCAATCTACCAGCTGACTCCATCTAACTTGAATACAATTCCTTTACCATCACAACCCTACGTAGATCTTGTAGGAACCGACTCCCAAACTCAACCGTTATTTCAAAATATTTTTTGGGTACCACCAATCACTATCGACGATACCAATCAAGAACACAGCACAGTAGCTGAAGAAACTAATCCCAACCAACCACAAGCTTCTGTAGAATCCCAAGAAAGTAATGCAGTCGAGGATAATAATGCAGCAGAAAGAGCAGTGGAAAAACAAGCAGAAGACTTAGTCGAAAATCAATACAATAATAACAGAAACAGACGATATAATGTGGATGAAGCTAATAATAATGACACTGAAGATTACCATAAAGGCGAAGGTAGCGACTACTACCTACACTACCAAGACGAAAAAGAGCAAAAAAAGCAAAAAGAAATCCACTATCACCAACACAAGCATTTGCACGAGCACGAGCACGAGCAAGACCACAAACATCAACATCTAAACGAGCACAAAGCCCAACATCAACACGAACACAAAATTCAAGCCCAACATCAACACAAACACGAAGCCAAGCATATGCACGAGCACAAACAGCAGCATAAGCACAAAGTTTTGGCCGAGCATAAGCACGAACATCAGCAACAGCATAAGCACCAGCACAAAAACGAGCACAGGCACGAGGAGAAGCATTTACAAAAGCACGATCATTGGGATCAGCATAAGCACCAGCATAAAGAGGAAGCTAAACATTGGCACGAACAGAAGCATAAGAATGAGCATAAGCACAAGCACGAACATAAAGTGGAGGCTAAGCATAAGCATAATCATTGGAACGAGCATAAACATTGGGAGGAGCATGATGAAGATCACAAACACGAGCACGAGCATAAAAAGAAGTATTATTATAAGAGGCAAGTGAATAAGGGGCAGCAAAAAATTAAGATTTTGGTTAAAAAGCATAGTTAATTGTTTTGCTGTTAATTTTGTTGTTTATATTGGTGTTTTAATAAAAAAAATATTGATTTTATCACTTTTTGGTAGACGTATTTTTCGGTATTTTACTGTTGAGAGTAAAAGTTTGGTAATCTCGAAAAATGAAATTGTAGATATATCATTGTAGAGTTCTTAATCCACTTTTAAGTTTTAAGTCAATTTTTTCTTGTATCAAGAAGTTTTATAAATCCTGGAAGTTCTGTATCTGTATCTGTAAGTTTTGGAGGGTGATATGGTATGCCAGAGTCCTTATTAGGCCACATTAGGCCGATTGTGTGCCTCCACATGTCATCCAGAGAACGTGCTCTATCGTCTGGTCTTCTTGATCACAAGCCCTACACAAGGATGTGGTAGAAATACTGAGATGCAACCGTTTATTAACATTAGGCATGGAGCCAAGGGCATGGATTGAATTTGATATTAATACTGAGCATATAATGTTTTATCAAGTCTATGAAAATAATAACACAAAATGCAAAAAAATCACTTAAAGTTTATTCACAGTTTCATTTACAATTTGATTGTACAAAAATAAACTAAAAATATATTAACTATCAATAGCCGGCATTGTGATAATAATTTCGATTATTATCCAAATTAAAATGAATTGTATGTAACAAAGAATAAATAATAAATTAAATTTATTTAGGGAAAACTATATAAAAACAAACAAAAATAATAATTATTTTAATTAATGAACACATTTTTATTAATAATCGAACTTAAAAGTTTTGTAAAGAGGTTCTTGTGTGGCAAAAAATCACAGTATAATAATAATAAAGTCGATCTCATTATTCTCTCTCCTTTATTTTTTCACCTACGAGTGAGATGATTAACACTATGATGGTAACAGATGGCAAATTCTGCATAATTTTCTGCTGCACAAGAACATGGCATATTCGTTAATAAAAAGTTGTAATAATTTATTTATACCCACATAGTAGAAAATTAAGCAACATTTCACTAATTAACAAATCTAAAAAACAATTCATACCCTAATACTATATACAAAGGCCTTAAATATTGAGTAAAAAAAACCTGGATTAAAGTGACCTAATGTAGGCATTTTTGCACTGGTCCTGGGTTGGAAACACCTAACCCCTGATGATTTTTATGTAGCCCCTACTTAATTTTTTCAACTATACAAAATTAGCTTCATTACATCTAAGTCTTATACAAATATATTTGGTATTATTTAATATCCATTTAAATTGAAAATAAAAGATCTGGTTTGAAAAAATTAAGTATTGTGAGATATTCTAGAAGCGTATAGGGATTTTTAATAAATAACTAATTGAGTTGCAAAAGAACCTGAAGCCAAAATTGACAAAGAATCCTCAAGATGGTAGAGTTTCCTGATCAGTTTCAGTTTCAGCTTCAGCTTCTGTCAGGACTTTTCCCTTTTCATTAAAAATTACCACAAGACTTCCAAATATCTCTAAAATAGGTTCTGCTTTACTTATTCAATAATTTTTACAATTTTATTAAAATTAGAATTTTTTAATCACTATTATTATTAGTTTTAACACAGATGCTAGGTGCCCGTCCTTTTGGCGTCTAGAAAAGAAAAAATGAGATTTTTTAAAACCAATCCTTAGTATGATCATATTTGAAAATTCTGAAAACTATAATTATCAAGACTACAGTAGTTCCGGATTCTGAGGTCTTTCTAGAGGTTGTAAATTTTCCCCTTGTGATTTTAAAATTCGCTCAAATCATACTTACTCAAAAAGTATTTTGAATCAATTGAAAATAATTATTAATGATTCTTACCCACTAGTCACATATACCTAGGCCGTTTCTGATGAGTAGGACTGCCCATAGAAACGTCCGTAGGTGAAGATGACCTCTTGAACCCGTGCCGAGCAACTTCTCCAGCTATAAAAGTGCCTAGGTCCGCCCCTGGATGATGTGGTGGGGTGCAGCCCCTTCTGGAATTCGCTAGAGCCTCTCTGAACGTGTGAAGATTGGGGTCTATTGGATAAGGCGGGCTAATGGAAGATTCTCTGTGTAACAGGGGTGGCGTTTGGTTCCGCCTATTAGGTGATGATCTAAAAGATGGAACAAGAATTATTATGCAGGAAGGTCAAAATTTTACTTGACTTTAAGAAAGAATGTGAATGTTTAATTAATTTTATTTGTAACTTTGTTATTTTTTGTCTAACTGATTTGAGTTTTTAGTATGTTTTGTCCAAGGTTTTGCCTCAAAAATTCAAAAATATTCCCTCAAAATCTCATATTTCTGCCATGAGTAGTTTTTGCGTATAGATGTCATATTTAGCCTTGCAGAAAAAATCTCTAATTTTAAACATTTTGCAACTTTGCTTTTTTTTGTATAAATGAAGTTTTTTAATTTAAATCCTATCCTGATGTAATTAGGCTTGATTTAGGGACAATTGAATCCTCTACAAATCTCTATTTGGTAGTTTCAACGCTGCTTCAATAGATTTCAAGCTGTGAAACTAAGTGTTTTTATTTGGATATTTATCAAGGTGAATGAGCAGAAGGAAATTTTCAATTTTTTTAATAAATTTTAATCTTTTCTCTTTCCATTTGCAAAATTTCAATCCAAATCCTGCAAAATTTTCCGCAAAGAAAATAAAATGTCTCTCAATGTCGTTTTTTGGAACTTTGATTTTTTCCAAAATGGGCATTGACACACATTTTTGCTCATAACTTTTTTAATTTCAATCCGATCCTGATGTAATTAGGCTTGAATTGAGGAGAATTGAATCCTCTACAAATCTCTATTTGGTAGTTTTATCGCTGCTTCAAAAGTTTTCAAGCTGTGAAGCTTTAAAGAGTTTTTACTTGGATATTTATCAAGGTGGATGAGCAGAAGGAAATTTTTAATTTTTTTAATAAATTTCAATCTTTTCTCTTTCCATTTGCAAAATTTCAATCCAAATCCTGCAAAATTTTCCGCAAAGAAAATAAAATGTCTCTCAATGTCGTTTTTTGGAACTTTGATTTTTTCCAAAATGGGCATTGACACACATTTTTGCTCATAACTTTTTTAATTTCAATCCGATCCTGATGTAATTAGGCTTGAATTGAGGAGAATTGAATCCTCTACAAATCTCCATTTGGTAGTTTTATCGCTGCTTCAATAGTTTTCAAACTGTGAAGCTTTAAAGAGTTTTTACTTGGATATTTATCAAGGTGGATGAGCAGAAGGAAATTTTTAATTTTTTTAATAAATTTCAATCTTTTCTCTTTCCATTTGCAAAATTTCAATCCAAATCCTGCAAAATTTTCCGCAAAGAAAATAAAATGTCTCTCAATGTCGTTTTTTGGAACTTTGATTTTTTCCAAAATGGGCATTGACACACATTTTTGCTCATAACTTTTTTAATTTCAATCCGATCCTGATGTAATTAGGCTTGAATTGAGGAGAATTGAATCCTCTACAAATCTCTATTTGGTAGTTTTATCGCTGCTTCAAAAGTTTTCAAGCTGTGAAGCTTTAAAGAGTTTTTACTTGGATATTTATCAAGGTGGATGAGCAGAAGGAAATTTTTAATTTTTTTAATAAATTTCAATCTTTTCTCTTTCCATTTGCAAAATTTCAATCCAAATCCTGCAAAATTTTCCGCAAAGAAAATAAAATGTCTCTCAATGTCGTTTTTTGGAACTTTGATTTTTTCCAAAATGGGCATTGACACACATTTTTGCTCATAACTTTTTTAATTTCAATCCGATCCTGATGTAATTAGGCTTGAATTGAGGAGAATTGAATCCTCTACAAATCTCCATTTGGTAGTTTTATCGCTGCTTCAATAGTTTTCAAACTGTGAAGCTTTAAAGAGTTTTTACTTGGATATTTATCAAGGTGGATGAGCAGAAGGAAATTTTTAATTTTTTTAATAAATTTCAATCTTTTCTCTTTCCATTTGCAAAATTTCAATCCAAATCCTGCAAAATTTTCCGCAAAGAAAATAAAATGTCTCTCAATGTCGTTTTTTGGAACTTTGATTTTTTCCAAAATGGGCATTGACACACATTTTTGCTCATAACTTTTTTAATTTCAATCCGATCCTGATGTAATTAGGCTTGAATTGAGGAGAATTGAATCCTCTACAAATCTCTATTTGGTAGTTTTATCGCTGCTTCAATAGTTTTCAAGCTGTGAAGCTTTAAAGAGTTTTTACTTGGATATTTAACAAGGTGGATGAGCAGAAGGAAATTTTCGATTTTTTTAATAAATTTCAATCTTTTCTCTTTCCATTTGCAAAATTTCAATCCAAATCCTGCAAAATTTTCCGCAAAGAAAATAAAATGTCTCTCAATGTCGTTTTTTGGAACTTTGATTTTTTCCAAAATGGGCATTGACACACATTTTTGCTCATAACTTTTTTAATTTCAATCCGATCCTGATGTAATTAGGCTTGAATTGAGGAGAATTGAATCCTCTACAAATCTCTATTTGGTAGTTTTATCGCTGCTTCAATAGTTTTCAAGCTGTGAAGCTTTAAAGAGTTTTTACTTGGATATTTATCAAGGTGGATGAGCAAAAGGAAATTTTTAATTTTTTTGATAAATTTCAATCTTTTCTCTTTCCATTTGCAAAATTTCAATCCAAATCCTGCAAAATTTTCCGCAAAGAAAATAAAATGTCTCTCAATGTCGTTTTTTGGAACTTTGATTTTTTCCAAAATGGGCATTGACACACATTTTTGCTCATAACTTTTTTAATTTCAATCCGATCCTGATGTAATTAGGCTTGAATTGAGGAGAATTGAATCCTCTACAAATCTCTATTTGGTAGTTTTATCGCTGCTTCAATAGTTTTCAAGCTGTGAAGCTTTAAAGAGTTTTTACTTGGATATTTATCAAGGTGGATGAGCAGAAGGAAATTTTTAATTTTTTTAATAAATTTCAATCTTTTCTCTTTCCATTTACAAAATTTCAATCCAAATCCTGCAAAATTTTCCGCAAAGAAAATAAAATGTCTCTCAATGTCGTTTTTTGGAACTTTGATTTTTTCCAAAATGGGCATTGACACACATTTTTGCTCATAACTTTTTTAATTTCAATCCGATCCTGATGTAATTAGGCTTGAATTGAGGAGAATTGAATCCTCTACAAATCTCTATTTGGTAGTTTTATCGCTGCTTCAATAGTTTTCAAGCTGTGAAGCTTTAAAGAGTTTTTACTTGGATATTTATCAAGGTGGATGAGCAAAAGGAAATTTTTAATTTTTTTAATAAATTTCAATCTTTTCTCTTTCCATTTGCAAAATTTCAATCCAAATCCTGCAAAATTTTCCGCAAAGAAAATAAAATGTCTCTCAATGTCGTTTTTTGGAACTTTGATTTTTTCCAAAATGGGCATTGACACACATTTTTGCTCATAACTTTTTTAATTTCAATCCGATCCTGATGTAATTAGGCTTGAATTGAGGAGAATTGAATCCTCTACAAATCTCTATTTGGTAGTTTTATCGCTGCTTCAATAGTTTTCAAGCTGTGAAGCTTTAAAGAGTTTTTACTTGGATGTTTAACAAGGTGGATGAGCAGAAGGAAATTTTCAATTTTTTTAATAAATTTCAATCTTTTCTCTTTCCATTTGCAAAATTTCAATCCAAATCCTGCAAAATTTTCCGCAAAGAAAATAAAATGTCTCTCAATGTCGTTTTTTGGAACTTTGATTTTTTCCAAAATGGGCATTGACACACATTTTTGCTCATAACTTTTTTAATTTCAATCCGATCCTGATGTAATTAGGCTTGAATTGAGGAGAATTGAATCCTCTACAAATCTCTATTTGGTAGTTTTATCGCTGCTTCAATAGTTTTCAAGCTGTGAAGCTTTAAAGAGTTTTTACTTGGATATTTATCAAGGTGGATGAGCAAAAGGAAATTTTTAATTTTTTTGATAAATTTCAATCTTTTCTCTTTCCATTTGCAAAATTTCAATCCAAATCCTGCAAAATTTTCCGCAAAGAAAATAAAATGTCTCTCAATGTCGTTTTTTGGAACTTTGATTTTTTCCAAAATGGGCATTGACACACATTTTTGCTCATAACTTTTTTAATTTCAATCCGATCCTGATGTAATTAGGCTTGAATTGAGGAGAATTGAATCCTCTACAAATCTCTATTTGGTAGTTTTATCGCTGCTTCAATAGTTTTCAAGCTGTGAAGCTTTAAAGAGTTTTTACTTGGATATTTATCAAGGTGGATGAGCAGAAGGAAATTTTTAATTTTTTTAATAAATTTCAATCTTTTCTCTTTCCATTTACAAAATTTCAATCCAAATCCTGCAAAATTTTCCGCAAAGAAAATAAAATGTCTCTCAATGTCGTTTTTTGGAACTTTGATTTTTTCCAAAATGGGCATTGACACACATTTTTGCTCATAACTTTTTTAATTTCAATCCGATCCTGATGTAATTAGGCTTGAATTGAGGAGAATTGAATCCTCTACAAATCTCTATTTGGTAGTTTTATCGCTGCTTCAATAGTTTTCAAGCTGTGAAGCTTTAAAGAGTTTTTACTTGGATATTTATCAAGGTGGATGAGCAAAAGGAAATTTTTAATTTTTTTAATAAATTTCAATCTTTTCTCTTTCCATTTGCAAAATTTCAATCCAAATCCTGCAAAATTTTCCGCAAAGAAAATAAAATGTCTCTCAATGTCGTTTTTTGGAACTTTGATTTTTTCCAAAATGGGCATTGACACACATTTTTGCTCATAACTTTTTTAATTTCAATCCGATCCTGATGTAATTAGGCTTGAATTGAGGAGAATTGAATCCTCTACAAATCTCTATTTGGTAGTTTTATCGCTGCTTCAATAGTTTTCAAGCTGTGAAGCTTTAAAGAGTTTTTACTTGGATATTTATCAAGGTGGATGAGCAGAAGGAAATTTTTAATTTTTTTAATAAATTTCAATCTTTTCTCTTTCCATTTACAAAATTTCAATCCAAATCCTGCAAAATTTTCCGCAAAGAAAATAAAATGTCTCTGACGGCCATTTGCACCGCTATAACTTAAGGGATATTTAATCCAAGTAGAGCTTCGAATGTGACTCTCGTAGAAACAAAAGTCACATTCAAAAGCTCCACTTAAATTAAATATCCCTCAATATCCCTTAAGTGATAGCGTCGTTTTTTGGAACTTTAATTTTTTCCAAAATGGGCATTGACAAACATTTTTGCTCATAACTTTTCTAATTTCAATCCGATCCTGATGTAATTACTTAGGCTTGAATTGAGGAGAATTGAATCTCCTACAAATCTCTATTTGGTAGTTTCAACACTGCTTCTATATTTTTCAAGCTGTGAAGCTTTAAAGTGTTTTTACTTAGATAGTTATCAAAGTGGATGAGCAGAAGGAAATTTTTAATTTTTTCCATAAATTTCAAAAACAATTTAAATTGAGTAACTTGAGTATAAAAGTGGAAAACACTACTTTAGAGGTAGTAGAAAAAACTAAATATCTTGGTTTTATTGTGGATAATCATCTGACTTTTAAGGATCATGCATTGTATATAATTGACAAAATAACCAAAAACGTTAATTTTTTGTCGCGAGTGTCGCCGTTCCTGTCACGATGGTCGAAGGTGGCTGTCTTCAATACATTGGTCCTGCCACATCTTGTTTTTAGTTCATCTATACTCTATCTTGCCAATAAGAATGAACTGAATAGGTTACAAAAACTTCAAAATAGGAGTATGCGAATTATATTAGCTGCAAAAAGGGATACACCCATAAAAAATATGCAAAGGGAACTAAACTGGCTATCTGTGGAAGTATTTTTACAATATCAGATATTAATACTTGTCTATAAAATAAAAAATCGTTTAACTCCCAACTACTTATCTGAGAAACTTGTTACAAATGAAACTGTACATACATACCCAACAAGAAGCAAACACAATTTTTATGTAACAAAAAAGAATAGAGCAAGTACTGAGAAAGCGGTATTCCACAAGGGCTTGATTGTGTTTAATTCTTTACCTGATCATATCAAGAATATTTCAAAATTAAATGTATTCAAAACAAAATTGAAAAAACACCTAATAGGGGAATGATAAGAAATGTATTGGCATAAGGTTGAATATTTAATTTAGGTCAGTTAAATAGTTGTAGCATACAGAGCAAATTTGTATAACACTTGTTTCTTTATTTTATTTTTAGTTTTAAGTTTTTTTTTTTTTATTAGTCTTTTTTGTGAAATTGTAAAATAATGTATATTAGCCAAGTGCTAAATAAAGGAAATTAATAATAAATTTCAATCTTTTCTCTTTCCATTTTCAAAATTTCCATCCAATCGCTGCAAAATTTTCCTCAAAAAAAAATAAAACGCCTCTCAATGTCGTTTTTTGGAACATTGATTTTTTCCAAAATGACATTGACATGCATTTATGCTCACAACTTTTTTAATTTCAATCTGATCTTGCTGTAATTAGACTTGAATTAAGGACAGTTGAATCCTCTACAAATCTCTATTTGGTAGTTTCAACAGTGTTTCAATAGTTTTTAAGATGTGAAGCTTTAAAGTGTTTTTACTTGGATATTTATCAAGGTGGATGAGTAGAAGGAAATTGTTAATTTTTTTCACAAATTTCAATCTTTCCTCTTTCTATTTGCAAAATTTCAATCCAATCCCTGCAAAATTTTCCGCATAGAAAAATAAAATGCCTCGTAATGTTGTTTTTTGGAACTTTGTTTTTTTGAAAAATGGTCATTGACACACATTTTTGCTCATAGCTTCTTTAATTTCAATCCGATTTTTATGTAATTAAGCTTGAATTAAGGACAATTGAATCCTCTACAAATCTCTATCTGGTAGTTTCAACACTGCTTCAATAGTTTTCAAGCTGTGAAGCTTTAAAGTGTTTTTACTTGGATATTTATGAGGATATTTAGCAAGATGGATGAGCAGAAGTAAATTTTCAATTTTTTTCATAAGTTCTAATCTTTTCTCTCTCCGTTTACAAAATTTTCCTCAAAGAAAAATAAAACGTCTCTAAATGTCAAAGTACATAGTTTTTGAATAAATCATCAAAATATGGAGGCATGACATATTTAACCTTACACCAAAAAATACTGCAGTGGGATCATGAAACTCGACTCAATATAATCGAGTTTACTCGTTATCGTCTCTATAACTTTATTCACAAATCCCGATCGAGTAGAGAATCGAGTTTCTCGATTTTGTCTAGCAACCAGTACAACCGACAAAAACGTCAATTTTGTAAAGTTCAAATTCCTATCTGCATAACAACCTACATTACATTCTCATGATAAGTGCAGTGTATACTCAATTATTGTTCCTAGGTCTAAGTGGTTCTTGAATTTGATTTTGCATACAATTTAAAATTGAGTACTAATGCTTTCAAGACCGGCCTTAAAACACTGGGAAATAATTTTAGATAATTTTTAGATAACCTGGATAGTTCAAGAAATCTTCTTTCAGGCAGTTCAAGTGGTTGTTGATTTCTCCAGAGCTGTTCTCTCGTGTCAGCTTTTTTGAAACTGGTTCAAAACAGGTTTGAAATAGTGTATTCTCGCGATGAACCCATAACCCATGACGTCACACAATGTTGGTTCAAACCGTTTCGAAATACAATTCAATCCACGTTTTCAAACCCTATAATCGCGCCGAGAAGTTATGATGTCATTGTGAAACTGTTTTAAACCAGTTTTGAAAAATGTTTCAGAACTTTGAGACGCGAGAAAACACCTCTGAGTTCTCCACGTCCAAGGATAATAGACACCACTACACAGAATTGCTTATCAGCCCCATTTTTGGGAATCGCGGCCATATTGTGTAGCACCATTGACGACGTCATCAATTACGTCGTCAGCTGTTTGCACCAGCGGTTGTAGTTAAGAATATCTACATTCATGATGAAAAATATTATTCAATTTTGGATACCATAATAGGCAAATAGGAATATGCAAACGAGATCTAAAAAAGCATTGTTTCAGAATGTTAATTAATGTACTCGAAACGAAAGTATGCATAAAGCAAAAGCCCGCAGAATCATAACCTGTGGTGCAAACAACCTACGTCAAGGCAAGAAACGACACGCTGGTTCTTTGGCGTGGTGGGCGGCTTGAGATTTGATCTACACAGGCCCTATGAGAATAAGCTATCCTGTAGTAGTAGTGTGCTAGTGTGCATTATCCTTGCTCCACTTCTACGAAGCTACATGAGATTTTCCTGCCTTCTTTGACACATACAAGAAACGATCATGAAAAATTGGCAGCATAATTATTTGAATATTTTGAAACAATTTTTTTTTTTTATTTGTCAAAAAAATGAAATTTCCACTAGCACTAGTTAAAAATAACAAATTAATAACACAAAACCAAAACAAGAAACACTGTCATAACCGAAAAATAATTAACTCGACTCCTCCAATGCAGTCGAGAAATTTTCGTAGTCTCGTGTCTATTAATCCAAGTTCGTGAATGAAATTTATCGAGTATCGAACAAACTCGATAGACATAAGTCGACAATCGAGTCTCGTGATCCCCCTACTGATTGCTGGAATATAACAACACCACAGTTTCAGCATTTAAATATCTTCTAAACCACTGAAGCTATGGTCACAAAAATCAGTATTTGGGGGTTTTTTGAGCATGCAGAATTGAACAGTGATATCTGCATTGTTGGCAGATTTGTCAGTTTTGCACTACACATACCTTTTTTGTAGACCCAATTTATTCCATTACAAATAAATGAGACATTTCACAAAACTGGGAAAACTGGCAACAGTGCCGATACCATTGTTCAATTCAGCATATTGCAAGTGGATAAAATTCGGATTTTACCAATATGAACCAATAATTCATAAACTAAGTATTCCATTCAAGATAAAAAAATTAATACTTGTAGGGCAAAACTAAGAAATCTGGCAACAGTGCTGATATTGCATACCCAAAAACCCTCAGATATTGAAATTTATTGGAATTTTCCTGAAAAAAAAAAAATTATTTTGTCTTTACCTATGATAAGGTTGGGTATGGTGCAGGGGGTGATATTGGGGCAGATGGCCCTGATGTTGCGGGGTCTGTGCGTCCGCTAAAAAGGCCAATAATTCCTCTCTTTTAATGAGCCTTCTTTTTCGTTTGGCCCAATTCAATAATTCCGAATTACGTTTTTGGTGGCCGCTCTGTCTAGCCAACTCTGTGGTTTTTTTAAGGTTCTCGCAGGATTCCTTGTACAGGGTGGTCACAGTACCCGCTGCTGTTTGAAATTGAAGCCATATTTTTCCTGGTTCACCCGTATATCGTTCTGAAAATAGATTGAATTAGGTCAATGGATTTTTAATAATAGGACACAACACAAAGATATTCTATAGGCAAGGATTTGCAGGTAGAAATTTCGATATTTTTGCTACCTAAGTCCAGGTAGTTTTAGGGTCACACAGAAACAGGTTTTCTTCAATTATAGTATAAAAGCTACATGGAAATTGCAATAAAATAGAATTTATGTGCAATTAATAAAAAAATTAAAATTATTTACTTAAAAATAAAGGTGGTAAAAGAATGCTTGGCAACGTCGCAACAGCTGATTCACGGTCGATAATACAGAAATGTCAACAAAATGTCCGCTTTGAATAGGGGAAAAGGACAATAAACGCCCTTTTATTTGAAAAACTACAAGGCCCTGCGCTAATTAGCCAATTTTTAATTATCGAAAACAGTCAAATGTACCTCTATAAAGTTGCGCAACAGCCGTGGCGGATTCCTGGAAGCTGGACCACACTCTCTGTTGAAAAGTTTCGTTTTCCTGAGCCAAATCGTCATCGCAATTTTGCTGATTTTCTATAGTTCGAGAAAATTGCTGTTCACTTTCGCTTAACCAATCGAAGCCGTCGTCACCGTTCATTTTTTTTTGTGAATTTTCGAACCCGAATTACGGGTTTTGGCTACCTCATTTCTACTGTGTGAGGAAAAATCACGATGTCTTGGCCCTGCTTTTTTAGAGCTGTCATCAAAACTGACAATTGAAAACAACGTTGCCAAATTTACCAACTAAATAAAATATTTATTTACCAATTAAAAGTGATATTATTTCTAATAATAGCAACTAATATTATAATATTTAGCATATAGATTACTATTGTACTATTTAAACATTAAATAAACAACCAATAAACAAAAAATCATTGAGCTTATTCAACCCCAATTGGCCAAATGGGATAGAAAGAGATAGTTATAGTGTAGGCAATATTGTAGCGCAAGTTTGAATTACTATTTTAGTTTTAAGATATTAATTACTAGATAAGATTATACTCTATTGAAATTCTTGCCCCGTTATCTATCGCAAACTAAGTATTTAGGTACTTGAATCAATAAAAATATCGATCTTTGTATAAATACTATTGATAAGATAAAAGCACAAACATTTATCCTCAACTCTTGAAAAATTATTATTGTTAATATGTGAACAAAAGGTAAGTAAGTTTTTAAACATATATTTTTCCATCTACCCAAGCTGAACATAACTTTTGTAGACACCTAAAATGAAAGCAACAATTCTAATGTTCACCCTATGGCTGGCAAAAACTCGTTCCGATTGTCCTTTGCCATGTAATTGCTCCAGCATTGCAATCACCTGCGTAAATCAAAGTCTAGAAATTGTCCCAAATTTCAAATGGATCGAATCGAGCCCCCTGATTATTGATTTATCAGGCAACAGGCTATTGTTTATCGACGAAGAAGATTTTAATTTTGATCAAATCGATGAAGTCAAGGAGATTTATTTAAACAATTCTGGTATAGCTGATATTGGCGATGGAACTTTTGATAATGTGGAAAATTTGCAAGAGTTGTACTTAGGACAAAACTTCCTTACACAAGACAGTGTGCCTGAAAATTTAATCGAAGAACTAGACAATATGATTTTATTGGAGTTGTCTTATAATTATTTCAATGGAAATATGCCAGTAATCAGATCGGACTCCCTCGAAGTTTTAGCTTTGGCCAATTCGAAAATAACTAATTTAAATGAAAACTCTTTGAAGTTTTTACCAAATTTAAAGATGCTTTTGTTGCAGCAGAACAACATTAAATCGATAACATTTGATACTTTCAAACATTACAATCAAAACTCGTTTTTCGTAAAGTTGTCTCATAACTCTTGGAGTTGTAGCTGTGCTAATTTTGAAACTTTCACTTTGTTGGCTGATAAGAAATTTATAGATATATCTGAGCCTTATCAGTGCATTGGAGATGATAGCAATACTATTGGAATTTTACAAATCGATTTTTGTAAACATCAAGAGGTCAATTTGAAAAGTTTACAAGTTTTGAATCATCTCGAAGAATATTCCGACAATGATGATTTATTGGAGAACACTGAAATTGATATAAAAGACTTGAATGATGAAGATTTAGGCAATATTTTGCCTCCAGGGGAAATTTCTCATAATAACACTTTCAGTATTGAGTCAAATAATTTGTTTCTTCTAATTGTAATTTGCACCTCAATAACTTTTGCCATTGGTTTTATTTGTGGTTTAGTTTTTTGTCATATTTTGTATTTATTTCGTTATAAGAAACTAGAGCAGAGCTCAGACAGCAGGGTGCAGTTATTAAATGCCTAGTAATTTTTCATCAATATGGAACTTATATTTTAACTTCTAAATATAAACAAAAATGTGATAAAAGAAACGTTGTAATCAGAGGAACTTATTGCTTATTTTTAATGTGTAAGATTAGTTTTTTAAATTACTTATTTGTCATATTTATACCTATTTTAGTTTGTAACTATGTAACTTCAAATAAATGTTTTTTTATGAGCGAGTGTACTCATTTGGACTTATAGTTACCAGTTCCTAAGATAAAATCGCATTAAGCAATGTGGTGTGAATTTTTCAATTTTTCTGAAGGCCTTGAACCAAATTTGAAATTTCCTGCTATGTCTGGGGACATAAGGCCAAACAGACTACTATAAGCTGATAACTACACCACTGACCCCTTAAGCTGTGGCCCCTCTGGCCATTTTTCACTTATAATGCGGCCGATTGGCAAGTGTTAAAAATAAAATTACCATTCCAAAGCCTACTTGATTAAAACCTATTATTAAAGGCTTATAATTATATTAATTTTGATGCAATTTCACCTAATTAGGCCTTAATTAAGTCCTAATTAGTTATTTTAGTCGATTTTAGGGGATTTTTTGGGGCTCGCGATTGCAGCGCTATCTCGTGACAAATAGTGTTGTTTCATTATTATTTTAAAATGCCTTACGCGCTTCTATGTTTATTGCCGGTTTTTCGTTGATTTTTCCAGTTTTCCATAGTTTTGTTAAACATTATTGATTAATTATTTACCTAAATTTAAAACAAAAAAACCGTTTGAAATGTGATTTTTTGCTATTTGAAATGTGGCAACGTCGCTTTTGATCAAGTAGGCCTTGTAATTAAATGTCATTTGCCACTTTTCTTTTGACAGTGGGCCTTTTTTAATTGACGTTTTCAATTAAAAGAGATGGACGATAAAGTATGAAAACATTCAGATTCCCGCCAACATTTGCTTGCTCGTCAATGTCAAGTGTATTGGGTGTTCCAGCAATCCCCTGGGTTTTTATTCTAATCGGCGACTCCACCGATGAGTTAGGTATCTTTGTTTAGTGAATGGAAAATGACAATGACCGACATAGAATGGTGAAATTTGAAATTGGAAAGAAAATGTGGGAGGCAAACAGCTTCCGCAAACTAAACTTGAACATGGATTACTCTGTATACTTGATGGGCCGTGGATTTCCCTTTCTTTTGCGAGTATCTTTTCTGATTTTGTGTATCCAAATTTTGACAAATGTAGGATTTGATAAAAACTTATGGAAAGACACGTCCGCCGGTGAAAAGGAATTATTTTCACGAAAAGGCACACTACACACAATCACTATTGTTAGGAAAAAACCTTGAAAAAACCGAGGAAATAATAGTTTCCAGTCTCCACACGTATAAAAGTATTGTCAACAAACCACTGTCAAGGGCTGTCAAGTATTTTTTTCATGCTTTTTTGGCGTCTGACAGTCTGACGTCAGAGAGAGAGGCTTCTAAATTGAAAAGGTCAATTGACGTGTCTCGTAATACCTGGTGTGCGCGCGCAACTCGTGGGTTGCAGGTGAGCGTCCAATGAAAATCGAGTTTGTTACGGGCTTGCGTCATATTCGTATTCAGGGACTAATTCACAATTAATCGTTTCTTCTTTCTTTGTAACGTGTAATTCGACAAAGAGCAAACTAATACTTGACGTATTACTTGAACTTATCCCAGTGTCGTTTAAGGTTATGTTAAATTATACTTGACATATTTCCATTGTGCGATATTGCCGGATGAAACATTTATCAAAATAAAAGTGCCATCGATATTAACATACACTTTAAAGCTCTTCTTTTGTATGATTTGAGGCGTTGTAAAACACTTAACACTATATCACTTTTTTAATGTTATAATGTTTGATTTGTATTGTCTACATTTGTTCTGCAACAATACAATCTGGCTACACTGCAGCCACGAGTTGCGCGCGCATGTCATTTTTTATTACTTTCTAACTTGTATTGATTACAATTAAGTTCTCTTTTTCTATTTCTGCGAGACACCTCAATTGACGTGTTTACATTTTATCCAGTTTTTCATCGAATTTTCCGCTTTTTCAGGCCGTTTTCAGTCGGAAAACCTGGATTAAAATACGAGGTTTCACTTTCTGCCAAAAATTTCCAGTTTTCCGAGAGGGTAAAGTAACGAAAACTCAAGTTTTATCCAGTAGGCTTTCCAGTTTTAAATGCTAAAATTAAGGGAACAAGCAAAAACTTTTTCAGGCCTTTTTTAGGGAATTTCTAGTTTTAAAATCATTAGAGAGTTATTGGACGTGCAATAAGGGCAAGCAGTATTTACATTAGCCTTATTTTGACATCTACACATGCGCATTTGGGTCTGAAAATAAGGATCCCCTTAATAAGGTTACTGCTTGTCTTTATTTGTGTATGGTTAGTGCGAGGCAGTAAACTTCCCTTATTTTAAATTTTTGACATTCTGGACGACTTTGACGTTTTGCTTTTCGACGATGACGCAATTTTACTTAGAAAATTTATTTTTTACAATAGTTTTCCATTTTACTGTGGGTAACATCAAAAAATGAGTATCAGTAGAAAATCACAAACAAAAATAAACACTTTTTGAAGCTGAAATTTATAAACATAGCTATCATCTGTCAAAATTATGAATACAAAATAAGGCAATACTCTAGCACCTACTATTATAGTCTTCCAATAACTGTTTTTTTCTTGGAAAAATAGTGCTGATGCACTTATAAAATAACGTAGATCCTTAATACTGCGAGGCAGTATTTAATAGTTCCAATAACTCTCTATTATTAATTATGCTTTTTCAATAAATTACAAGGTGGCAACACTGCTTTGTAGCCAACTTCACTCGGTTCCAATCAAGTAGGTCTTACAGCGTTTTCCATCTGTCATTCAGTGCGCACTGAGTGTATTCCCATCTTTTTCTCAAAGCATGTAACATGTAAAGCCTAGTACTCATAACTGCGAAATTCGCATTTTTTTTACTTTGCTTCGACAATTTGACGTTTGATACACGCATTAAACGTCAAATTGTCAAAGCAATGTCAAAAAAGTGCGAATTTCGCAGTTATGAGTACTAGGCTTTAGGATATGGATACCTTTTTTTTGCACTGGTTCGACAAATGGAAAACGCTGTTAGAATGTCATAAGCCTGTAACAGTAACATTTGATAGTCGGCCATTTGGAGTGTATTTCACCGGGACTTTTCGATCAGAAAAAGTACTCTAAAGTGTTCGGAAAACTGTCGCGGTTCAAATTCTGTGTTTATTTTGCCTAGAAAATTGAATTTCCGAGTGGGGACCACAGTTTTCGAGGGGTGAGTACAAGAAATTCGATTATTATAAAACTAGGACTTTTGTGTGTGTTATAAGCTCTGTTCCAACAGACATGAAAAGCGTTTCAGAGCCAGTAATTTCCAGTTGCCAACCTATTTTTCAATAAGCTGAACGTTAATCCTAATTGACAAATAAATTGATCGACTGGAAATCACCGTACTAGAACGGTTCTCATGTCTGTTGGAACAGAGCTATAGTGTTTTATGTGTTGAAAATAGGCAAGCAGGCAAAAAAAAATATGTATTTCTATCTTTTTCTCAGCCAGGCTCAGAGACAGAGATGGGCTCATGTTAATTCCCAGCGCTATCTCTTGACAGGTGAGTGAAGCTCAATTATTATAAACAAATTGTTTATTTTATGAGAAAATTATGTTAATTTTAATGTTGACGTATCCCGCAATAGTAAACCTATATTTATAGAAATCTGGTCTCACGAAGTGACGTAACTAGTTGTTTTTTAAAAGTTTAGCCCAACTATGCACTATGTTTGTTGTGTAGTGTACCATTCTATAGAATGCATATTAGAGTAGGTACTCTCAATTTAAGTTGGATCATATTCTTACAACAAATGGTTGAATGTCACCAAAAAGATAAAATCGTGCCTCCTATCAAAATTGGAAAAATTGAGATACGACAGTACGTGAGAGTACGAGCAAGGATGATCTCTCCTCTTGTGGTGGCCTAATATGGCCTAAGTGCTGTGGCATACCATATACACCACCTTCCCAAACTTACAGATACAAGATAGACTTGATGGAAAAATAGGCTATTTTTTTGAAAATCTGGAGCAACTCCAAAATAATTTGGCCAGTATTTATAGCACAATATAATGGTGTATACAATTCCCCATTAAATGTGATTTATTGGATAAATATTGGGCACCTTTAGATTTTCCAGTTTTTAACAGGTTGTAGATTCGAAATTTACCAGATTTTTATTGCGACTCTTAATATTAATTAACGAAAACTAAATTTATAAATAGAAATGTTTGATTTATGATTCAATAACCTCATCAATTGGAATGGGAAAAAAACATTTCATTATAGGTTTGTTCCAACACAGCAGGAAACCGTACAATGTATTGTCACGATTCTGCGCAAAACCTATTTAAAATCAGAAATTCTCATGCTCAGTGGTTTCGAAACGGTTCATGGGACATGTTGAAACAGACCTTTATAATCTACTGAAAATGAAAAACAATTTGAAAAAAAAAACTTTAATAAAAAAATAAAATATACAAAAAACACAAATTAATATTCTGCAAGTTTAAACACACTCCTGCAATAGTTATTGCCAACAGCTGAATGTTTACAAAATACCTTCAAAGAGTTTTTAATAATTTTCTTGGCAGTTGCGTTCTTTTTAGCGTGCTTTAGCTTCATTAAAATTTCTCCAAAAAAGACGTGACAAGGAGCTTTTGTGTAAATGTGTAAAGCTTTATCATCAGCAGTTACAACTTCGTTGGGCAGCTGATCAAAAGTTTTCTTACCATTCAGTATAAAATTATTCAGTTTATCATTTGAAGTGGATTCAGCTTCAGTGATTTTTTGCATGGAAATTCGAGGTGATACTGAAAACTTTTCAACGTTGTCACTCTCATTGTCGTCAATATTTATTTTAAAACTCATTCCACCGTATTGCCATAGATGAAGGATTCTTATGGCAAAAATCTTCAAATCTGGACTTAATTTCTGCCAAGTGTATTGTAAAGGGGTATTGAAAAAAGCTTGTTCCATTGTAATGTTTTCCACAATTAAACCAGTTAGGATGTTGTCAAGGGTTAATGGTTGCTGCTTTGTAGTGGTTGTTGGTAATAGTTCAGTTAGATTAAATATTGATGGATTTGTTTCTGAACCATTAATAGATCTTTTTACAATTTTATTGTCCATGGTATTATGCAACAAAAAATCCAATAGGCCTTTTATGCCAAAAGGTACAAATATTGGATCATGTTTAATCCTTTTGGAATTTGTTTTACTTCTTTTTGCACGGTTTTTTTTCAATGGTTTTGAAGTGGTTAAGGTAGTTGTTACGGTTGTAGGTTTAGTGACAATAATGGCGGGTGATTTAATATTTTTGTCAAATGATGGTCTTATTAAAACCAAATGAATATTGAAATTCTGGTATTCGTTTTTAATCTTTTCAACCATTTGTAGTTGTTTTTGGGTCCAATCGTTCAAATCGTGCACCAAGTAAATCGTTGTATTGTCCAGATTTTCCACATCAGCACTAAAATAAACCAATTTATTGATGTGAGTTAAAATAATAAGATACAGTTTATATACCTGCGAGTGCATCTAGGAAATCTCATGTTATCTTGAGGGCCCATATAAGCCACTAACACAAGGAGCATAATTAAAAACGTTAAAGTGGATAGTAGGGCTGTCATCCAACATGGGCTGACGTAATCTGAAAATGTAATGTTTTTGATTCTATTGCAGTAATTTTAAAAATTATCACATCCGCATAATTACAATAATTGTAAACTTATAGAGTGTCCTAAAATAAATAAATTCTTACTTGGAAACTCGGTAAATACAGTAGTTGCACCAGAAGAAATCCCATAAAGCCGGCCCTTAGAATTGAAATCATCCCTTTTATTGTTTTTGGACAAATTTGTTTCACCTTCCACGATGTACAAAAGCAAAGGGGATTTTTCTTCTGTCTTCAAATTGTCCATAGTTTGAATAATAATCTACAAATGGCTAATAATTATAATTCGCAAAAGTATATGTAATTGATAACTTACAGTTTCTTATAAAAAATATTTGCAAATTTTGTCAATAGTTGACAACTGAACATGCACTCAACTTGGTTGTTGCATTATTAATTTTGCACCTTAAAATATTTTTGTTAAAATATTTAAACAATTTGAAACAATACACTTGACATTGAATTTGTTTTAAATTTGTAGGTGCTTGAACCAATAATGATACAGGAATTTTTCCATAATTTCCAACTATAATATATGGAATAATTACATAGGCCAAGAATAAAAAAGCGTTTTTTTTCCTGGCACGAGCCAGAATCAGTCTCTCCCACACGTACATTATGTCGAGTGGGAAAATCAAAATTTGTTAGGCACGGCGCGCTTTTTTCGACAAATTATTTCGTTAAAAACTCACAAAGCGATCGGACACTGAATTTGTGAAATGAGTGGACATCATCATCATAATCACAGGAGAAGGGTGAGTTTACAATCATATATCAATAGATTCTTATAGTAGGTACTCAATATATGGATTGAGTTTTTGATTTTGAGAACTTGTTCTTCTTCAATTTGAGTTGATTTTGGTGTTTTTTTTTTTAAAAAATATTAACGGCAAACCATTTTACAACTTTACAGCTTTACAGCTTTAAAGCTGATTCTAACAATTAAACAATTTAATATACTACATATAAAACATCTATAAATTGGACTATCACATCTGCCAACAAAATATAAAATATAAAGTATAAAATATAAAATATAAAACATGAAATATAAAATATAAAAAAGACCTATACAACTTCCAAATTTAAGATTCCCATCTTTACGTTTTTTCCTTGCTTTGTTTAAAAACCTACCTATAATATCACAGTTGTTTCAGACAATTCTTTAGTTTCATTTCGGATACATTAAACAAGTCAACTTGTAACTCCATTTGCAATTCATTAAAATGTTTCATCATTCTATCCATTGCCGCATTTTGGCCATAACGAGTACGATGTTGATTGACTTCAAAAGTTTTGTGTTCACGCAAAGTTCTAGGAGGCACATGAAAATTAAGTTTTGCCAAAATATACGAGCAATCAATAGAACCATGAACAACCCTATATAGGGTCATAATATCTGCATTCCGCCTTCTTTTATTCAATGTTTGTAATTTAAGTAAAATTTCCAAGTCTCATCTATAATAGTTATTTATGTATCAAGGGTACTAAGTAGATGATTATGCCTTGAGGGCGACAGTCTTTATACAATGGTCTTACAAAGCCGAGGGCCTCTGGCCCGAGGGTTCGTAAGTCGCCCGAGGGTATATATATCTATTAGTACCCGTGGTGCATACAAATTTTTATGTCATACCAGTTGGTTGTGAATAATAAATACCTGGGAAAAAAGTGTCACTTCGCAAATTGTCATCAGTGTGCATACATCATCATTTTTTGACAAAAATAACATGTTTATAAGCGTGAATTTATATTTCTTTAATAAAGAATAAGTTAATTGAAAACTGTTTTTTGCGTCTTTATGCCCGCGCGGGCCATAATGTGTACTTTATGCCCGCACGGGCATAAAGTAATGAATTATGTAGATGGTATCTAAGGTATAAAAACACAATAATGTATTGGTATGACATAAACAATATTATCTCTAGGGATATTCAATTTGTAAGCAATATAGGTAACATAAAAATTTTCTTTGAACTGATTCTATTTGGTTAATGTGAACCTGGAAGAATGGAGACCACACAACCTTTCTTTTTTCTTGAAGCAAACTTCATCAGAGCAGGTTTAAAGGAATTTTATATGTATTTTAGATTTTTGTTGGAGCAGCCTTCATCAAAGAAATAAACCTCTAAAGACTAATTTAAGTAGAAATGTCGTTTTATTAGAACATTTTATAGGTACTTTAGTACCTATTTCTAATATGAAACACATCAAGCTATGACGGTTAAGTTGGTACTTTCTTTCTTCTGGAATGTATTTCTATATTTTTTCCTTCTTAGAGTTCTAATATAGTATTGTCGCAGTCTTTCTTTTGTTATTGTTATTTCCTTTCTCTTTTAGTTTTTTTTTGATACATGGTGTCTTCGTTCAATTGGTCAAAAATGCTAGGGTATATAGAGGAATCATACAGAAGTAGTTTGAGATAGGACACCGATGGTCGGAAGTGCGTCGTTTCCAAAATACAGGGTGTTGAAATTTTACAAAAAAAATTGAATTTTTCCCTTATAATATTAATGCTTTTGTGATTTTAATAGAATTTTCAGGATTTAAATGATAGGTGGTGATGCAACTTTTTAAGGAATTGCAGTTGATTTGATTTGTCCAGGGACGGATTTGCAGCACATGTGTGTTAAATTGTTTGAAGAAAAAATGGTACAGCACTTTCCTCTATATACCTTAGCATTTTTGACCAGTTGAACGGGGACACCCTGTAGATTCTGTTTTATTTTTTCAAAAACAGTTTCTAATTAGTTTTCATTGTACATACATAGGTAAGGCTTTTTCTCCTTCCTTGCTAATTATTTATTTAACTTTTGTTATCATTTCTTTACACTCTTCATGGTCCTTTTTTTGAAGTGAAACTTCTTAAGCTAAATGCCTCATTCTCACTTGCGCGAAATTCGTTCTTTTTTTGACTTTGCTCCGACAATTTGACGTTTTATGCGTGTATCAAACGTCAAATTGTCGAAGCAATGTCAAAAAAGAGCGGATTTCGCTCCGACAATTTGACGTTTTATGCGTGTATCAAACGTCAAATTGTAGAAGCAATGTCAAGAAAGAGCGAATTTCGCACAAGTGAGAATTAAGCTTAGGCGGCGGTTTGATATTTAAACGACATTCAGGCCTTGGCCTATGATGTATCATTTTCTGTTATTTTAACAGCAGCGTTAAGTTATCTGTCACTGTTTATTCTATTTGTCAAAATTGAGACGGAAATAGATGTTGCGCCTTAACACAGCCGTTAAAATAACAGGACAGGATACATCATAGGCCTGAATGAAAAGTGATTTGAAAAACGCTTCACGGACAAATTTCGCTACTTGAGAGAGAAGAAAGGTATAACGTAAAGAGACGGAGAAAGATAGCTATTGATTGACTCAAATCAAGGATTACAAGCGCAAAGAGAATTGACGTTTTCAATTAAAAGAGATGGACGATATAGTATGAAAACATTCATATTCCCGCCAACATTCGCTCGCTTGTCAATGTCGATGTTTATTGGATGTTAAGCACCGATGAGTTAGGTATCTTTGTTTAGTGAATGGAAAATGACAATGACCGACATAGAATGGTGAAATTTGAAAGAAAATGTGGGAAGCAAACAGCTTCCGCAAACTAAACTTGAACGTGGATTACTTTGTATACTTGATGAGCCGTGGATTTCCCTTTCTTTTGCGAGTATCTTTTCTGATTTTGTGTATCCAAATTTTGACAAATGTAGGATTTGATAAAAACTTATGGAAAGACAGGTCCGCCCGGTGAATAGGAATTATTTTCACGAAAAGCCACACTACACACAATCATCATTGTTAGGAAAAAACCTTAAAAAAACCGAGGAAATAATAGTTTCCAGTCTCCACACGTATAAAAGTCTTGTCAACAAACCACTGTCAACGGTTGTCAATCATTGTTTTCATGCTCTTTTGGCGTCAGACAGTTTGACGCCAGAGAGAGAGGCTCCTGAATTGAAAAGGTCCATTGGCTATTATTGACAAGCGCCGATACCTTTGTGACGTCACCACAGATGCGCGTCTCCCTTTTGTTATACTATTATCATTGAATATTATCAAAAATGATATTAGAGTCATTGATTGCATTGAAACTAAAAACTATAAGCACAAAGAGGATTGCCTATTTTTGTCAAGGGCCGGTACCCTTGTGACGTCACTACAGATACGCGTTTCCCTTCTATAATAAATACACTACAGTTTCTATATGAATCTCTTATTATTTGCATAATAGTTATTTACAAGTGCGTTTATGAACATGATTTCAATAACGAGTGTGAAAGATTAGAACGATAAGGTCGTAGTTCGAATCGTTCTAATCAAACGAGTTTTGTAGACTTTGTTTTTTTTTTTTAAAGATAAAAGTCAAAATGACATTATGTTGGCAATACAATGTAAAATTGTCAATGCTTCAAATTTTTTATGTAGAAAAGGCTTGTGTTGCCAACATAGTTACTAAATTTTTGACTTGGGGACTTATCTTTAAAAAAAAACAGACCCTAGTTACTAAATTTTTGAGTTGGGGAATTATCTTTAAAAAAAAAAAAACTTTATGTAATAGTTATTTATATTACAAGTGGGTTGATGAACATGATTACAATAACGAGTGTGAAAGATTAGAACGACGAGGTCGTAGACCGAGTCGTTCTAATCACACGAGTTTTGTAGTCATGTTTAAACGCACGTTTGATGTACAACGTTTCATCTACAAAGCCAAAAATGAGAAAATGTTTTTTCAAATTTTCTTTTATTATTAGTTGTTTACCTTCATTTTACCTTCACAGGTTTAACTATGACATTTGTCAAATCACAAAAACTAGTTGTGTCACAGCATATACAAAAACAATCAGCAGGCTAACTCGAGTGACAGCCCATGTAATAAAAGAATTCATGGTCGGGATGTCATTAGCGGCCATTTTGGGATACGAGACAGGACCTGATTAACAATAATTTAGATTTTTTCTTTCGGGTCACAGAGTCGTATTGGCTTTAAATAAACTAATTTAATATTATATAATATTTATCCTTACCAATTTATTATTATTCTTAAATATACAAGAATGATAACTGATGACACCATAAATGACAACACGAATATACTAAAATCATTTTGAAAATCATAACTAAAATTCCGCTCTACACCGCACGCCTATGACCTCCTTCAGAAATAAACAAATAAATTAAAATGTCGGCGTCTCCGCCGTTTAATGACAGGATGGTATCCCCTAATGGCGGCTTGCGCAGAAAAGATGCGCGTGAGAGTTAGCCTGCTGAAAGTTGTGTTATGGATTCATAACCTAATCCATAACACCACTAGTTGTGTTATGAGTCATGACATAGGTAACTCAAATACTAGAAAAATGGTTATTTAAAAACGTCATACCTAGTTCATAACACAACTATAGTTGTGAAAAACAGTCATTAATAGACCTATCTATTTTACCAGACAAAGAGGTAATAATACGAAATCTTTTTTAGATAGAAAAAGACGCAGAACGCTTATTGCGCAAGACGAGGCAAAACGTACCAAATTATGTTAGACTTACGTATAGCAATCCGTTCTTATTATTTGCACGGGATAAAAAAGGAAGGAGGAAAACCGCGTGACGTGCAACCTATCTGTCAATCAAAAACACAAACAATTGAAAATCGATCACTTGTCAAGCTGCGTCAAGTTGAATATCAAGCATAACTTTATCCTTGTCAGACCACGGGCAATAGACAAAGACAAGGAGATGCCCAGCATGCAAAACGATTATTTTACACCTGTACTAGTTAGCCAATAAAAATGCATTGCCTCGTGTTGCGCGCGCATACAGGTAAAAATAGATAGGTCTATTGCCACAAATCAAAAATTATAAGCGCAAAGAGGATTGCCCATTATCGTTAAGGGCCGATACCCTTGTGATGTCATTACAGATGCGAGTTTTCCTTCTATAATAAACACAGTACAGTTTCTCTATACAGTTGCACCCTCAAAAGATGAATGAAGAAACTGGGTCGAGTGGTACCTTGTTTGAGAGATATTTGAGATGACTTTACAGATCTGTATTTTTTTTCGAAATCTGGCTACTAGTTTTCAAGATATTCGCCTCGGAATTTTCCATGGGGCGAAAAGAGAACGTGTTTTTCGTACATTTCTTACAAGAAAAAATTGAAATTCCTGAAACACGTCAATTTTGATTGCAAGGGAAATACTTTTTAGCTATTTCAGAATTTTCATAGGATGCATCCCCTTCACGGAGTGAGTTTCACCCTCAAAACTTGAATAGGGAAGCTAGGTCAAGTGGTACCTTGTTCGAGAGGTATTTGAGATCCCTTTACACATTTGCAATTTTTTTCAAAATTTGACTTTCGGTTTCCAAGATACTCGCCTTGGAAAGTGCCATGAGGCAAAAAAAACGTAAATTGTTAGACAAATGACATAAAAAAAAATATTCCAAATTGAATATTAATTTTTTTTATCCCATTTTGACGTTTAAAAATGACATTATATTGAACGCATAACAATAAAGATAAGTAGACGTTTATCACCTCAGTGATTTAAAAACATTTTAACTCACTCTCGGCATTTTAAGTCACTCTGCCCAACTAAAAATCTGAAACCTCAGTGATTTAAAATATTTTTAACTCACTCCCGGCATTTTTCCTTCTACACTTTATTTTTAAAATTTTCACAATATGGGATAAAATTTTGTATACATCACGTGAGTTAAAATGTTTATTCATTCGAAGAAAATAAACCCACTCGCTAGGGCTCGTGGGTTAAACTTTCTTCTCATGAATAAACATTCATTTAACTCACTTGGTGTATAAATAACTATTAATTGTTTTACAAATTCAGGTAATTTAGATTAGGTATACCTATCTTATCAATTGTTCGAAATGACCACCATCTTCTTTCATAGACGTTCTCTTCTCGCCCCATGGCAACTTCCGAGGCGAATATCTTGAAAACTAGAAGTCAGATTCCGAAAAAAATTACAGATCTGTAAAGTCATCTCAAATACCTCTCAAACAAGGTACCACTCGACCCAGTTTTCCTATTCAGCTTTTGAGGGTGCAACTCACCCCGCTAAGGGGGTGCAATCTAGGAAAATTTTGAAATAGTCAAAAAGTGTCCCCCTTGCAAACAAAATTGACGTCTTTCGGCATTTTTTTAATTTCCTGATAATTTTCGAGAAAATCCAGGTGGATCCTTTTTAATTTTCCACCCTGTATATATGAATCTATTTGCATGAAATTATGAAACTCCTGTAAAAAAAAATATATCCCAAAATGGACGACCATCCGTCACCATTTTCCTTTTCCTCCGTGTGTGTGTGTGTCAATAATTAATGATGTTTCCACCAGTCGCAATCTTCTTTTTCTTTTGAGTTTTCAGTACGACCTAAAGGTGGCTCTACAATCAGTATATTTTTTTAGTTCCTCAAACGCTCCAGATTGAGTTCTACCCCATTCGAAAATGGTGTCCTTTTTGGCAGGCTTGTTCCAAGAAAATTTCCAAGTGTGCATTTAGCCAATGAAAGATTGTGCATATTCGTTTGAGATTGTGCACTTGCTTCAAAATGACGTAATTGACGCAATTAATAGCGCCATCTCTTGGGTTTTACAGAAAGCAGGGATAGAACGTCCTACAAGTTGTCGAAAAATTGATTTTTATAGATGTGTTGTTGACGAATTAAAATAAAAATTACAGTGACTCGCGACAAACCTCAGCTCTGTTCCAATAGACATGAGAACCTTTAAAAAACCAGTAATTTCCAGTTGCCCACCTATTTTTCAATAAGTTCAACGTTTATCCTAATTGACAAATGAATTGATCAACTGGAAATTACCGTTCTAGAACGGTTCTCATACCTGTTGGAACGGAACAGCTCTTTTTACCAACAGTGATGACAATGGAAGTAAGCCGCCAATTACGTGGCTGATTTTGAACCGGTTTCTCAATAGCGAGTCACCCCCAGGTCAAGCCTAACTTCAGGGTAAACATAGCAACTGGACACTCTTACCCTGTGGTTAAAACCAACCTAGAGGTGACTCGTTATTGAGAAACCGGCCCTTGACTCTCTTTTCCTAGTTACAAGTCTAGAGCTTAGCTTTCAAAATAACAGATGTAAGTAACCACCACTGATCTCGTAACCACAATCAACGCGCGAGGCGAGGTTGCCTAAGGTTTGCTGAAGGAAAATAATGTTTGTTTTGGCTGGATTGTGAAAATTGTGCATATTTTATGAAGATTCTACATGGTGCATATTGAGATCAAATTGTGCACCTTGGAACATCCCTGCTTTTTGGTCAGATATGTTAGCAGTCGTGCAATTGAGCAAAACCTTTGACATATTTACGAAAATAGCATATGAACTGTCGGACTTGGTGCATGTTTTTGGGTGCCGGAAATTCTTTAACTGCCTTGATTTTTGCTTTTCCAGTAACACTGATTTCGTGACCAAGGTAGTCAATTTTCGTCTGGAAAAACTGAGACTTTGTCAGCTTGAGCGTAACTCCCGCCTTTCTAAAGAGCTATAAGTCCTGTCACAAAATTTGTGGAAGGTACCAATAATATCGTCCATGTAAGCTAACGCTGTGGAGAACCTCATAGATCCCAAGATCGTATTGATAGTTCCTTGAAAAACTGCGGGTGCATTGGTCAACCCAAAAGGCATTCTAAGGTATTCATACTGCCCGTCTGGTATTACGAATGCTGTTTTATGTCTGGAATCATCTGTCTGATGATATCCACTAGCCATATCAAGTGTAGTGAAATAATTGCATTTCTAAATAATCATCTACTCGTGGTAAGTGATACGAATCTCTTAAGGCGGTTATTATAAAACTACTTTGGCAGTTAAGTAAAAATTAACTTCTGGAATTACATGACGTCATTCCAGAAGCTAACTTTCAGTTATTCTGTCAAAATAGTTTTATAATTATAATACCCACCATTACAGTGTTTGAGTTTAAATTTGTAATCCACACATAGTCTTGTTTCGCCATTTCTCTTTCCAACAAGCACTATCGGACTTGCGAATGGAGAATTTGACTTCTTAATTAAATCAGCTGATAACAGGGAACTAACAATTTCTTGTTCGTTATACGAGAGGCGATAAGATCTGTAAGTTACAGGTTTTTCGTCTGTAAGATGAATAGACATTTGAGAATATTACCTAATTCGTGAATAGTGGATTCTATTGGATCAAAATTAATTAAATTACGTGAAGTACGGCGCGTAACGGTTACGTCATCAGTACTATTTGTTGGTTGCCTTGAAGTATAGTCACTTCGAGAGTTTGTGCTTGTAGTCACAAGAGACTTGGGTGTATAGCAACTATAACGTTATCCAAGGGACTATTGGGAGTAGCCAGAGTTTTGTTACTCCCTCTAGTCGGCGTATAACTTCTCAAATTTTTACTCACGTTTTGAGTTTGTGCTGTACCATACTTTTTGGCAAAGTTTTCCAAAATCTAAATTATCAGGTAGACCTTTTTACGTATTTCAATTTTTTTTTTGTTGAGATTTTGTGTCTTAATGGTTCTTTGGGACCCCCCGAACTCCATACACTAAATTATTCCGAGATTTGGAGCCGGGTTCTATGAGAAAAGGCACTCAGGAAAATTGAAAAATTGATAAGTCACCCCAAATTGCTTAACACGATTAGTTATTTCTGCTATACAAGTGTATGTAATTCTATATTGCTGAACCTGGAAAATGTTGAGTAATCTAAAAACTGGTCAAAACAAACTGATCTTATTTTCAAGGAATATTATTTACAATAAAGCTTAGTTTGTATATCTGATTATCATTTTTGATAAATATATTCTCTATTTTCCCTTGTAGAGGAGCAGTTCATCAAAAACTTCCAGATCAAACACCTCCACCATCAGCAGCTACCTAGAAGACGTATCAGAAGACAACTTTGAGGGTCCAAAATATGAAATAAAAACTTCAAAAATCATGGGCAGGTAACGTAAAAATACAAATTCCATTTAGCATATACAAGATTAATTAGGAGAATTCAAATCAAACCAAAATATTTCCATACCGCCTGTCAGAAAAAAACCTAAGAAAAATATCACAATGGCTAATTTAAGGCCTATGTTTATAGTTAATAAAAATAAATTTAATGATCGAGAAAATCTTATACAAATTGCTTGAATAACAAATAGACACATATGCTGGGTTTGTATAATATGCGGATCAAATCATGTGAGGTAATAATTTTTCTCTGAAATTTTAGCCTCTTGTTAAGGCGTTGCTAGAAAAACATACATATAACTTTGTATATTTTTTCAAAATCTGAAATGGGCTGGTTTATTTGATTTTTGAGAGGATCTAAGGATGTCACCTGTTTTTTTTTGCAACATAAGTTTGTATGTGTAGGTTGAAAACATATACATAAACAACCATAAAATGGATCATTTATACAGTGCATTTTGGCTGCAAATCCCAAAGTTATAAATTATATTGTCTTTTAGTATAAACCCACAAAGTCACAAAGTTGTATTATTTTATGTATCCGAGCCAGAAAACGCGTTTTGTTTCACCCACTGCATAATCCAACAAAATTATATAAAAAAGTTTTGATGCCTAAAATATTATGGCATGGCTAATATAACTACTAGGCTCGTATTTAATCGATAAATATTTGCAAAATAGACACTCAAACCTCAGTCAATATATAATCAATAGTCGTTTTTTAACGGGCAGAATTTCAATAAAATCAATTTTAAACAAACTTTGGTGCTTTGCCAAAATTTCCAAATCGTTTGACTGCACCAAATTATTAATAAAACGATGTCAACGTTTTATTATTTGTTTTCATCCAGATGTTTGTCAGTTGCAGAATTATTTTGATAGTTTCACTTATTTCAAATGAGAAGTTTATTAATAGAAATTGTTCAGGATTAAAATGTTGTAGAATGTTGAATAATTGGATCATGTAGTTTCACTAAATCACTCAAGAACTAAATATTCATAACTATTCCTATGGATATCACGTTCTATACCAACTAGCATTAACAAAAAAATGTTTTCCTAACTATAGCCAACACAAATGGAAAATCAAGGTAGTGGGGCACAGAAATCCTCTATCAGATAAGAATAAAAGGCCTATAGAAGAACATAAGAATCGCCTAAACAGTTAAAACAAAAGAGGCCCCACGTTGGGCGCCAAAAACTATGAGGCTTTATTTTATACAAAACAAACACCAACAGACGACGTCAGAATTTGAAAATACTAAGACTCCGTTTGGTGAAATCTAGTAGAGTAATTAATACTAATCAAAATTTGAACCATTACACTTATATGTTAATATGATAAGTTAACAGTCAAAATTAATACTAAAATCTCTTAATTATAGATACATAGTATCAAAAAAGGAAATCAAACCAGGCGAAATCATAATCACCGAAGAACCATTAGTCATAGGACCTTGCACCGATTGTAAAGTTCAATGTCTAGGATGCTACAAGGATTTGGAAAAGGAACAACAAATTAACAAGTAAATACTTAATGAAACATTCTTCTAGAAAACATAAACATTTTTATTTCAGGTGTGTATCTTGTGGTTGGCCACTGTGTTCGAAAAAGTGCCCGGGCCTCAGAAAAACCCACGGACACACTCAAATCGAATGTACGATCTTACAAGAATGCAAATCGGCTTCGTTTTTGAATTACACCAATTTGGAAGAGCTGCGCACCAATTTCCAAGCCCTAGTGCCTCTGAGGTGTCTCATATTGAAAACCACAGATCCCAGTAGTTATGCTATATTAATGGACATGGAAAGCCATAATGGTATCAGGAAAAATATTCCAGATTTGTGGGCTTTAAATCAGGCCAGAGTTGTAGATAGGATTATAAAAGATTGGAGGTTGACTGAATTTACTCCGGAAGAGATTCACACTATTTGCGGTATTTTGGAAGTTAATGCTTTTGAAATTGGACAAGGTGTTAATATAAGAGGCCTTTATCCAACTGCTTTTTTATTGTCTCATAACTGCGTGCCTAATACTAATCATACTGATGAAGAAGGTACTTATCATTTGACTATAAGAGCTTCTACAAGGATTCCAGAAGGCCATCCAGTCACTTTAAGTTATGCCTATACTTTACAGGTAAGATGTTTGCCCAGTTTAAATAAATATTACTATTGTATTTTTTAACAGTGTACTCAAAAAAGACGCGAACATCTTTTAGAAAACAAATTTTTCGAATGCAAATGTCAAAGATGTTGTGATAAAACCGAATTGGGCACGTATAGTGGAGCTTTATTGTGTCCAAAATGTGATAATGGACTTGTACTTTGTGATAACCCGTTAAATTTTGATAGTTCTTGGAGCTGCAATAGTTCAGGCAAATATTGTCCTGGATATTCTATTAATGCTAATTCTATAAGGGTTTTGTTGAACAGGTAATTTTACATCCTATAAGAAAATATGTAATTATTAATGTTTTTTTTTCTAGAATATCCCACGAAGTTGAACAAATAGACTCCAACGATATTTGTGCTATGGAAAACTTTCTTCAAAAATACAGAAACGTTTTACATCCTACTCATTATTTATGTTTAAGCATAAAAGTTTCTTTAAGCCAAGTTTACGGTAGAATATCTGGATATTTAATACACGAATTAAAAGACAAACCTTTAATAAGAAAAAAGGACATTTGCCATGAAATTCTTAAAGTATTTGATGTAATTGAACCTGGCTACACACGAATAAGAGGTAAATAGCTGATACATTTCATAAAAAAAAACAAATTAAAACTGAATAAATCCCAGGTGTGACTCTATACGAAATCCATGCACCAATGATGATTCTTTTATCACGCCAAATGGAAACTGAATCAATGTCCAAAAGTGAGATTAAAGCAGCATTAAGAGATGTTTTAAAATATTTGACTGAAGCCAAAGTTATTTTGAGTTATGAACCTGAGCACTCGCCAGAAGGAATTATGGGCAAAGCTGCTACAGATGCTTTGATTCAAATTAAGGATTGGGAAAAAATTGTTGGGAAAATTAAGTGAAATAAAAATATTCCAAAAATTAATTAACATTATCAAACAATCTAACAACTTCAGGCATTTCGTCCAACTTTTTCATTAATTTCTCAAACAATTCTAAATCAGTGGGTCCAATTTCTTGCATTTTATTTGGAATATAGTCCACCGAAGCGTTGACTATTCTATAGCCCAAATTTTCCAATAACTTTTGACATTCTGGAAAATTTTGTTTGCTACATAAAAACTGAAATATATTGCCGTCTAGGATTTCTACTTCCTCTGCATTACATTCTATAGCATGATCCGTAGCTAGTTCTAGTTGTTCTTTCAATGGTTTTGATGTTAAATTGGTATTTTCTGCGTCGATAATGCCTTTTTCATGGAACATATGCAAACCGGAACCATCAGCAAACTTTGATCTAGAAATAAGAGTTATTATAATTTAGGTTTTTTTTAGTTAATGTGTTTCAGTACTTAGTTTTCTTTAGTTGAATAGAAATTGATTGCTTTACTACATGCAAATTATTAGTATATAGTTCACAGAGCACCATGCAGCTTCCAGGTCCTCTAAAAAACAATCTTAAAAATGTATTGTTTCAATATATTGGAAAACTCATACTTTATATCTATTAGGTGGGCTTTGTTATTTGATTTGTCATTTTCGCAACTTTTTAAGACACTCTGTAAGGTGGCTAGTGGCATATTGAAGCGTTTGCATTGGTCTATTACTTGGACAAGTTTCAGGTTCTTTTTAGGGTCTGAGGATCCTCCTTCTATAACAAAAAGAATATGTGAATCCAGTGTTTTAGCATATAGATACCTACAGGTTTGCAAGCGCATAGAAAAAGGATTAAAATTAATGTCTTAGGACTTTAAAGCCACAGATGCAAAACTAATAAGGTTGCAATGAGACTTTTGATTCAAGATTTGTAGATGATGTAGTTGGCTCCATTTCGAGCCTAATTACGTCAGGATCGGATTGAAATTAACAGAGTTATAGGCAAAATGTGCATCGAAGCCACTGAAATTTTCAAAATTTGAAATTGAAAAGCGTTTTATTTTATTTTTTAAAGAAGCATTCAAAGATTTGGATTGAAACATTGCAAGCGGATAGAAAAAGGATTGAAATCAATGAAAAAAAATATTAAAACATCCTTCTGCTAGCTTATTTTGATGAAAATTGAAGTCCCAAGACTTTAAAGTCTTAAGATGCTACACTAATAGGTAATAGCTGTTGCATTGAAATTTTTGATTCAAGATTTGTAGAGAATTTATTTGGCTTCGTTTGGAGCCTTATTACGTCAAGATCGGATCGAAATTAAAGGAGTTATGAGCCAAAATGTTTCATACATAACGATCAATGAAGTTTTAGAGAAGTACGTAGGTTGTAAATAAATTTTATGAAGTCATCCAGGGTGCCTTAACATTATGCAAATCTCCATAAGGCACCCCAGATGACGTCACCAAGTAACCTTGCATAACAACAACTCTGTAAAATTTAACTATTTTCATTGTACTGCACTGTTAAATTTATGTAATCAAAAAAACCCCTGTATTGAAAAAATAAGCATATAAAGGACACAGTTGAAGAAGCAACAAAAATTCAAATTTTATATTAGTACCGCAATTAATATCCATCAATTTAAACGGACGCCAAACGGACCAAAGTTTCTGACTTCTGACGTCACTTATGGTTATTTGAGAGAATCATCAACAGAAGGATCCTATTCTGGTCGTGTTAAAATTATATTTTTGTGCCTTCAAGGTTGTTTGAAAGAGCTGGTTTGCCTTCAAGGTTATTTGAAAAAGTTAGGTTGCCTGATAACTGTTATGACGTCATCTGGTGTGCTTACTTAATAGGTTTGTTCCAAGGTTTCTAAAAGTAATAGGTTGCCTGGTAATGGACAGATGACGTCATAAAGTTATCAGGCAACCTCTCTCAAACAACCTTGGGTTTGTTCCAACACGTCAAAAATCGTCCCATAAATTGCACAGAATCGTGACGATACATTGTACAACTACTTGACGTGTTGGAACAAAGCTAATGCAACTCTCCATTGACTCTTAAGACACCCCAAATGACGTCATCTATAGTGAAACCAAATCCAAGCGGCAGTAAATGACAAACTGGTCATTTTCGTTACAACCTATCAAATGTCCTCCATGCATGCGCATTGGTCAAGGTAGGGCGTTTTCAAGGAGAATACACACTCTAAGGCTAAAGGAGTGCTTATCGGCCTAATTTTTGGTAATCGCCGCCATATTGGTTTTCAAGTGTTTTCAACCATTGCCGACGTCATAACTAAGTCGTCAGCTGTTTAAACAGCCTACGTCAAGGCGAGAAACGCAATGCTGCCTACGTCACAACTGGTTGATTGGCGTGAGAGGGTAGGGGGGGATTTGTTACACACAGGCCTTATGGGGATAGGCCATCCTGTAGTAGTAGTGTGTATCATCCTTGGGGCGTTTTAACCAATAGGAAGGCTGGTGTTTGTTTACTATTTAGGTTATTTGATGTCATTTACTGATAACTTAATATTAACTTTAAGAACCTTGGTTAGCCTGATAACTTTTCTAACGTCATCTAGTATGCCCAAACATAATGCAAATTTCCATAAGGTCTTCCTGATGACGTCATCTGTTCACCGTTAGGCAATTCGAATCCAAGGATAATACACACTACCACACAGGATCGTTTTTGGGAACCGCGGCCATATTGTGTAGTATCACCATTGACAACGTCATCAGCTACGTCGTCAGCATTTTGCGCCAGCGGTCGTAGTTTAGAATATGCATTTATGATGAAAATTATTATTTAATTTTGATTTATAATAAGCAAAGAGAAAGATACAAACGAGATCTAATAAAGCGTTGTTTTATGTAGAATGGTAATTAATGTACCAAAATCAAGTATGCATAAAGCAAAAGCCCGTAGAATTGACCTTACGGTTTACGTTGAGGAAAGGAACGACACGCTGCTTACGACATCACTGGTTGTTTGGCGTGGTAGGGAAGGGGGCCAAGTAGGGGGCTTGAAATTTGATCTACACAGGCCTTATAAGGATGAGCTAACTTCGAATTGGCTGATAATTCAAAATGGCGACGTGGGCATAACAAACCTGGCAACCGTGAAGATGCCTTTACATTCAATTTCACTTGATTGCAATTTGAATGCGAATTGAATTTGAACGTGACTTTAAGGTCCATGGGTGTGTTATTCCCATTGCGCCATATTGAATTGAGAGAACGTCAAATCTGCTTGATAACTTTATGACGTCATCTGGGGTGCCTCAACGGGCCGGTTTCTCAATAGCAAGCGACCCCCGGGTTAAGCATAACTCCAGGGTAAACATAGCAACTGGACATGTGTACCTTGGAGTTAAAATTAACCCAGTGGTGACTCGCTATTGACAAACCGACCCAACATGATGTAAATCTCTATAAGGCACCCTAGATGCGTCATCAAGTTACCCGTGACCAGAACACCTATTAGGAACCTTGTGACAAATCACCCTATACTCTGTCCAACCAACCTACGGAGTGAAAAATAACAAACCCTTCAAAAAGGTTCGTTACTATTGGTCATTTATAAGCCCGCTTTACACTGAAGAGTGTTGTTTTGTAGGATTTTGAATCAGTGTTCGATGGCTGAGTTCGTTTATTGCATCTGCGAGCAAAAAGAGCAAATTTTGACGGGCGTCACGTGATCACTTATCTTTTTTTGTGTCAGCGTCAAATCACGTGACATCTGTCAAATTTTGCTCCCCATTCAAGATGGCGTGGCGGCCACACATAGGCCAAAAAACACCAAAAAAAATATCTAGTTTCTGCCAGACTTTAGAGTTTACGTACCTAGTCAACAAATATCTTATTAAGGGCGGGTATTATAACTTTTTGAATTACATGTAATTCCAGAAGTTAACTATAAGTTAACTCTCAAAGTAGCTTTATAATACCCGCCCTAAATATTCAAAATCAAAGTTGCAAGCAAAATAATTAAAATACGCATAAAAACACATATTCAAAACCAACTTGCTTAGCCGCCACGCCATATTGAATTTTTGTTTTGACAGATGGATTGGATTGCCTAATTTCAGCGACCACTGAACATGATACTACAACCACTACTTGATCATACTACATACGATACTACGATTCATGACACCGTTACCCAAATGACAGGTGGAGTATATTTGACAAAGAGCCTAAAAGAGGACGCCATGATCGTTGTTTATTTGGGTTTGTTGAATTTATGCAGCATACTACTGGGTTAAAACTCGCGCTAAAATACGCCTAAGTCCTCCTGATGACGTTATATATTCACCATTACGCAATTCGAATCTGTCCTTGATTCGAATCAGCTGATAATTCAAGATAGCGTCGTGGGCATAACAAACTGGAGACCGTGAAGGTACATTCACATCAATTTCCATCCAAATTGCAATCAATTGGAATTAAATGTAACGCTACCTTCATGGTTGTCAAGCTACTGCGCCTTCTTGTGTTATGTGTGAAACTTTATAATAAGTGACGTCACGCACTTTTTTACATTGAAAACCTTGCATTGAAATTTAAATCATGAATTTTGTTTGTTTGTTTCTAATTACCTGTTACTGCTACTCTAATTTGCCTGGCTAATTTGGTAAATAAAACATTTCTTTCAGCATCTTTGGCTCCTTTTATGTGTTTTATGTTGGCCCATTTGGAATGTCCCGCGAATCGTTTATGGACGAAATTTAATTGGACTAATTTTCGAAACATATTGTTACCTGTATAAAATAAATAATTTTGGGGCCCCACAAATAAATAAAAAATTGCTTTTTACTTACATTATTTAAAAATTAAAAATGTTTGAGGTTATGTTGGTTGAGGTACGAATCTGTCAGAAAATAAATTTAATATGGCGGCATGGGTTAAAGCACGTTAAAGTTGAACATTTATTTTTAACGTAGAAAATCAATACGTTTTAGGGCCGATTATCCACTAGTCAGTTTTTATTAGTTCTTTACTAATCAGGATTTGAGCAATTTAGCGTCTTAGAATTTAGCATACCTTTTGCCAAATTTTGCTGGGTTTTGGGTTTTGCACCAATAACTTCTCAAGGTAAGGTAGGTACTCCGCTTCTCCATCAAAAAACACGAAAATTATATTTCTAAAACGATAAAAAAATGTCATTAAAATACTACAAAATACACAGAAAACATTTTTAGGATACAAACCGACAAGATTTTTAACTGAAATCCTTATAGCGTCTATTTAACTGTCTGACCCTGACCGCCATATTGATTGGATTGTCATAGGAGGCTTTAGCCACCATTTATTTTGAAAAAGAAGAAAAATATTAAAATTATTTATAATAAAAAACTTATACAACGTTCAAGATCGATATAAGTTTAATTGAATTTAACTATGGTCAAATAACTATAAAATTCCATATTTCAAATTAAAAAATATGACGGTATACTGCGTTATCTGTCATTGATTTTCAAAAGGATCAATCGAATTTAAATATTCAAATTTGCAGGTTTCTGATTGGCTGCGTTATTTTGGCAGATGTCATCATTTCTTCCCCCCTTAAAAACCGCCAAATTAAACCATTGTCCATTAGCCATTTTGCAATTTGCAAAATCACATTTCAGTTAAAAATCTTTTTGTTGCAGTTATTTGTTAAATTTATTGTTAATTTATTAAGTTTGAGGTAAGTTCTCAATTGGACATTTTCCACTTTACTACGACACTCGAAATTTTTGCTAAAATACAAGCTTTTTTGAGAGATCTTTTTTTTTTAAATATCTTTTTTTTTTGAAGCCTCGTTTTCTTTGAACTTTATTCGTTTTTACAGATCAACCATGGGAGACGAAAACAGAATGCGTTCTTTCAAGAACAAAGGAAAAGATTCAGAGGTTAGTATTTGTATTTGTTGGGGCCCCCCATACAAAATTCACTATTGTAGCTCTATTTCTATAAATATCTCATTGTTATCTTAGGAAATGCGTCGTAGACGTATAGCCCAAACCGTAGAACTAAGAAAAGCAAGAAAAGAAGACCAGCTCTTCAAGAGACGCCACATGTCTGAGGTTCTTGATGAGCCAACTTCTCCACTGCAGGAAAACAATGTGAGCCCAGTTACCATGACTGCTGAAGAGATAATGTTTGGCATGATGAACCCAGATGAAACCATCCAATTCAAAGCGACTCAGGCCTGCAGAAAAATCCTAAGCAGAGAAAGAAACCCACCAATCGACCACATGATTAGATTAGGAGTGGTGCCAAGATGTGTAGAATTTCTAACCAAACATCACAATCCTAGCTTGCAATTTGAAGCCTGTTGGGCTCTTACAAACATCGCCTCAGGCACTTCGGAACAAACTGCAGCTGTCATACAAGAAGGAGCAATCCCCAGGCTTCAATCCTTATTAGTCTCGCCCAGGATAGATGTGGCTGAACAAGCTGTGTGGGCCTTGGGTAACATTGCAGGCGACGGTCCTACACCCAGAGACATGGTGCTCAATTCCAATGTGTTACAAGATATTTTAAGGCTCATCAAGCCTGAAACTCCTGTGTCTTTGTTGAGGAACGCTGTTTGGGCCACTTCTAATTTGTGCAGGAACAAAAACCCTGCTCCTGATTTTGATCAGGTTAAAATTGCTTTGCCCGTTTTGGCTAGATTATTAATGTCTACTGATAAGTTAGTAACAATAATATTTCTGCTTTATACATAATTATTAAACTACCTATTTTCAGAGATGTACTAGCTGATTCTTGCTGGGCTCTTTCTTATTTGACTGATGGCAATAATGAGAAAATCCAAACAGTTCTTGATACAGGCCTGGTTACGCGATTAGTTCAATTGCTAGGCAGTAATGACAATACAGTTCTAACTCCTGCTCTTAGAGCAGTTGGTAACATTGTCACTGGTAATGATCAACAAACTGATACGGTTTTGAGCGCTGGAGTTTTGCTTTGCATGAACAGACTGTTGGTTTACCCCAAATTGAATATTGTCAAAGAAGCTGCTTGGACTATTTCTAATATCACTGCTGGAAATCCTGAACAGATCCAGAGAGTTATTGATGCTGGAATTTTGCCAGTGTTGCTGGAAGTTTTGTCTTCTGGGGATTTTAAAAGTCAAAAAGAGGCTGCTTGGGCTATCACTAATTTAACCAGTGGCGGTACTATAAGGCAATTGGCACAACTTGTTGAGGTGAATTTACTCAATAATAATTACAATTATTATTTAATAAAAATAACTTATTTATTTTTTTAGTTGGGTGCAATCAAGCCCATGTGCAACCTGTTAAACTCCAAAGACTTCAAAACTGTCTCTGTGGTTTTGGATGGTTTGAACAATTTGCTGTTGGCTGCTCAAAAATTGGGCGAAGCTGAGAAAGTGGCCATTTTGATTGAAGAGTGCGGTGGTTTGGATCTGATTGAGTCATTGCAAAGTCACGACAATGAGAAAATCTACGAGAAATCACTCAGCATCATTGAGAACTTCTTTAGTGATGTAAGAATAATTTTTTCAAAATTAATTGTTATTTGAATTATATGAAATTTATCTCTGTTTCAGGGTCAAGGAGAAGAGTCTGTGACTGCAACCAATCAAGATGGTCAGATTACCTTGAACCCTTCAAATGATATGCCCAGCGGTGGGTTTAGTTTTTAAATCATACATCATACAAAAATCATGATCTCCCATTCCAACTTCTTTTTATACTCTTTTGAAAACTAATAAATATTTTCTTATTGTTTAGAGACTTTTTATAAGTTGTAAAATTTTTCCATTGAAACTCATTTTTTTTCTAGTATGTATATTATAATAAATATTTGATTATTTCCTTAAAAAAATTTGTATTCTTTCTAACACCAATTATTATATTTACTGTATATAAGTTACCATATAATTCCTCCCTCACTAATTTTGAGAAGATTGGAGATGATTTCCGAAAGGTTTCGGTTCTATGCCCACTTTTACATCAGTTGATTCTCCTTCTTCTAACAATAATAATTATATTGATGAGAAAATTTTGGATTGATTTTCTCTGCTTTTCCATCCATAGAGGCGGTTCGACCTATCAGGTCTCTTCAGTATGGCTACGAAAAGCAAAGAAAACCAATCCAAGTTTTGTGCCTGTAGGCAAAATACAAATATTAGTACGACGGTCGAAATTTGATCGTGGCGCCATCTAAGACAAAGATTCAACACTAAATAGCAATTTTTGCTGTAATTTAGAGTGGATAATAGGTTTTCCAATTCCGGGTTTACCCACGAACTGAATTTTGGTCGGCCGATTGGACAGTCAATCACTAAGTTACAGCAAAAATTGCTGTTTAGTGTTCTTTGTCTTAGACGGCGCCACGATCAAATTTCGACCGTCTTATTGAAAATTCTATAGGTATTTCATATACAATGTCATGCCAGAAATACCCTTCATGTTAAAGCTGAACTTACCTCATTAGACGGTATAGTATATAATTCCTACCAATATCCAATGCCTTAAAGAGGGTGGATAGTTAAGTTAGGCTTTTAGCATTTTCTAAATCTTCTCTTATAATTTCAAGATTTATTTCTGTTAATTGTAAAGGTAGTTTTAGTCTCAAATTAATTATGTCTGGTTTTTAGGAATCATAATTATTTCCTTAAATTTTGACTTTGCAAATCGAGGGTAAAATCAATGAAATGTTACTATTATTACTTCAACGCTAATGTTGGCTGCGACATTATTTCCACCAGAACAATTTCAAATTTTAGTATGATGAGCTTCCAACTTTCCTCTTTTCTTCAAAAGTTTCACCACTTTTCCATAGCTGGTTTTTCAGAAAAACATGGAAATGTAAGAGGGTACATTTCGAGCTTAGTAACTGATTTTTAAGAATCCCTCATGGTGTGGATTTCCACTAGAACAATTTCAAATTTCAGTATTATGAGTTTCCAACTTTCCTCTCTCCTCTTCAAATGTTGCACCACTTTTCCGTACCTGGTTTTTCAGAAAAACATAGAAATGTATGAGGGTACATTTTGTTCTTGGAAATTGATTTTTAAGAATCCCTCATGATGTGGTTTTCCACCAGAACGATTTCAAATTTTAGTATGATGAACTTCCAACTTTCCTCTCTTCTCTTCAAATGTTTCACCACTTTTCCATGGTGTGGTTTTGGAAGTAAAAGCTTCCTTTAATGGAATAATTATAAGGGAATTGTCATCATTAAAGTAGTACCTACTACAACAGTGGTGGTCATACAATGAAATTTTATTGCCCAAAATGCTTAGAGGGTGAAACAACATTCCTATTCAAAAAACTGCTAGCCAGCAACGACACAATTATTCAAGATAAAACAACAATTATTAGTTTACTACAAAAAGAATTAGACAAACTAAAAAACAGTTTGGATCTACGTGTGGCCCATGTGGGGTACAGCGATGCAGTAAAAAAACAGAAAAATTAGGTCATAATTGTAAAACCGAAAAATGCCTCTCAAACAAGTGAAACAATGAAGAAAACTCTTGAAGAAAAAATTGATCCGAGTGACCTGGGAGTTGGGGTTTCAAGGATAAAGTACATTCGAGATGGTGGAATAGCTATTAAGTATAATGAGGATCGTAATGAAAATGCGCAAAATAAATGTAAAAATATAAAAAGCTCATTAGGACAACAATATGAAGTAAAGGTTCCTGAAAAGAAGAATCCCAGAATAATAATACCTATTTAATATGGATGAAAATCAATTAAGGGAAGAAGATATTTTATTGCAGAAACTAGTCATCCAGAATAATATAAACACAGATCCTGTGACAAAATTGAGATGTTAAGAAGAATGCTGAAAATTAAATTTAATCTGAAAAGGATCCTAAATACCTCCGAACCGGAGGCAATCCAAACAAAAACCTCACTTATTCTCTTTTTCGGTTATGGTTAGTGCAAAGGGTTATAGATTCAAGATGACTTACCCTTTTATTGCCAAAGTTGCTAACTCCCCTCCTCAATTGCACAAACCGGCACGAAAGATCTTTTTCGGCCACTACCAGTGATTAGAGCAATTTATGACACCAAAAATGAAAACTCCTTTTTTTAAAAGAATAAAATTTTTGTTTTATTCTAACAATTTCCGACGATAACTGCCAATAACTGCATCAACTCTCGCTCAAATAAGCGAGAGAGAACCAACCCCTATTTCTTGAGGGTACTGCTCTTAGCAGCTCATTGGCTAGCTGTTAGTACCTAGCCCTCTCAATATTCCTTATTGCTCTTTCCTTATTGGTTCTCGTATCGTTTACCCTATTTAAACCCTTAGTGGGGAAAGCGGGGCAGAACGGGGCAGCGGGGTAGAACGGAAAACATTAAAAAGCGAACGTGCGTCCAGAAACATCCAAACTTACACTGAATCTCATTTAGACGCATTAAATACATGTAGATACGTCAAAGTTGTCCGAAAAACATCGAGCAAGGGTTTAGTCTCCTAAGCAGCTTGAATTTTCGTGTGAAGTTGTAACATTAGCATCCATATTAACCACCGTAAGTAATTTGCATATTGAATTTTAATCTATTTCAATTATGTTATGCAAAGAGCTTTTATTAGGCAACATTTTTATCACTTTGTGTTTTTTTCCAAGGATTTTACTTAAAAAATAAATATTGCACATGGGGCGGAATGGGGTGGGGTACAATGGGGTACCGCGTACTGTCCCGCCTAATGTCGACTAAGTGTTTTTTCAGATGGTTAGTTAGAAGTTGTGTTCGGAAGACAAAGAGTCAGTAATAGAGTATCAAATCCATGAACGCTGCATTTGGCTGGGTTTGTTAATTGCTTCTGCGGGCAAAAATTTGACAGATCTGGCGTGATTTGACACGTGAAAAAAGATAAGTAATCACGTGACGTTTGTCAAAATTTACTCTTTTTGCTCGCAGATTCAATTACCGAACCCAGCCGTTTTTCCTGCGGAAAATATAGAAACCCCGTTTTGCCCCGCTAGCGGGGCGGAATGGGGCAAAATACACTTTTTTGGTTTCTCAAAATTATTTTTTTTACGGTTTAAAATGGCGAAAAAGTTTAATTTACATGTTAAGTAATACACCTATAGCAAAAAAAAATATATCTTGTTAATTTTGTAGTGACAATTGAGCATCAAACGTTAAGTACCTCGTTCTGCCCCGCCTTCCCCTAGTTGGAAAGCCTTTCAATAGAGTTGGCTAGTCATATGCAGAATATAATTTTAATAACTGAAAATTACCGTTTTCCCTTTAATTGGAAAATCTTTCTTTCTTATATGCCTTCTGTTAACCTAGTTAAATGAAACAAACAGTTTCTTAATTACTAATGTAACTGAGTAATAAACCTAATTACTTAGCCTAATCAACGGTGTGAAATGAATTAAATTATTTTATGCTTAAATACTAATTATGCCTAAAATAATTGGGTAGTTAACTATCTCCTTTCTTATCTTATTTGTTAATAACATTTAATTCCTACAGTTTTCATTTCACCCTTGATTTTCCTATTACTATACAATTTTTGTGTTATTGTATTTTGGAAAATCTGGTTCCCGTAATCATTGTTTTAGCCCACACACATGCTTCGAATATAAGTTCAGTATCAGTTCTCTGATATCTGGGTTCGCCATAAAACGTTGGGAATTATCGTTCTTGAATACTTTATTACAAACATATGTCGTGATCTGGTGCAGCTACAGAATCACATTTGGTGTTTATCTAGGAGAACACATAATTTTGCCTCATAAATTTGTCAATTTTGGCTTATATTTGACTTGAAACTATAAAATTTGATATATTTTTTTGCTTTAAGTGCTTTTCCTTAATTCTCGACCAGATTAGTTATCGTTCCCAGAATCGCTATATGTTTGTAAAGTCCATTAAGATAACATTTTAACTATTTCAAAAAACCGTCTCTGGTAACTCCCATGAAATACGTACTTGAACCGAGATTTGAAATTTACTATTAATTCTGTTACAATCCCAACGTTAGAGAATTGAAAATGGTACATAAATATAAAAACCGAAGAGGAAAAACTAATTTTATTATACAAATGGACAAGCTATAATAATACCTACCTACTCGAATTGCTTAGAGTTTGATTAACTTGTAAAAGAGTTAATTTTGTTGACTCTATGCAATCTTTCATATTAGTTAAATTTACATGCTAATAAACATGATGATAATTGGTTATTATGTAACTTGTTCGCTTGGTAGCAAAGGATTTGTTATTTCTTCGATCTTATATTGAGCATTGATGAGTAACGATAGTACTGTAAAGAATGCGAAGATTGTGAAGATTATCTTCATATTTTATTCCTAAAAATTATGATTTTCTTTTAATATCCTTGGGATGTCTTTGATTTTTGAATATATAGCTTTCTTATACTTAGGTTGTATTTTTAAAGCTAATTTTCGCGGTGTACTTATAAGTTGTGGTGTAGCTTCGGGTATTTCTGGGTCATTTTCACGTTTTTGATTCAATTTACTTACTTCAATTTTGAATTTATTTTCTCATTAAGTTCCTTGAATGTTTGAGTAAGCTCATACATGTAATCAGTTTGTAGCTGATTCAGGTCTTTTTCAAAGTTATTAATTGACATTTCCTTTTAGTATCTGAAAAGGGGTGTAGTCATATGCTGAATGAATACTGTTGTTATATTTTGAAATTGCTATATCAGTTAATTCTTGAACTGTTTTGGTACGATGATGCTTTCTTTTATCGTCGAATGAAATCTTTCGATCGGCAAGTTTGAATTTGGATTGTACGGTGTAGTAAAATGCAATTCAGACTTATAAGTTTTACAGAGGTTTTGTATTAGATTACTCTTGTTAGTTTGTGCATTATCAGTGGTAATTTTACTTGGTGTACCATGATGCGCAAAGGGTTTGATTAAACTTTGACAAATTTCTATCGATGTTTCATTGACCGGATATGCTGTAGCAAATTTAGAAAAATTATCTATTATCGTTAGATATTTCTGTCCTGACAATGAGTATATGTCCATATAAGGGGTATAGATCCCGTTGTTGTTGCTTTATAAATTACTTTATAAGGATATATATGTCTCTCATATTTTGATTTCTGACATATTTCACATGTTACATCTTATAGTAGATTGTTTGAGATGACTAGTTTGTTTAAATTGTTTTTGAATGTTTCCTGGAAAATTCTTATTATCACAGGTTCTAATTCTTTTTTTTGGTAAATGTAAATAATAGGTAGGTATCTGGTGGTAAATAATCTCTTAAAAGTTGTTTGACTTTTGTTGAGTATTTGAGAAATGATTTTGGGTTCTCTGAACATTTCGTTTAGCTAAACCGTGATTCTGCATGTATTGATTTTTAAAATGATTTTGGCTTTTCAAAATTTCATAATTAGTGATTATGTAAATAGCATTATCCAGATTTTGTGGGTTTTGAACTACCATCAATAAAGTTCTTAACTCACTTGAGAGATTTGCTAAAAGATTTTGAGTTGCTGTTAATTCATATTTTGTGCAATTAATACTGTACGAGCTTCAATATATTGGTAATTTCAGAACAAATTTTATTATTTATCTTAGTTACTGAAGCTTTAAGTTTCTGAATGTAATCTTGAGTTGATTCATTATTTTCTTTAGACAAAAATATCAATTGTTGTTGTAAGTTAACTCTAGTTATTGGATCTGTAAATTTTTGCTGGAGCGCAGTTTTAAAATCGCCCCATATATTTAAATCTGATTTTGTTAAAAAAAAGTCTTTGGCTGCACCGATAATTTTATCGCTAAAATTACATATTCTGGCCATATAATTCACCCTATACAACTTTGTGGTGAAAAAACATATTAACAATTAAATTTGTTAATTGAAAATTATGCAAATCTAAAAATAGCAAATTTGTGTCATACAGTTGCTATACGTAATCTGAAATTTGTAATAAAAAATAATTAATTTGCAAATTTATACCCCTTTCTGGGTACAATAGATATCTTTGTTTGCTAATCTTGATCCACCATCCATATTTACCTTTTTCAAAGTACCTAATTGCTTTGAGTCGGTGTTAAAATTAAAAACAAGTTCATATCGCGGTACTGAGAACAAATCTCCGGTCGGCAGTACGCCATAATAAGCTCGCGAAATTTCAAGAAATTACATTAATTTTTATTTAAATTGGTTTAAACATTTGTTGATAAAGGCTGACATCGACTATTAGCTGAGATTTTCCGATTTTCTTTCTAGTTGCAATCTTATAATGTTCTCTGTGATATTAGTGTTTTTGGCTGTTTTGTATGTTGGAGTAAAATGGTAAGTAGGTAATATGTTTTTATTAGATAATTTAATTGCTAAAACTGTGATAAGCAAAATGTATTTTTCTAGTGTAGGTAGAAAAAACTATTTTCGAGTTGCTATTTTTTTAGGCATTATCATATTGTGATGACTCAGAATTCAATTCTTACTCCCATTGGTATTGGATTATTGAAATTCTGGCATCACTTTTAGGCCAATAAGGATCTTTTTAATAAAATCATTCATTCATAAGAAAATCTATAACATAAGGCCAAAAGTTGGATTAAAAGAGCAATCAAAGCGTGTATAAATAAATGAGTCAGGTATCATTAACATTTTTTTTTAAATTTTGATTCAATTTGTTGATTATTAAAAAAAGTCTAATAAATAACAATAAAGTTACAAAATAACAATTACATAATTATAAATCAATTATTTTACTTAATACCATTTACATTGATTCGCCTGAGTCAGATCAAATTAATTGATTTATTAATTCGCTTTTTAATTACTGTTTTTATTTCGGATATATCGATTAGAGTAATTAATGCGTAAAAATTGAAATCAATTCATACATATAATTGATGATGTCAATTAAAAATTCCATAAATTTGCATTTTTCATTGAAACATGAATCACTGTAGGCTTGAATATATATCTACCTCTGATTGTTGGGAAAATTTAAAAATCAAAGAAAAACCAGCGAAAATATTTTGCCACCGAAGATAGGAGTGGCTAATAATAATGTAACAGTACAAGGATTTTATTTTGACGATGGATTGACAATAAATTGACCAAATCAATTAACTGTTATTGGGTGCTAAATACGAAAAACAATACACCCAGTCTAAACGTCTTTGTTTCGCGACAATATCTAATAAATTGTTCATATTGTTTTAATTAGGTGCTAATTTTTGAGTTTTTGACTGACACATCTTGTTTTTCTATCCTATAAGATAACGTCATAATTTCTTATTTATTTAGTTCATAAAACAATAAATTTTGCGCATGATTCATAATTAGAATCATAATAATTATAACAGGATTGTTGGCTCTTAACTTTGGAACTATAAGTCCAAAGGAATTGAAATTTTCAAGGATTGTAGTCTTCCAGTAAGATAAAGATTTCTATCTACGATAAAAAAAAATATATTTTCAAAGTTTTCGTGCTAATTTTTCTGAAGAAAATCAGTTCTAATTACTAATAGCCTCTTTAAAAACTTTCTAACAAATCAGGTGCCAATAATAGTCCATCGGCTCTTGATTCGTTGGATGATTTTTTGAACAACATCAATTGATCCAGAACTAGGTACATTGGCTTCTTATTGAAAAACTATCTAGCGAATCAAGAGCCGGTAATAATCAAAATTTTAACTACCTATTACTGGCTCTTGATTCGTTACTTTGGTTTCTTCAGACACTTTCTAACGAATCAAGAGCTATTAATAGTCAAAAATTTGATTATTGATCGGCTCTTGATTCGTTGGATGATATTTTGACAGACATGGAATTCATGCAAAGTCAGATAACCATTGACTTTTTGAAAAAGTTTGAACTATTGCCGGCTCGTGATTCGTTACTATCGAACTTTTTTGTATAACTTTTCAACAAATCGAAAACCAAGTATGATTGGCTCTTGATTCGTCGGATGATTTTTTGAACGACATCAAGATCCAGCCTACTATTGTCTTCTTGAAAAACTATCCAAAAAAATAGCGAATCAAGAGCCGGTAATAATCAAAATTTGAACTGTTACCGGCTCTCGATTCGTTACTATATTGACCTCTTCAAAAATTTTCCAACTAATCACGGGCCAATTATAGTTCAAAACTTGATTATTATCGGCTCTTGATTCGTTGGATGATTTTTTGAACGATATCAAGAGTCAGAGACTACTATTAGCATCTTGAAAGAAAAATATCTAGCGAATCAAGCAGTAGCGGCTCGTGACTATTTCAAGTGAGGAGGCTAAAAGATTTTAAAGATTTTCAGTGATTTTGAGTAGATCTTACGAGTTTTTCTGGGATTTTGACAAACTTGTATACAAATTTACCAACTAATTTAGGGGAGCCTTAACGATAAATATTCCATGGAAATTCTGCGAAAATTTTTGTTAATTCCATAGAAATTCCTCAGAATTTCACTAGAAGATTTTATGGAAATCCTCGAAATTCCATTCAAATGACAAATTTGGATACAAAAACAGAAAGTCCTAGACATTTTACCATAAGATTTCATAATACTTTTCCGAATTCCACCAAAAAAATTCAATGAAATTCTTGTACAAAAATTCCTCGGAATTACAGTAGAAGATTTCATGGAAATTTCGACAGAAATTACTCAGAATTTCACTAAAATTTAATTCAAGTTTTCGGAATTCCGTCGAAATTTTTCGTGGTTCCATGGAAATTCCACGAAAATTCTGTTTAATTCCGAGGGATATTTTCGGTTTTGAAATAATTTCACTGGAATTCCACAATAAGATTTCAAGGAATTCCATGTAGGTGTAATTCGACGAGAATTTCTTGGAATTTGTCCAACATCGAACACAATCTTCCAAATTCCCTATGAATTCCCCAAGTTTTTAACAAAGAATTCCAAGGTGGTTTTGTCTCTTGGAAAATGCAGTCTCACATTTCCAAAGTTTTCCTGGAAAACTAATTGGGGAAAAAACCTCTCGAAGATTTCATCAAAGTTCTTTGGAATTCCATTAAAATTTTAAGTTATTCCATGAGAATTTCGCGAAAATTTTAAGTAATTCCATAGAAATAAATACCTTAACATTTCATTAGAAGATTTTATGGAATTCTTGGACAAATTTTTTCGGAATTACAGTATAGGATTTCATGAAATTCCTCGGAATTCCACTAAGATTTCAATTTCAAAATTCCATATTTTTTTTTTTTAACTTTACTACTTTCCACAAAATTTTCATAAAATTCTATCGAATTTCATTGACATTTCATAATTTCTTAAAAATTTCTCGGAATTCACTAAAATTTTATGAAAATGTCACGTTCATAACATAACCGAAAATTTCTCGAAAGTCCAATGAAACTTCAAAATTTAATTTATTTTCATAAGAATTTCTTTTAATAGCCAGGAATTTCTGGGAGTATTAATGAAGTTTCAAGTAATATCTTAAAAATTCATCGAAATATATTGAAATTTCATGGTAATTTTTCGGAATATCACCGAAATTCCATGTTTTTAGCTGGAAATTCCTCGGCAGTACTAAAATTCAGTAAAAACTGAAATTTCATGTTGAGAATTTAGGTGTAATATCATGTAATTGTTTAAAATTCCTCCATGTAATTCATTTAGGATTTCGTGTAATTCGATCGGAATTTCACTGAAATTTCAAGTAATTCGAGAGGAATTTAAATTTAATGTGAATTCTATGGAAACTCCGCAAAAATTTCTCATCTAATTTCTTTTTCAGAATAACATAATTATTCTACCGAAATTTCACTAAATTATGGAATTCTGTCGATATAAAATGGCGTTTTTTTGTTTCAAAGATTACGATCTGAAGGGTCGAAGTATTAAAATCAGTTCAACGGGTTCGTATAACTCCGGCCCTTCGGGCTCGTATAACCTCGGACTTTCGGGCTCATGATTAAAATAACTCCGGCCTGTCGGGCTCGTATAACTCCGGCCCTTCGGGTTCGCATGATTCCGGCCCTTCGGACTCGTATAACCTTGGCCCTTTGAGCTCATAATTGAAATAACCTCAGCCTTCCAGAATCGAGATTCGAAAAAAAACATACGGCAACACTGCTCATGATACAACAAACGTCAAAAAATTGAAATTTCAAACCTTGGGTTTTTTTGACAATCGATACAAAATGACGTCTTTTTGTTTCAAAGATTACGGCCCGAAGGGCCGGAGTATTAAAATAATTTAACAATGAACGGGTTCGTTCGGATAAAACTTTTGTCCCTCGACACTTTGGCAATATCGACAAATGTCACCTGTCAAATTTGACACATGTTCGACTTTTTCCCCGCTCTACTATAAAAGCTACGAAAATCAAACCCCGGTTCAAGGCAGTTTCACGACGCCAACTATCGATTTGTGTCAAAAAAAAAATTGACAGCTGTCAACGTCAAAAAAGTTTTTTTTTTGCGAATTTCGAGAAAAAAAGTGGTAGAAAACGATCCCCGGACCCCAAAAACCTTAAATAAAAATTCCAAAAAAAAAAAAAACGAAAATGACATTCCAAAACCTCCTTGATAAAACTAAAGTTTTTCTCCCTTACTCCGTTAAAACACTGGAAATTTTTGGTGGAAAATGAAGAAAACTCAAAGCCTCGTACTTTAAATGAGTTTTCCCCACTGAAAAAGCCCCGTAAAAGTGGAAATTCGAAGAAAAACTGAATAAAAATGTAAACACGTCAATTGAAAATGGCCGACTGTCAAAAATGCTTCTTTGATTGAATTTAGCCACAAGCGATGTTGCCACATCAAAAGCATTTTAAATGGGATTTTGCTAATTATGGTATTTAAAACTAGAAATTTTTACTAAAAAATTAACAAACCTCAAAGCCTCGTTTGTTAATCGCTTTTTTCCATTAAAAACTCCGGAAAATCGAAAATTCGAGAAAAAACTGGCAAAATATCACAAGGCGTCACTTCAAAATGGCCAACTAAAAGCAACGTTGCCACATCTCATCTCGGAAAACAAAAATAACATTTTAAAAGAGTTTTTTGTTTAAAATTCAATTTAATAATTAATTAATAATGAAATTAATAAATCAAATGAAAATGACATTATAAGGTTCACTTATTGATTATAGTGAGTAAGACAAAGACAATGATAAAGTAGTATATGTTTGCAAAAACCACCGTTTTCTGAAAAAAGTGAAAATCTTAGGAAAACCAACATTCCAAAATCAATTTGATAAAACTAAAGTTTTTGAATATTCCCGGCTCTTTGATCGGACGCTAAAAATCGCATTTTAAATACTCCCGGTTTTTAATTGGCTCTAAATTATCCGGTGACCAATAGAATTATAGACTATAGAATATAGTCCCGTGATTAAAATAACTCTAGCCCTTCGGGCTCGCGTATCGTATAACTCCGGCCCTTCGGGCTCGCGTATTTGTTGTTTCAAACAATATTGGCCTAATATCTACACAGTGTTGTTCTTGGGGAATTTTCGTGTGTGTCTGCAACAACACTCAAATAGTGCCAAATAGTGCCACTTATTAGTAAAAAGTGATGGGAGAGGGTTTTTTGACTTTTCACCTATTTCTTTTTATCACATGATTAAAAGGAGAAAGGTATAATATATTTCTTGTAATAAATTTACTATAATGACAATTGACTACTGTCACTGTCACTGTCACTAATCACACTCACATCCACAGCAGCCGGATTCTACCTATTTCACGAGTCGAGTCGAAATTCGTATCCAATTGTCAAAATAGTGATTCTATTTTTTAATTTTTCAATCCGTATTACACGGTACAGTCGTGAGAATTAAAAGTGGGACACCCGACTGACTGACAGGTCTTGTATTCTTCGCTATTTTGGGTATCAGTCTTTTCTGTACAACGGATTTCTTGTCAAATATGACATTGCCGATGGTGTAGCTGGTGGGCCCGTTTTACAATAGAAAAAATAGGGTGTTCCATTTTTTATGCTCACGAGTGTACGTGCGGAGCTGTCGTATTCGATATCAAGTGTCATAACAGACAATTCGACTCGACTCGTAAAATAGAATCCGAAGGCAGATCCAATGACCTGACAGATCCACCACAACTCTCACAGATCAGGACTGAGGTTACTAGCACAGAAATAAAATGAACAAAAAATACAACAGAATAGAAATAAACAAAAAATCCTGCTCTAGCTCCAATCTTTCTTATCCAAAAAATTTGAAAAAGGATAATATCTAATAAATGTGAATCGTGCCAAATTTCTCAAAGTAGTGCCACCGTGCATTTTACGGGCGAAAAGTGCCACTTTTGGCACAATTGTGCCCTTTGAACAACACTGTATCTACATATACAGTAGTACCTCATTTGAAAATTGAAATTGGAAAATTGATTATTAAAATAAATTAATTTTTTCTCCACTCTGCATTTTACTTCTCTTGTCTGTCAACATCTTGATATTCAATTTCTGATCTTTTGCATTTTCTCATCCCTGCATATATCATGTATACCTAATTTATATCATTCATAAAACCTATAACGTGTGTGCTTGATTTACAATTAATTATCCGTATAATTTATGAGAAAACTTTTATGATATCCTACCCAGTAGTAGTAGGCCAAAAACTGATAAAACCAATAACACCTCTCAAGGCAAGGCGACTTATTGAGCCGTAAAAAAAGTTAATTAGCGGTAAATATTGATACACTTTCGGGTTCATTAAGTGTTTAATGTAAAACAATAAATAATTCCAATTATTATGCTCGGTTTATTGTGTTTAAGCCCGTAAAATGTATTTTTAAATCTGTATAAATGACGCCAGAAAAATGTTTATTTTGTATTTAATAACGAAAATAATGATTAATTTTTTTTATTTTTCAGCCAAACTACAACTGAAACAAATCTAGTTTCATCTGCAATTCAACAAATTTCAAATAATACAGCAGAAATTATTCAAAATAACACTACTGAATCTTATAAACCAACTGAATCTTCACCATCATCTACTTCAACAGTTGTAACATCGATTCTCACAACACCTGCTAGGCCTGTAGACGTAAGTTGCTTACCTCTACACCTAATGGGGGAAATGGATCATGTAACCCAAGAAGAATTTACTACTAAATTAACAGAGTCTTGTAGATATGATCGATTGATCAAACCAAAAACACCTGAACAACTTGTGGTCAACATGCAAATCGATTTGACTCATATCGAGTCTACTGATGCACAAGTAAATGAATAATAATAGTAAATATATCGGTTTAATTTATTGTTTATTTTTAAGCAAATGAAATCGTACATTCTAGTCCAGCTATCCTATAAAGATTCTAGGCTAAAATACGACACGTTTTCACCAAAAAGAGGAAGCATACAAGGCGAAGATCCTCTTAGAAGCAAAATATGGGTTCCACATTTGATTGTTAGAAATGAACGGTAATAATTTTCATCAAGCAAATAAGTCATCAAACTAAGTTTACCTAATTTGTAGCGAATCATCTCTAATGGGTCTAGATGGTAAAGACGTCTTCATTCAAATTTTACCAGACGGCCAAGTGACCTACTCCTATCGAATGACTTTAACGTTCTATTGCTGGATGAACCTCAAGAAATTCCCGTTTGATTATCAAATTTGTAAAATCACTTGGATCAGTTGGTCTTACGACGCGAGCAGTTTGTTGTTGAAATGGGCCAAACATAATAAAGTGCAAATTTCAGAGAATTTGCACCTTACGGAATTTGTTTTGGATGATTATTGGGTCGAAGACGAAGTGGCGCAAACTTCATTTTCAACTGGAGGACTTGGTAAGGATTTTTATTACAATAAATAAGCTAATGCACAAGCTAACAGGATAAATACAACAATTATGATTATGCCTTGCGTGTAAATTTCAGTTTTTCTTCTGGCTTTTAGGTGCTTTCTTACGTTTTCTAGATAATCGATTCGTTCTTCTAGAATTTTCATCAATTAGATTTATTCAAACAATAAATATTGTTTTTACCAATTGTCATCTTGCTTAAACGTTCCCTTAGGCCGGAATTGGCGAAAAATTCAATGTCGGACACGTCTGAGGCATCAATATCGCTCTCTACTTCCAAACATTTCTTTTCTGCACTCATGTTTTCACTTTAATAATTGACAATATTATGTCAAAAAGTAATTACATATGAAAATTCAAATGGAACTTGATTTTAATATATATAAGCTTCCCTTGCTTCCTCTCTAGATGAAGCGATGAAAGTAACCATTTATTTATTTGTAATAGTGAGCCAGTTTTCAAGTGATCCTGAAGCAAGACTTTCGATTATTCGTAAGTTGCTTCAGAACCTTTACTGAACAGCTTCGAGCAAAGGGTTTTGTAACTTTTAAATATTTGGAAGCTGCTCCAGCCTTTTTCAAATCCACTTTTGAGTTTTGAGCAAGTTTTTCAAAGATTTTGGAACATTCAGAATTTTGCAGAAAGCCTTCAGATTCTTATTTGGAAATTCCTTCAGAAACTTAATTTGTTGTTTAGACCTATTGCTTATTAAGTAATTATATTTAAAGAAACAAATAAGTACTTAAAACATAAAATCAAAATTTATTTATGCTTAAATTTAAACAATTTGTATTTTTTGATCTTCAACCCTGGTGAAAGCAAATTGAGTGCACACATACAAAACCAGTACCGTAACGATGATGTACTCCGATATGGAAACGAAAAAGGCGAAATAGAAAAACGCCCTGTGACAGTACCTCCAGCCTCCAAGGAAAAAGTCCGGTTTCCATTCTAGGAAAATGTTGATTGAAGCTAAAAAAAGAGAAAAATTATTTTAGGTTCATGTTAATACAAATTCATCATTCATCATGTTTCTGTGACAAAAGGGTATCTTTAAAATAAGACCCATGCCAAATACTATAAACTATTATTTTCTGAGAAATTTTAGTATGATGAGCTCCTTTTCTTCTTTCTACTCCAGAAAATACAAAATTCTACCATCAACAGTTTTTCGAAAAATCATCCAAATGTGAGAAGTGCATTTTTCTTAATTTGTTTCTTTTTAAGTTGGTAATCAAGATTTTTTCATGTTGCCATTTTTCATCGAACTAAATCGACATTTCAGTATGATGAGCTCCTTTCTTTCCTTTTTCTACTTCAAAAGTTTCAAAATTCTGCCATCAACAGTTTCTCGAAAAATCATCAAATTATGAAAGGGTGCATTTTTTTAATTTGGTTTCTTTAAGTTGATTTTCAAGATTTTCTCGTGTTGCCAATTTCCACCGAATAAATGAGCTCCGTTTCTTCCTCTTTTTACTCCAAAAGTTTCAAAATTCTCCCATCAACATCAGTTTTTCGAAAAATGATCAAAATGTCAGAGGGTGAGTTTTTCTAAATTTGGTTTTTTCAAGTTGATTTTCAAGATCTTTTCATGTTGCTATTTTCCATCGAATTAAATTGAAATTTCAGTATGATGAGCTTCTTTCTTTCCTTTTTCCACTTGGAAAGTTTCAAAATTCTCCTATCAATAGTTTCTCGAAAAATCATCAATTTATGAAAGGGTGCATTTTTCTTAATTTGGTTTCTTTAAGTTGATAATCAAGATTTTCTCGTGTTGCCATTTTACATCAAATTAATTTGAAATTTCAGTATGACGAGCTCCTTGTCATCCTTTTTACACTCCAAAAGTTTCAAAATTCTCCCCTCAACAGTTTTTCGAAAAATCATGAAAATGTGAAAGGGTGCATTTGTCTTAAGGTGGTTTTTTTAAGTTCATTTTCAAGATTTTCTGGTATTCTCAATTTCTATCAAATTGATACGAAATTTCAGTATGATGAGCTATTTCCCTTCTTCCTACTCACGTAAGTTTCAAAATTCTCCCATCAACAGTTTTTCAAAGAATCATCAAAAAGAAACTACTGATAAAAATATACAAGATAAAGTCGGATAAAAGAAATAACAGAAGAAGGAAAAAAATATGGAAAACGAGTGGACAATAAAATAAGAAGATATAAGTATAGCAGAAGTGAAAAAAAAACAATGAATAAAATGGAGAAAAAGGAAAAAACATCAGAACACAATATAATTAAATAGATAACACAGGGGACACGATGAAAGCTCAGTGTTAATTTTTTCATTTATTCAATAACGGAAAAGGCTCTAAAGCAGGGACCCGGACCGGAACGATATTGGACCGAAAACCGGAACGAAATTGATTTTTTTTTTTTGCGGACCGGAACTGGAACGAAACCCATATATTTCTTAGAAATGTTGTAGGGTAGGCAGAACCGGAACCGATATAAATTAATCGGTTCTTATCGGTATTTTTCGGTTCCAAGATTTTATAAATTGAGCTGTTTGCTGTTTGGTTGTATCATAATAAAATTAACACTTTAAAAAACAGAGCGTTGGACATTGGACAGCGCGCATTTATGAACTCGGCTAGGCTACACACCAAGGATTTTACATACTTCTACAGGATTGCTCATCGGCTTTGATTTTTGCAATCAAGTTCAAATGTTGTTGAACCGTTGTCGACGTCATCAACGGTCTCGTTAGCGGTTTGCGTTCGTAGTTAAGAATATACATGTATGATGAAAAATATAATTTAAATTTGATTAACATAATAGTCAATAGACAAAGAGGAAGATGCAAATGAGATCTAAACAAGGGTTGTTTTAGAATATTAAATAATGTACTATGGTTCTAAACCTTTTCGAAATACATTCCAATCCACGTTTTAAAACCATTTCCTCGTGCCGAGAAATTATGACGTGATTGTGAAACTGATTTAAACCAGTTTTGGAAAATGTTTTGAAAACTTTGAGACGCGAGAGAACACCTCCTAATCCGTGGTGCAACTGGTGCAAGCACTACGTCAAGGCGAGAAACGACACGCTGTTACGTCATCACTCATCACTGATCGAAAACACAAAAATTTATTTTTTCTCCAAACGTCAGAAAAACGTCACTTTGTTAACCCCTGTCAAGATGTCAGAAACCCGCACATTTCTTATGGAAAAGTGATCTATGTGGAATTTTGCTGAATTTTTGATATTGTGTAGAGGCAGTCGTCCTTAACAAAAGTGATCATTGCGCTAATGTTCAATACCCAACAGTTTTCAAGATATCAATAGAAGATTTCATTATGAATGACGACAAACAAAGTCACATAACCTATAAATAGCATTGTCAATGTTATTAATTTTTTTTCAATTTTGGGCTTAAATTCAATAATTATGGCAGTTTTGGGAGAACGTGTGATATGTTTTATCGAGAGGCGATGAAGCGATGTGTCTTTGGTGATTCTAAAAGTGATAGTCGAACAAGTTTCATTAAATTAACGACCCCATTTGCCTCTACTGGAGTTTTAGGTAACACAGCACCTGTCACATCACTCTGTTAATTTTATCAAACGTTTTGGAACCAAAGAAGCCATAGCGAATGCACCGAATACTTACGAAAGCGTAGATTTATGTATTTTTTCAGTATGACGTCACTCACAGCAACGAAAATTATTACTATCCTTTCCACTTTCTTTGACTTCACTCTTCTCCTTTTAACATTAAGAAAAAAAAAAGATAGCGATAGCGATTAGTGACAAATAGGTAGGTATGTAAACAACACCTAGCAGCTGCCGCAATCGTCAACTTCATGTCATGATGTCTGTCATATAGCGATTTCATTTGTACCTGTTGTTGTTTTTTTCTATTTCCTAAATGTTAAAAGGAGAAGAGTATAAGTATAGGTAGTCAAAGTCAAAAGTGAAAAGGATAGTTCTAATTTTCGGTGCTGTGAGCATACTGGTGACGTCATACTGAAGAGTGTCAAATTAAAAAAGTTTTTAATAGATATCTTGAAAACTGTTGGGTATTAAACATTAGCGCAATGACCACTTTTGTTAAGGACGACTCCTTATACACAATATCAAAAATTCAGCAGAATTCCACATAGATCACTTTTCCATAAGAAATGGTCCTTTGATTTCTATGCTGCTAGGAAAATCCAGCGGGTAAACACCTGTCGAGGTGGTAGAAATTTAATTTCTATGCTGCTTGGCAACCCCAGCGGCAGCAAAAGTACTTTTAGTGCCGCTGGAGCGGCAGTAGAAGTACTTTTAGTGCCGCTCGTATTTTTAATGCCGCTCAACCATCCACTTGCCTCCGAGCTTACCCCATTCGTTTGGAGAAAAAATAGCGTATTGCATACGGAGTAGAAGCACTTTTTTGTGCTTCAACAGTATTGCAAGCCTCACTACGTTCGGCTCGCAAACCTACTGCTTCAGCACAAAAAAGTAAAGCTTCTACTCCTAATACAACAATAATATACTATTATGTACGACCTACATTGTAAGAGCTTATTACGTAACTCATTTTAGCCTGTTTGAGTTACGTAATAATAAGTTGCATTATCGTGCTTGGTGATGTAATGAGCTCATTACATCACTCAGTGATGTAATGAGGTCTCATTACATCACTCAGTAATGTAATGAGAGCTCATTACGTAACTCATTTTTATTGAAAAACGGCAGTTTTTAAAATTCATTTATCAAAAATTATAAATATAATCATTTGTGAAAAATTAAAACCATTTCGAATAAATGAAAAAAATCTGGGTCGTACATAAAATGTTGTATATCACACGTACGGTAATAACGCTCATTACACCACTCGTGTGATTACCACGACTCGGTCTACGACCTCGTCTTGGCAATATTCTCCACTCGTTACTGTAATGAAGCTCATACCGTACTACACCTTTTCCATGTGAAATTGCGAATATATCACTTAATTTTAAGAATAGTAAAATAATTTTGTGAATAAATCAAATCTAATTGAGAATAGTCAAACGTAATTGCGAACATATCAAATGTAATTGAGAATAGTTAAGTGTAATTGCGAATATATCATATGTAATTGGGGATAATCAAATAAAATTAGGAATAAATTAAATGTAATTGAGCCTTTTCATTTTTTCATCAACATCTGTATGTATTTGTTCCTACTGATTTCTGTTTATCTTCAAGACGTTTTCCGAAAATCAATAAAAACCCCTTTCTCAAACTCTGCACAGTTTGTTTATTTGAAAATCAACATTCTTAATTAACTTTAATTGTCAGATATTATCAATGGGCTAAGTAACAAAAATATTTGATAATGTCTTAATTAAGTATATTTGGTTCAATCGCAACTACATTTGATGTATTCTTAATTTGAATTGATTTTACCCAATTGCATATGATATATTCGCAACTACACTTTACTTTCCTCAATTACATTTGACGCTTTCTCAATTACTTACATACATATTATATTCTCAATTACATTTGATATAGTCGCAATATCACTTGACTATTCGCAAAATTAATTGATGAATTCGCAATATAAACTCCTATATTCGCAATTACACATGGAAAAGGTGTAGTAATATAAATAACTATTATTAATAGTAATTATTATGGTTATTGAAGTTATTGCAGATAGGCGGAGAAATCCAAAAAAAATAAACCACAATTTATAGAAACATAAATTTTTCTGTAATGACCGTTTTAAGGGATGCTTCTTGAAATACCTAGTCAGTGCAAATGGCTATTAGATATTTGTGAAAAACTATACCGGTATGAACCGTTAAAACCGAAATTATTGGTCCGAACCGAATAGAAATATTTCTCTTAGAACGGAAACAACCGTAACGGAACCGATATTCGTCATGACGCTGTGGACCGGAACGGAACGGATATTTCATTTCGGTCCGGGTCGCGTAATTCCGAACCACAGTGCAGTACAGAGCGCCACATAACGTTGAATATTCTGTACTCAACTCTGGTTTGTACAACGCAAATGCAAAAGTACTTACTCCAAATCCACGTGTGATTCAGAGCATTACAGAGGATACACGCGTCTATGACTGACTGTATTTTGTACCACTTAAATGTGGTCATGATACTAGGAAACCAAGTGTAATTCAGAACGGCGTCGTCGGCGCGGATGCCGTCCATAATATTAGATCTGTTTTTGCAGAAATCACAAACCAGTCAGAGTTAATTTCATTGGTTGAAACTAGTTTTCTGACTGTTTGCAACTAAAGAAATTAGCTCTGACTGGTTTGTGATTTCTGCAAAAACAGACCTAATATCTACTATTTGATACAATGCCATAAAAATAAAACAATATACCAGGTGGTCCTCCGGGAATGACATCGATTGCTTATGGGAAAACTGTGAAAGGTAAAAATTTGAAAATTTGGCAACATAGCAATGTCGATGGGGGACATCCGGGTAAAATATTTTCAAGATGGCGGCATTTCCGCCGCATGTCACGTCGCTTTATAATCCAATTTTTATTTGTTAATTGTGAAGAATGTTTAATCCATTCATCACATTTGTTATCATAAGTCTCATGACACAACTGCACAACAGATTCAAAACTATCATTTTCAGTTTTTGTTTATAGCAGTTTATATTCGTCGCATAAAGTATTTAGTAACTTAACTACTTCTTCTTTCCTCATTTTGTTGTGTAGGCACAACAAAACAGTTACCACCTCGGTTACCACTAAACACCTTCAAAAACAACAACTCATACAACATAAACCAACCGCGCAAATTAGCTAAGTGCAAGACCTTTTATTCCAATGGAAAACAATCGTTTATCCAACGTTTAGATACTTTGTACTGAATTGGCATTTGCAAAGGTGTAAAAAAAAAACAGAGCGTCACGTCTTGCAAACCCCCACTCAATACCGAACGCATCTTGTCTGCACCGCGCTGAGGTTTGGAAGACGATGAACGGCATTATTGAATAACAAACCCAAGTTCATTTCAGAACAATGTTGCTCTGAAATCAACGGGCGTACGGAATTACGCGTCCGGGTCCCTGCTCTAAAGCATTGGAAAATGGGGACATAATATTGGGGAGAAAGACTTAAAGAAGAAGGAAGAGGCGGATTTTTTTCATTGTTCAGCAGAGAGACAATTATTGAGTAAACTTGTAATTTACCTACTAACATCCATATGATAATACCCATCCCCACGCATCCCAGTAGAGCTGGTTGTCTCAGCGGTTTATAAACCAAAACCAGCAGAAATCCGAGCTGCAGCAACCCGCCGACCAACATGTAAGTAGGCAACCAATCGTTGGTAGGACAAGAATTCACGTAGCGTGCCCCAAAAATCACTTTGGCCAATGGTAGAGCCAAATGGACCACCAGGCACATACGACGAAGATCTAAAATTATAGGAATGTTTTATAATCTGGGCTATGTTATTGGATATTGTTCACCTCTAGTGTCTTTTGGGACAGGATTTGGGATTCTTGGAGCTATAATTATACAAATTGTCTGTTATTTGTATATTTTTTCAAAAAAAATTACCATCCAATGAGCATTCGTTCCAGGCCTGGTCCACTTGATCTTCTAGCTGGATTGTTTGTGTCTTTTTTTTACTCTTCCACATTTTCAAAAAATGTAATGGTAAATAACTGAATTTATTGTCAATGTCATTTTTGCAATTTTCAATCCAAATAATTAGCGTGTAAGATTTAAAAAATGCAACCATCAAAAGATGATAAAAAGGAGCTTGATAAATTTACTAAATTTCTAGCTTTAAAAGCTGCAGAAGTTATCGTACAGAGCCGTTTAGGCCAAAAAGTTTCCACATCATGTAAACCTGGACCAGATTGGTTTAATTTGAACATAAGCGATCTTCCCGAAGTAGTGATTGAAGCCAAAAAAGTTCTCAACAGTGATTTATTTTTGATGAAAAAATCCCCATTTTGTATTGAAATATCGCTGAGAACTGTTGAAGATGATGATATGGTCCTGGAAAGTTGGTGTGCTAGATTATTAGACCATTATGAACCTGGAAATAATAATAATGGGCAAAACATCTATAACAGAATGGGTATTTTGTTGAAATCTTTAGTCTCAGTTAGCAGAGTTATTCCGGCCTATAAACTATCACGTAGACAAAGTCCTGATTCTTACATAATCTGCTATAGAATGTACATGGACGAGCCTCTAACCCATAATCTTGGAGAACAGCACAAGCAAATCCTTGTTGGACAAATTTGCACATCAATCGGCACTGTGCAACTCTCTTGTGCATACAGGACCAAGATGACCATATCACTAAGCAAAAATAACTCTTCAATGCTCAAAAGTGGTTATTTCAATACCAATCTGAGTCCTAGAAATCGACACATTTCGTCATTGACTGAGACAATGAAAATTGGGGCATTTGCAGACGGAAAAAGGAAATACTTTGAAGTACCGCAACTTGATTTGCCTATTTGTGAGTTTTTTGTCAATAGAATTTCTCTATTTGGGAAGCAACCAGATGAAGAAGAAAGTGATTTGTTAGAGGATGGTGAAATAAATGAAGCTAAAAATGATACAAGGAATGATTTTTTTATGACAGAGTTGAAAATGCCCTTTGCGAAACGTTCAGGCGAAAAATTTGAACTTTCAAAGTTTTTCAGGGAGTGGCAGCAGGCACCTTCATTGCAAACCTTCAAAGAAGTACCTCCAATTGAAGGAAATGATCTTCGGAAACTGTTGGAAATTTTCGAAAGGGACTTGAATGAATTTCACAATATCGTGCAATCGCTTTGCCAATCTTCACCAAATAATAACTAATTTAAAAGTTATAATTTTTGTTTTATTTTTCTTATTGCAGTGGATGTAAGAAGATTGACAAAAATAGCTCCTGGCAAATATTTCTTTGACAATCTTCTATTAGAGCTGAAATTTGGAATAGAAAGTCATCAAAATTCTATTCCCGGCGCTCCGAATCACAAAAATTGAGCCAGAGAAGTGTAAATTTTTTATTTTTGACCATTAAAACAAGTTTAAGTGGTTCGAAAAATCAAAACTTGATCCTGACAGAGACAAAATTAAATTGAAAATTGTATTAATCCCAAAATCTTCTACTAGAGATGAATTTTGAAATAGAAAGGCATCAAAATTCTATTCTCGGCGCTCCGAGTGCCTAAAACCCACATAATAAAATTGCATCCTTAGAATGTAATAGAAAATGTTCTTTTTTTAGGAGGAATGTGCCTAGAATGTTCGCCAAAACCATTGCGAATGTCCTGAGAATGTTCTGAGAAAAGATTATAGAAATACTGTTTGCAACACCCAAGAACTTCCTGGGAAATCCATAAGGATATTCCTAAAATATACCTATGAGATTCTCAGTACATCCTGAAAAGAATATTCCTGTTTGATTCTAAAAATATGCTTGAAATGTATATTTTCACATTCAAAGAATGTTTCTATGACATTATAGTTATGTTCTCAAAAGAATATTATACCAATATGCTTGAAATATTCTTAAAATAATATATCTACATATCATTCTCAATATGCATCCTAGACATAACATTCATGTTTGATTCTAGGGATATACTTGGAATGTTCGAATTGGAATTTCGCTTCCAAATAATGCTCCTTTCAGTCCTTTTATATTAAAGGCAGTGAAAGAGTTGTTGGAAAACTTCTCTGGAAAACACAAGTGTTTAACCAATAAAGCTCCACTTTCGAGCTTGTTATGCTCTCGTCGCGGTAAGCACGCCAACTGAGAGAAACAGGTTCCAAGGTGATTCAAACGCTAGGCAAAATGTAGATCTTGAATAGCGCGTGGCTCCCTCTCTTGGTAGTCCTACAAGGCAAAAGAGAAAGAATATACCTATAATATTCTTAGTAGATTCTGGATAGAGTAATATTGTTTAATTCTTCAATTGAGATTTTTGAGTAGGTACTTCAGATAATTAGGTGAACAATATGAAAATATTCTTATCATGGTTACCTACCTACATAAACTTCTCAGCACAACTTGGTAGGTATATTCTTAATACTTGAGAGATATTAGCCGAAAGAATATTTTTTAGGGTACATTATAATAATGTTCGTATGACAATATTCAAATAATGTTATATAAAGTACGTTCTTAGCATAATCTTTCAGGTAGGTGCATAGAAGCAACATTCCTAGTGCATAAATAGAACGTTCAAAAATGAATATTTCAATCGAAACAATCTTAGAATATTCATTAAACATTCCTAAAAGAACATTCCAAAAAGCACTTTGATGGAATATTCTGAGAATATGAATGTTCTTTCACTGTTATGTGGGAAGAGTTTTGTAAAATTTCCAGTAGAGAGGTTCACATTAAGATTATTATTATATTTTTTTCTAGCTGGTAACTACAGTTCTCTAGTGTTCAAATTCAAATTACGCCGCGAAGTTGGATATTACATGATGGACTATTTCCTACCTTCCATGTTCCTGGTAGTCACTTCTTGGGTAACATTTTGGTTGCAAGCAGACGCAAGCGCTCCAAGAGCTGTATTAGGTAAAATATTTAAACTTTTTTGTTCTCAATTAAAAATACTTCTTTTAGGCACTTCAACTATGCTATCGTTCATCACTTTAAACGGAGGTTTAACCAAAAACTTACCAAAAGTCAGCTACATCAAGGCCAGTGAAATTTGGTTTTTGGGTTGTTCGAGTTTCATTTTTTTATCTTTGACCGAATTTGCATTTGTTAATGTTATTTGGAGGAGGAAGTAAGTTATTTACCTTGATAAAAAGTAAATAATTGTTATGTCAACCTTACAGAAAACAAGTAGAAGTTAAAAAACCGAGCAGCAAATACATTCTGAGAGGAGCAGTGACTCCAAGTTTGCTCAGAAGACAACTGAAACGATCAGAATCGTTCAATGGTCTTCACAAGACGCGATCTTGTACGAGTTTAAATGAAAAACAAGAAAAGGAAATTCAACAAAACAATTATTTGACTGTCCATGTAAGAATTGTTTGCATTTTTATTTAGAACTATTCAAAAATTTTATTTTTATAGAGTTTTCCTGCATCTATTCCAACAATTCGTACACCAAACACAAGCCGAGACGAACTTATAAACATTGAAGATTCTGTAACAACAATTCCAGTGCCGGAAAATGATATTACAAATAATCAACCTCATCAGTCTTGGACAACAATGACGCCTCAAGAAGTCGCAAATTGGATTGATAAAAAATCCAGAATCGTTTTTCCTGTGGCTTTTTTAATTTTCAATTTGTTTTATTGGACTTTTGTATACGCTTTATAATAATTTTTTTGTGTTTTTCCATTCGAATCTCTTTGACTGAACTTTCATTTTTCCTTAAAAAAGTAGGTATTAGACTATAGGATTTAGCTGTGTTTTATTTATTTTATACTTTGATTATTATAAAATGTTTATTATTATTATGCTACAAAGTTATTTGTTTTATTTTTGGCTCTTCCCAGTGGATTGATAACTGATTTTTTTTAATAAATGATAATCTCAGAAAAATGCCTACACTATTGGGCCATCAGAATGTTATTAGGACTGGACCACTATATAGGTACCTACTATTTGAAACAGTTAAATTCTCAAAAACTTGGAGCATCAAAATCTTAGTGTAAAAAATGAATTTTCAAAAAATTATCTTGAAAGATGCGTCCTTCCTTCAAAAATACTAAAATTTGAAATTATTCCATGTTGAAATACTGGCAGGCAATGCAAGATTTGAAGGCAATATATTATAAAATTCTGCATGGTTGTAGGGAGATTTTATGTAAAATTCTTGAATGCATGCATGTACATTTTCAATTAGGTACCTATATGCCAAAGCAAAATATTTTCCTATATAGTTTAATTGGTCAAAGACAAACACAAAAGGCTATTTTAACTACCGAACAACCTTATAATCGTATTAAATATGTACACAAGATACATATTAGCAATTTTTATTTATTTGCACAGTCTAAGCGGGCCTTTGTTTTATCTCTTTACACCTTTTCGCCAGCTAATTTTTCATTAAACAATAAATCCCGACAGTTTAGAATATACCTTTGGGGGGTAACCAATATCAGTAGAATATAAATTAAAAAACATTTCAATTAGTATTGTAAAAACATGGGTGCAATTTTTCTGTTTTTCATTTTTTTGTATGGATGCGTAGATTGTGATATCAGGTAATTATTTAATTAGATGCAAATAAACCAGATTAAATACAATTTCGGGTGTATATTTTGACTCATATGGTTAATTACACTATTGCAGGGTCCTACAAAGTAAAAATTATCAGTGCTAACTTTAGGATTAAGTCAATTACCTAAAAGATTAACATATTTTTACTTAAACTAATCAAGTTTAGGGATGTTTTATGAGAATGATTATAATAAACATTAAAAACAATTTTATTTTCAGACCAATAACAGTTACAGACCAAACTATATTCAAACGAAATTCAACAGAAAACTGCCCTGTTTTACAACCATCCTTGGACAACCTGTCACAAGAAGAATTTGTTTCGAAACTGACTCAAAGTTGTAGATATGATCAAGCATCTCGACCACCTAGTGATTTGCCACTGAGAGTCAATTTCCAAATTGATATGAGACATATTGAGAACATTGATAACACTGTAAGAATCAGAATAATGTTGATCATTTTCAAAATAACTAAATATTTTTAGCAATTCAAAACCCATCTACTAGTCCAAATAAACTTCAAAGATGACCGATTAAATTTTGCCCAATTATCACCAAACAGAGGTGCGATTTTGGGACAAGAATCTTTGAAAAACAAACTTTGGATGCCACATATTTATGTTAAAAATGAAAAAGCATCAAATCTAATGGGCTTAGACAGGTGAGGTGATTTTTATTTAGTCACCTAAAACTGATATTTTTTTTTTTAATAGAAAAGACGTTTTCCTCAAAATCGACCCCCAAGGGGACATAACTTACTCCTACAGAATGACAACCACATTTTTTTGTTCGATGAACCTTAGAAAATTCCCTTTCGACCATCAAGTGTGTCAATTAATTTGGGCCAGTTGGGTTTATAACGACTCAAACCTGGAACTTCAATGGGCCAAAACTCAACCGTACATTATATCGGAACATTTACAATTGACTGAATTTTCTTTGGGAAGTATAGCGGTAGAATCTACAAAAACGTCCAAGTTTGATCCAGCTACAATAAGCGCTTGGAACCTAGACGAAGGCTACAGTTCCTTAATTTTCAAGTTTCAACTTAAACGCGAAGCAGGATATTATATTTTGGAATATTTTTTGCCTTCGATTTTTCTGATTATCATGTCATGGGTATCGTTTTGGATTCAAGCAGATGCCGCTCCTGCTAGAACAACTTTGGGGACTGCTACAATGTTGTCTTTTATTACTTTGAATGGGAATCTTTCTAAAAGTCTTCCCAAGGTATCTTACATTAAAGCCAGCGAAATTTGGTTTTTAGGTGGAGCAACGTTTATTTTTTGTTCTTTGGCTGAATTTACTTTTGTTAATGTTATTTGGAGAAGAAAGTAAGAAGCAAAAAACATCAATTATTATATTGGTATGATATGTTTTTATTTACAGGAAAAAAGTGGAACTAGCTAAACAAAGCAGTAAATATATAATAAAAAGCGCTCTTTCTCCAAGACTAGCAAGAAAAGACTTGAGGAAATCTGAATCTCTTTCCAGTTTAGATGCAAAAAATTCTGGACATTATTTAACAATTCATGTTAGTATACTTATTAATTATTTAAATGAGGAAAATTGGATATAATGTTCTAGGGTTCTTCAAACTCTCTTAATGTTCCAACAATAACCACTACTTCTGACGACGGACAAAATCCAAATCCAGATTCTGGATGTCCCACTCCGACTCAACAGGCTTGGGCCGAAATGACTCCGCAAGAGGTTGCCATTTGGATTGACCGAAAAGCCAGAGTAGTATTTCCCGTTTTGTTTTTGGTTTATAATTTGTTGTATTGGAGCTTTGTGTATGCTCTGTAATAGTTTTCATGTATTTATTAGTAGGTGTAGGGGCAAAGTCGATATAGTGTATGGATGGATAGACGCCAGCAATGAAATAAATGATTTTTCTTGGTAATTTTATTAATTATAAATTCCCTATCAAACAAAAAATAAATACTTAAATTTCAAAAACCCAACAAAATAAACTAAAAATAATATTGAATAATTCATATATAACTAAATAAATATTCTTTGAAAATAAGTATCACAAACAAAAATAAAGATTGCAGAGATCAGTCCTAAGACTAAAAAGTCTTGTCAAACAAACATAAGATAATTCTTATAAATACTTGAAGGCCACTAAAACAATTAATTCCCGATAAACAAAAAAAATATTTCTCATAAATCAACCAAAAACCAAAACAAAATTAAACTTGAAATCCCCAAAGAAAATAATCTAGACTAAGCCTAATATAACAAAATAAAATATCACACAAATAAGATCAGTCATAATTTTAAAAAAATATACTTAATTATCATTATTATCAAATCCATAGATCGTGTGCATGTTTTGTACATGGCTCTCGTACTCCCCATAAAATACTTCTGTAAAACAAATATCACAGTATAATTTGTGTGTATTGCCATACAAATCACGATTATCGGTTAAATAAGACATAATATCATTAATACCCTTTTGGTGGTCTGCATCTGGAACGTTTTGAGGAACTACATTATATTTCTGTAAAAATAATAAATATTGTATGAAAAATTGATTCAATTTATGTAATTATTTACCTCCTCCATATCAACTACCGACTCTAATAAAGAATCTTCTACATGAGTCTCAAAATGTTTATACAAAATATCTTTGGTATGAAACTCTTGGTTACAAATATGGCACACAAAAATTTTGAGCTTGTGAGTTTCAACGTGTTCCTTGAATAATTCTTCTGTGGGAAATATTTTATTGCACACTCTAAAATAAATAATTAAGCTCAAATCTTTATACTTTGATGTAATAAATTTAGCTAAATCTAAGGGGTTTTGTACAAGTCTTGTAAAAGTCCTGTAAGTAGGTAAAATAGCACAAATCAAATCCTCACAAATTTTTCCATAGAATCCGTTTATGGGTTGGTTTTAGACTTGTTGGAACAAACCTAATAAAACTAACTTTTTCCAGTTTTTCTTAGTAACTAACTAAATTCAACCCTGGTCCTGTATTAAAGTCTTGTTGAAATTAGAGATTGAAGTTTACTGGTAATTTTCATTTGTTCTTTCTCAGTGGTAATTTACCGGTAATTTTTCGGTTATTTTGGTAATTTTGGAAATATTTCATGAAACAAACAATTATGACTATATACTATACCCAAGACCGAGGGGCTTTTAACCCATGGAAATCGGTGTACAATTCCTGGAAATACTTGGAAATAGCTAGAAATATTTGGAAATACCTAGAAATACTTTAGAAATACCTAGAAATACTTTGGAAATACCTAGAAATACTTTGGAAATACCTAGAAATACTTGGTAATACCTTGGGGAATACCTAAAAATACTTGGTAATACGTGCCGAAATATGTAAGAAAACAGTAGGTTTATGAGCTTCCTGAGCGCCGCTTTTTCTTATAAATTATTTTTTTTGAATTTTTACAGTCCAAGTTAGTTTTATTTGATTGTGAGAACCTTGGTGAAAACTTATTGGAAGGTACTTACATAAGTGTGTATGTACAGGGTGTCCAAATTCGACTAGTATCATCGGGATATTGGAAATGGTAAGAGATACAAGGTTGGTTAAAATATGGCAAAGTCGCGCAATTTTATGCTTAACAAAATATCAGAAAATATAAACATTCCGAATAGTTCCGGAAATATTGGGAATAATCCGAAATTTTACAGCGTTTTTATTTTTTTCTGAGCTTATTTGAGAGATATCCCAGAATAAATGTCACTCTATCATTGGCACTTTTTCTCCTCCACAAGATGCAACCATCAAATCCGACGTTTTGTCTTTGGGCCACCATCAGCAACTTTATTTTTTTAAATATGACCCTGGATTTTTTATTTCAGATTTTGAGAGCTTCTGATGTCCAAAAGCCTGTGATGTACCGCATTTAATCGAAAAAATATCTATTTTTTTTTTCACTTTTTAGTAATTCCCTACCAAAATTCTCTTCTCTGTCTCTCTCTAACATATTTAGTTCTCATTGAAAGTGCAAATAATATAAATTTTTCGAATAAGTGCAATACGTTATTGGTTTTGGGACATCAGAAGCTCATAAAACCTAGAATAAAAAATAAGGGCCCGTATTTAAAAGAAAAAAGTTGATGATGGTGACTCAAAGATGAAACGTCAGATATAGAATTTGATGGTGACATCTTATAGAGGAGAAAAAGTGGCAATGATGAAGTGACATTTATTATTTATATTGGGATATCTCTTCATAAGCTCAGAAAAAAATAAAAACGCTTTTGTAAAATTTCAGATTATTCCCAATATTTCTGGAACTATTCGGAGTTTTTAAATTTTCAAAACGGTATTTTGTAAAGCATAAAATTGCGAAATTTTGCCATAATTTAACCGACCCTGTATCTCTTACCGTTTCCAATATCATAATGATACTGCTTGAATTTGAGACACCCTGTATATATTTTAAGTGCCATTTTTATCTTATTTATGGTTCGCAAAAAAATTTCCTTGTTGTGTTAGACAATTTTTTTTCAGTGTTGCTACTCACCAGTTTTAGAAAAGGCTGTTTTCTAAAAGCATGCGTAAAACGTCACTTTCTGCAAGGCGTGTGATAGAAATATACTTGGAAATACCGGGAAATACTTATAAGTACTAAGAAATACACAGAAGTACTTGGAAATACTAGGGAATACCTGGAAATACTTAGAAATACTCGAAAAAACATGGAAATACCGTGAATATTGAGAAAAATGGAAATCGGTGTACAAATTTTTGTAGGTGAAAAGCCCCTCGCCCAAGACTATACCTATACGTTCAAGGATTATAGATTTTCAGGATTTTTTAGCTAAACAACCATTTATTATAATATTGTTTATTGTAAAACCTAACTTCATAGAAATATTACAATATATAAACAAATAATGGGCCTATTCAGGTTTGGAAAAAGTATGGTTCTAGAACGGTCCAGAAGAATCGCACAGTTTATTATTGAAATTTGTGATAGTCGAGTCGTTGTTATTTTTTTGATCAATAAACTGGACGATTGTTTTGAACCGTTCTAGAACCGTCCTTTTTCCAAACCCGAATAGGCCTAATAATACCTAATTCCTAGAATGGAAAACGAGCAAAGAAAATCAAACAGAAATAAATTCTCCTAATCCGGTGCTAAACTAAATAGTAAAGTAAATACCTACATTTAAAGGGCAAAAAGAAAACAAATAACTAAAATGAGCTGAATAAGTATAGCATAGGAGATAACTCAGTCAAGAAAATTGATTACTTAAAGCGCACAGGGTTACAGGGTTGGCAATAGCCCGGGTTTTTGAAAATTTCTATTGGTTTTTTGTGAGAGTTGTGCTTTTGTAGGATTTTTGTGTTATAAGATCTTTGACTCTTCGACATTCCAATTAATCTCAAACTCAGATTTCAACAAAAAACCACAGGGTTTTTAAAATAGGTTTTTCCTATGAGCACCATGTTTTAATTCAAAATATATTTTTTACTTGAAATCAAATTACTATATATAGGTACTATTTTCCATTGAGAAAACCTAGATCTTATACAGATTTTTTGATCAATTTTTGATAAATGAGATGGACAAAAATAATATAATTGTAGAAAAACATTACACCTAACTTCTGCAGAAAATGTCTTTTCCACCCTTGACAGCTTGCCAACTGCCGTCGCGTGGGGAAAAGCACCACTTTCCGTACTTGTTAGGTAAATAACTATTTGTTTATGGCTACTCCGAAAGCGCATTACAGAATCACAACAAGATGGCAAATAATGCATGAAAAGGATTGTCGCCTAAATTTGATTTCATCAAGGAAGCATTTCTGAAAATTACCGGTAAAGAAATTTGTCAGGTTAAATTACCAAAATTACCTTACTAAAATTACTGTAAATCGGTAGTTGAAATACTGTCCAGTCTTGTTGAAAGTTGAAAGTACTTTATAGCCCTGTTGAAGTGCTGTGTGGTCCTGTTGAAGTACTGTATAGTCCTATATTCAAGTCCTGTATGGTACTGTTTAAGTCCTGTTTTAAAATTTGTACACTTAAAGTTTGTTCTCACAAAAACCAAAAACCAGTCAGAGTATTTTCGATTGGTACCAATCGCCAACAACCAGTTCACTGACTATTTTCAACCAATGAAATTTGTGATTTTTATGAAAACAGACCCTTTGCTTGACTAAATCTTTACCCACAATAAGTCTTATATATTTTCATGTGCTGTGAAAGCAAATTATCATTTTCATATCCGTTGCCGCAGTTGGTACAAAACGCAGTAAGGCTGGGTCCAGTTTCAGAGGCAGATTCCGTATCCGAAGTCAATTTTATATCATCTTCGATTTTCATTTCATTGTCTTTTCTGCAATGGCATAAATAAAATACTCCGGTGTTTTCGTTCAAGGAGTGGTAATTTTTGCTTCTGGTTATGTTTATTTTGTAATTTCTTGTGTCCCTTTTGCGTTTGATGCGTTTTTTGAATTGGAATTGTTTGAAACAGTCTTCTGAAGATGCGCTACTCGGTGGGGTTGTTATGGTTGTAGGTTTTTTGGTTCTGAATGTTAATAGTTTTTTGAATTCTTTAGGTTGATTGTTGTTTTCTTCTTCAATAAGTGTATTGGTATTGTTGTTGTTGTTGTCATCAAAAGAAAACTCCATATCAATGAAACTTTTATCATCCCTTATAATAATTTCATTATTCCTGCACAAAATTTGTACGTTATCATTGGCAAAAATAGTTTCAGATCTTTTATTATTCGCAGTTATTTTTCTGAGTTTTTTGATTTTGGTTCGAGGGACAGCGCTTTTGGAATTCAATTTCATAAGTTCTCCGGCCAAAATTATTTTCGAATGTTGACGCACGTAGTGAAATAACAGTTTTTTCATTGTCGGCAACCACTTCCGGCATATTTCGCAACGCATTTTTCAACACGAAAATTTACGCTATAAATAAATGAATGTCCCAAAACTAATTATTTTATTTGGTTATTTATATGTTTTACTTACCGATTAAACGGTTTTTGATTTAAATCAACAACTAAATTCAGAGGAAAAACGAAAAAGAAAATTAGCCAAAAAAAGCACGTGTTTGTCCGTTATGTGTTTACCTGTCACAACTCTTCTCTTGTAGCGTTTTCATTATGCCCCGATTTGACAAAAGGCAGACCAGGTACTGAAACTTATTTTTGGTTGTGAAATTGAGTTCTTATATAATATATTAAAGGGTTCAAGCCTAAAAATAGCAAAAATATAGAAATTACTTGCCAAAACCGTGCAAAACTTAAATAGGTAGAGCCTGTTTTCGATCACACTCGGATCATAATGAAAACGCTATTGCAAAAATCCAAAATGACGGTGTCCCAAAAGTGAGGTTAGATTAACTATCTTTGGTGTTTTGTATGGTATTTACAAAGAATTTTATTTAAATCTGTGAACAGAACAAAAATTGCAATTTATTAATTAATAAATAGATATTTTGATTCACATTCAAAATGCTTAATGAGATATTGATAAGTGACGACGATGAACCTGTACCCCCTAGAAAAAATGTAAGTTTTTGTCGAATTTGCTTAAGGTCCAATTTCTAGTTGCCCCTTGAAGTTTTCTTGGATGTTTAGAATTGCCATGATATCCTTTGTTAAGTAGCAACAAGTGTCCATTCTAAACCCCCAACGAAGGACTTTTGCATGTAAGGTCTGATTTTATTGTTGCGAGTTTAGAATAGACACTTGTTACATACTGTTTGATAAGTTAGTTATGTCAATTCTAAACGTTCCTCAAGGTCTGAGAAGCGACTATAAATTCAGCCCTAAAAAATAACTTCAACTTTGGTCAATATACAAAACAAACCATGGGTTTGAGAAACCATTTTACTACCTGTTTCACCTATACAAAAGAATAGGGATATAAAGATGAAAAGGTTTCGAACCATCAATAATTATGGGCCCTTTGATAAAATAGGCGAACTATTTAGATAGATGGAAAAATACATTTTTATTTATTTATTGTCCTTTTTGAAGCTCCTATCCAAATGTAGGAATTTAACACAAGAAATCCAATATAAACACATTTCAGTAATCTATAGCTGCAATATAGGTAAATAGGCAAAGTAAAAGCCTCGGTAAAAGCTAATAATCAAAGTTTAATTTATCAATTTTTGGTTCACTGATATGAATATCAGTTTATTCAAGATTCTGATAGAGGTTCAAAAATGTTTAACCACCTGCCTCAGAAATTGAAAAAATTAGAAAGCCCTATAGGCATTTCAATGAACATGTTAAGAGGCTATTCGGCTGCAATGCAAAACACAGTAACTAACATTTTTATCAAAATTAAGTTTATTAGGGATTTGTGGTTGCTGTGTTTTGCTGAACATTTTGGTATTTTACAGGCTCAAATCCCATGATAAATAAGAAAAATAGAGTTCGAGCATTTGAAACAGAGTAACTGCTTGCTAAAAAATATTTTGTCATCACAAAACACAGTATTTATCAAATCATATATCAAAACACAGTAACTACTTAGCAGTTACCTTTTGTAAAGGGTTTACCTATCTTCTTTAAATTATGATAAAAAGAGTGCTGCACGTTATACCTAACTACCATTGAAGTTTTGAGGCAATATCTTCATTTATTTCATGGGGTTCGAAAAATTATTGTGAAAGTCGATTTTTCTCCATTGTTATAAAAATGTTGTTACTGCGTTTTGAATTGGGACAGCTGTATTGTTGTTGAGTGAGGCAGCTTTTTATCTCTAATAAAAAAAAAACTTATGACCTTTCAAAATTTTCTAAAATCAAATTCAACTACATAAGCTTACCTTCTTACTAAAACGATGAAATTTCAATTTTTTTTTTGTTGAGATTTTGTATCCTAATGGTTAATCAACATACCCCAAACTCCATACTCTAAATTATTCTCAAATTTGAAGCCGAAATCTATGAAAAAAGGCACGCAGAAAAATTGATAAATCACCCCAAATTGCTTAACACGATTTTATCTCAGGAACTATAAGTGCAAATGAGCTGAAATTTTCAGGGATTGTAGTCCTTTGAAAGGGATAAAATTCAGTGAACGTTTCAGCTTTCTATCTATAATAGAAAAACAGTTATGACCTTTCAAAGTTTTCCAAAATCTAAATCATAAGGTAGGTACGAGGGGGTAACAACTGGTGGCAATACTTGTACAAATTGTATAGCATTACAACGCATTACGACGCATTACTGAAATTACGCTGGAATTACAGGCATTACGGTGGCATTACTCCAAATTTTCCAAACATCCACTGGAAGATTATATTCATATTACTTACCTGAATATTTTAAATAATTTGAACCTAGGTATAGGGTATATCACATGAAATCTGCTCAGAATTTAACGTAGAATCCAAAGATGCAATCACATACAGGGTGTTCTATTTAAAATAGCGATGTTGCCACTGGTTTAGAGTAAAAGCGACCACACCGCATAAACAAAAATATTTTTAAAATGTAGATCATGGTCGTTTATCCCGGTTGCCAAATTTTCAAAAAGATCCGCTTTTTAGTTCTCCATAAACGTCTAATACGCCATCCACCGTGGGACACCCTGTATACATCTTGATATACATATTGTAGCATTGTGCAACATAGGTACTTCAAAAATGCCTTACTTATATGTTATATACCCATTTGATTCTTGATTCATCTTCGATTTCCATAGATTAAAACCAGGGGCAAAACAGTGAAGTACAAACCACAAACGAGTACTTCTGATAATGGAGTACTCTTGGAAATTGTTACTGATAAAGAAGAGGTAAGTACAATATGATTTAAAAAATCAGAGTAAAAAGACTGGAAATCCTCTCTGTAGATTTTACTAAATAGTGAATCATTTTAGACAGAAAACTTTTTGGGAGAAATTTCACTTTTAACAAGTGATGAAGAAGGCGAACCTAGTGTGCAGAAGCAAAAGAAAAAGAAATCAAATAAAGTAAAACAAAACAAAACATCATTTTGCCTTTTTTTTTAATTGGTATTTCCTTGTAGAAAATCCTTTCTTTTGAACTTTTCACAAGTGATGAAGATGATGCATTCAAAACTGCTCCAAAAGCTGCAAAGGTATTCTGTTAGTGCAACAAAAGCAATTATTTTTAATAACTTAATGATTTAATAGAAACGCAAACTGGCTAATCACAATGAGGCAACAGAGCCAAAAAAATCAAAACCAAAACAAGCAAAAGCTACTAAAAAGAAAGAAGCCCCAGAAGAAGTTGAGCATTTAGAAACGTCCAATAACAGCCTAAATGTTTCAATAGAAAATAGCAGTCCAATGTGGGACGAATCCATGCTATTGGCTGAAAAAAGTTTTATTGATGAAGATGTTGCCAAAAATTTAATTAAACTATGGGAAGAAGGAAATACTATACCTTTTATTGCAAGGTAACATATCAATACTATATACAGCATCAATTAAAACAAATTACATTTTAGGTATAGGAAAAATGTAATAAAAGACATGACACCCGAAGATCTGAGAACAGTCAAAGAAAATTACAGCGAAATTTGCGTTTTAAAAAAGAAAATGATCACAGTGGCCAAAGCTGTCACTTCTTTAGGTAAACTAGACAATAAACTACAAGGAAACATTTTTACTGCCAGGACTGTGGAAGAGTTAGATCATATTGTATGTATGTAACTTAGTTGTGAATCAAGTTAACTTTGTTTTGTAGTATGCCCCATTCAAAACCGCCGACTCTAAGATTTCGCTAGCAGAAAGAGCCAGGAAATGTGGTTTAGCTGAACCAGCGGTGCATTTATTGAATAATACCAGTATGGTTAATGTGGCAGAATATGTGAATCCTGATGTAACATATTTGAAATCCCCTACTGATGTTGAAAAAGGTTTGATGCATTTGATGGCGTCTGAAATGGCAAGAGATCCGGAAATTTTGAAAGAATTAAGAGATTTGTAAGTGGTTATGTATTGGAGAGTTTTGGGAGGGAGTGTAGAAAAGGCTATGGTAATTTTAGTAGTGAAGTGGAGGTCTGCCACATTTAAACTTCACTGTGAAAAACCATAGAAATTAAAAAAAAATTAGTCTCTATTACAGGCTCTTGAATATTTCTCATTTAGAGAAGTTCATAATTGAAACTAAATCTTGCTGTGAGGCAAAAACAACTGTCTCAGTGTTATTTTTGGAAAATAATTTAATTTGGAAACTTCATAGAAATTGGAGACAAATAATGATTCAAGAGCCTGGAATAGACAAAAATTGATACAGAAAAAGTGTGAATTACAGGGAGGAAATTTACACTAAATAATGGAAATTCCATGTTAGTTGCAAATTAAATTGAATAAACTGTTTTTTCCATAGACGTGCTAAAACATATTTCAAACTATCAACCAAAAAGGCTAAAGTCGTACAAAAGAAAGAAACGAAAACTATTAAATCTCAAAAGGACGAAACCAAATTTGAAAATTACTACGATTTCAGCATAACAACTTGTAATTTAAAGGCGCATCAAGTAAGTGAAAATGTCTGTTTTTTTGTTTCCCTAATAATCAATCCCTAAATAGATTCTTGCAATAAACAGAGGAGAAGCCCAAAAACTGTTATCCGTAAAAATAGAAATTCCAGAATTTGTAGAAAAACAATTCAAATATTTCTGCAATAAGAAGTGGACATTCAAAAGCCAATACGATACACAAAGACAAGAGTTAATAGGTGCAGCCATTAATGATGCCTATCAAAGATTAAGTAAGTGAAAACATTAGAAATAAGACAATGTTTTACATTATATTGTTTTCAGTTTCTCCTCTTATTACCCGTGAAATTCGTGCCGATCTCAAACTAAAAGCTGTAAAGGAATCTTGCAAAATATTCAGCGACAATTTAAAACACATGCTACTTTTGCCTCCTGTAAAAGGCAAAGCCATATTAGGAATCGATCCTGGATATTCAAACGGCTGTAAACTAGCCCTTATTTCACCAACAGGCACATTATTGGCCCAATCCGTAGTTTATCCTCATACAAGCAAAAACCAGTTTAGAGGCGAAAATGTAATAAAAGACATGTTAGTTCAAAACAAGTAAGAGTTGGCTAGTTTTTCCAAAACAAAATAATACATTGGTTTTTTAATTTAGTTGTAATCTTATTGTAATTGGCAATGGAACTGCCTGTCGGCAAACAGAAGAGTGGATTTCAGGACTAATTAAAACTAAATATTTTGGCAATATAAACGTACAATACTCCATTGTAAACGAAGACGGTGCCTCAATTTACAGTTGCAGTCCTGAAGCTAAAAAAGAGTTTGGAATGTTGGATCCCAATATTATCAGCGCAGGTATTTGTTTTGTTTGTGTGTTATTTTCCTGGCTACAACCTATTGAATATTTCAGTTTCTCTGGCAAGAAGAATCCAAGATCCTATGGCTGAATTGGTAAAAGTTGAACCGTGTCATTTAGGTATTGGGATGTATCAGTTGGACATTAAAAAGAAGGAGTTAGAGGAGGCCCTGAGCGAAGTTGTATCGGAATGTGTCAGTTTTGTGGGTGTGGATTTGAATACGGTTTCACAATGTTTATTAAGGTAGGCCATTTAGGTTTTAGTTATTTTTGAATCATGGATTTTCACTTCGTGGGTCTGCTCTTCACATGATTTTCTGGGTTTATTTGTTGGTTTTTTATGCACAATCTTTTTTAAGTTGATTTCTCCCTCTAATTGATTGTAAGAGGTCACCAGTGATCCATAGTTTTTTTACTTGTTTTTTTTTAATTATTGTAGAATCACAGATAATTTTTTTTTGGTTATTTAAAAACAGGTTAGTACATCTGCATTATTTCCTTCAGCACACTGTCCCATCCTTCATTCTCCATTTTCTCAGACAGCTTTTGATAGGTAATTATTGTGTAGGTTTCTTGTTCATCTTCTTTTTCTTTCACTGCATCAAATTTCAGATTAAGAAGGATGGATAGTGCTCTGTAAAATCACTTTCCAAAACTAATTGAAAAATTGATAAATCACCCCAAATTGCTTAACACGATTTTATCTCAGGAACTATAAGTGCAAATGAGCTGAAATTTTCAGGGATTGTAGTCCTTTGAAAGGGTTAAAATTCAGTGAAACTTTCAGCTTTCTATCTATAATAGAAGAAAAATTATGACCTTTCAAAGTTTTCCAAAATCTAAATTATAAGGTAGGTACCTTCTTACTAAAACGATGAAATTTCAATTTTTTTTTTGTCGAGATTTTGTATCCTAATAGTCAATCAACATACCCCAAACTCCACACACTAAATTATTCTCAGATTTGAAGCCGAAATCTATGAAAAAAGGCACTCAGAAAAATTGAAAAATTGATAAATCACCCCAAATTGCTTAACACGATTTTATCTCAGGAACTATAAGTGCAAATGAGCTGAAATTTTCAGGGATTGTAGTCCTTTGAAAGGGTTAAAATTCAGTGAAACTTTCAGCTTTCTATCTATAATAGAAGAAAAATTATGACCTTTCAAAGTTTTCCAAAATCTAAATTATAAGGTAGGTACCTTCTTACTAAAACGATGAAATTTCAATTTTTTTTTTGTCGAGATTTTGTATCCTAATAGTCAATCAACATACCCCAAACTCCACACACTAAATTATTCTCAGATTTGAAGCCGAAATCTATGAAAAAAGGCACTCAGAAAAATTGAAAAATTGATAAATCACCCCAAATTGCTTAACACGATTTTATCTCAGGAACTATAAGTGCAAATGAGCTGAAATTTTCAGGGATTGTAGTCCTTTGAAAGGGTTAAAATTCAGTGAAACTTTCAGCTTTCTATCTATAATAGAAGAAAAATTATGACCTTTCAAAGTTTTCCAAAATCTAAATTATAAGGTAGGTACCTTCTTACTAAAACGATGAAATTTCAATTTTTTTTTTGTCGAGATTTTGTATCCTAATAGTCAATCAACATACCCGAAACTCCAGAGACTAAATTATTCTCAGATTTGAAGCCGAAATCTATGAAAAAAGGCACTCAGAAAAATTGAAAAATTGATAAATCACCCCAAATTGCTTAACACGATTTTATCTCAGGAACTATAAGTGCAAATGAGCTGAAATTTTCAGGGATTGTAGTCCTTTGAAAGGGTTAAAATTCAGTGAAACTTTCAGCTTTCTATCTATAATAGAAGAAAAATTATGACCTTTCAAAGTTTTCCAAAATCTAAATTATAAGGTAGGTACCTTCTTACTAAAACGATGAAATTTCAATTTTTTTTTTGTCGAGATTTTGTATCCTAATAGTCAATCAACATACCCCAAACTCCACACACTAAATTATTCTCAGATTTGAAGCCGAAATCTATGAAAAAAGGCACTCAGAAAAATTGAAAAATTGATAAATCACCCCAAATTGCTTAACACAATTTTATCTCAGGAACTATAAGTGCAAATGAGCTGAAATTTTCAGGGATTGTAGTCCTTTGAAAGGGTTAAAATTCAGTGAAACTTTCAGTTTTCTATCTATAATAGAAGAAAAATTATGACCTTTCAAAGTTTTCCAAAATCTAAATTATAAGGTAGGTACCTTCTTACTAAAACGATGAAATTTCAATTTTTTTTTGTCGAGATTTTGTATCCTAATAGTCAATCAACATACCCCAAACTCCACACACTAAATTATTCTCAGATTTGAAGCCGAAATCTATGAAAAAAGGCACTCAGAAAAATTGAAAAATTGATAAATCACCCCAAATTGCTTAACACGATTTTATCTCAGGAACTATAAGTGCAAATGAGCTGAAATTTTCAGGGATTGTAGTCCTTTGAAAGGGTTAAAATTCAGTGAAACTTTCAGCTTTCTATCTATAATAGAAGAAAAATTATGACCTTTCAAAGTTTTCCAAAATCTAAATTATAAGGTAGGTACCTTCTTACTAAAACGATGAAATTTCAATTTTTTTTTTGTCGAGATTTTGTATCCTAATAGTCAATCAACATACCCCAAACTCCACACACTAAATTATTCTCAGATTTGAAGCCGAAATCTATGAAAAAAGGCACTCAGAAAAATTGAAAAATTGATAAATCACCCCAAATTGCTTAACACAATTTTATCTCAGGAACTATAAGTGCAAATGAGCTGAAATTTTCAGGGATTGTAGTCCTTTGAAAGGGTTAAAATTCAGTGAAACTTTCAGCTTTCTATCTATAATAGAAGAAAAATTATGACCTTTCAAAGTTTTCCAAAATCTAAATTATAAGGTAGGTACCTTCTTACTAAAACGATGAAATTTCAATTTTTTTTTTGTCGAGATTTTGTATCCTAATAGTCAATCAACATACCCCAAACTCCACACACTAAATTATTCTCAGATTTGAAGCCGAAATCTATGAAAAAAGGCACTCAGAAAAATTGAAAAATTGATAAATCACCCCAAATTGCTTAACACGATTTTATCTCAGGAACTATAAGTGCAAATGAGCTGAAATTTTCAGGGATTGTAGTCCTTTGAAAGGGTTAAAATTCAGTGAAACTTTCAGCTTTCTATCTATAATAGAAGAAAAATTATGACCTTTCAAAGTTTTCCAAAATCTAAATTATAAGGTAGGTACCTTCTTACTAAAACGATGAAATTTCAATTTTTTTTTTGTCGAGATTTTGTATCCTAATAGTCAATCAACATACCCCAAACTCCACACACTAAATTATTCTCAGATTTGAAGCCGAAATCTATGAAAAAAGGCACTCAGAAAAATTGAAAAATTGATAAATCACCCCAAATTGCTTAACACAATTTTATCTCAGGAACTATAAGTGCAAATGAGCTGAAATTTTCAGGGATTGTAGTCCTTTGAAAGGGTTAAAATTCAGTGAAACTTTCAGTTTTCTATCTATAATAGAAGAAAAATTATGACCTTTCAAAGTTTTCCAAAATCTAAATTATAAGGTAGGTACCTTCTTACTAAAACGATGAAATTTCAATTTTTTTTTTGTCGAGATTTTGTATCCTAATAGTCAATCAACATACCCCAAACTCCACACACTAAATTATTCTCAGATTTGAAGCCGAAATCTATGAAAAAAGGCACTCAGAAAAATTGAAAAATTGATAAATCACCCCAAATTGCTTAACACGATTTTATCTCAGGAACTATAAGTGCAAATGAGCTGAAATTTTCAGGGATTGTAGTCCTTTGAAAGGGATAAAATTCAGTGAAAGTTTCAGCTTTCTATCTATAATAGAAAAAAAGTTATGACTTTTCAAACTTTTCAAACCTTCTTACTAAACCGATGAAAAATTAAAAAAAATGTACATTTAACATTACGAGTTTCTGACATTATTATAATGTCAAAAGATTCCAGGAAAACAAAAAACAAAATCATCAATGACAAATTAATCCTTAAATCCACATTTGCTAGAAAAGATAAACTTTCATGTGAAATACAGCCAACATTTATTTATACAATCTTTCCATAAACATAAAAAAAACCTGTCACTTGATTAATTCATTATTTCTAGACGAGTAGCAGGCTTATCGGATAAAAGAGCCACTCAAATAATCGACTATAGAGAAAGGAACGGGCCTTTTATCAACAGAAAGCAACTGCTCAACATTTACGGCATTGGAGACCGAACTTATGAGCAGTGCATCGGATTTTTGCGAGTTTGTCCCACAAATCCCTACGACAAGAATTTTTATACCAAAAAGGAAACAACTGTTTTAGATGCTACAATCATCCATCCAGAATCTTATTCTATAGTTAGACAATTACTAGGTAAGAATTGAAACTTCATAATATTGTTGATTTTATTTAAATTGTTTTTTAGGTAAACTTAAACTGCAAGAAAAAGACATTGGCACTGAATCGTTCATTAGAAACTTCAAATTCCGATCTCAAGACTGCAATATTGATGAATTAGCCAATTCATTTAAAACTGACAAACCCACTATGAAACTTATTATTGACGCCTTAAGTAAGCCCCTAAATCACGACTTGAGAACCGAAATAAGTCAAACGCCTCTATTTAAGACAGGCATTACGACTATGGAAGATTTAGAAATAGGAGCTTTGTTAACCGGCCGAGTCAAAAATGTCACTTCGTTTGGGGCTTTTGTAGATTGTGGGGTGGAAAGGGACGGGTTGATACATGTGAAAGCTATGAGAGGGTTGGTTTTGCATTTGGGGGATGTTGTAGAAGTTAGAGTGAGGCAAGTGGATTTGAGTAAGGGGCATATACAATTGGACGCTGTAAGAAAAATGAATTGAATGATTATTATTATTATTAATTTATAGGAATAAACTTTAGTTTTTTTTTTTGCGCTTGAATTTTGTAATAGCTTTAGGAGAGATGTAGCTATTGATTTTTCGATACTAGTTGGTAATAACTTAAAGACTATTTTTGAAGTTACAATGATTACAAATTAATTCAATTTTGGAATAAATTAGAAAGGAAATGAATTCTGAGTTGCTTACATAAAGCTATTATCTCAAATTTGTTTTTAATAAAAGGCTGTTTTTATAAATGTTTGTGCAATTTTTTCACTCCCATACTGTTACACAGATAGGTAATGAAAATTAGTTTTAACAAGGTTTTAACTGTATGAAGAGAAAATATGAGATTGCACTTGCAAATATTAACATACAAATGTTACAAGCGAAACACATTTATTTATTAAAAAATTCTTCAACAAATCACATAATCTACTGACAGATATAGTATTGCATTTCAGTGCATTCTTTTGCCTCCCACTCGTAAGGATCAATATTTCCGTAGTCCCTTCCCAAGAGCAAACAAAAGTCGGCTGCGAATGTAGAATTCGGTTCGTTGGTGGCCCACTTTGAATATGTTATATATTCTTGGGTGTCCATCCACAACCAGGCTCCGTTGGTCGTTTTGACACCGCCTAACCAGTAAGTGTCTGAAAATTGTATTTATTTAGTTAAAAAATCATTATAATTGAGACAAAAACCAGGGTTGACATTTGAAATCTTAACTGATAGGTTTATAGAGAATTTAATTGGCTTTAATTTGAGTCTAATTACGTTGAGATCAGATGAAAATTAACAGAGTTGTTGGGCAAAAACTGTCGGATAAATTCAATTTTGAAGCTTCTCAGCTGCAAAACTGTTGCAACTAAATTGAAATCCTAATTAACAGATTTGTAGAGCATTTAATTGGAGTTTGATTGCGTTGAAATCGGATGAAAATTAATGGAGCTGTGAGGCAAAAAGTGTCTCGGAGTCATTTTTGGAACTTTCAGGGATTGTAGTCCTCTATTGGGATAAGAATCTCTGAAAATTTCAGCTTTCTATTTTTAATAGTAAAAAAGTTATGACCTTTCAAAGTTTTCCAAAATCTAAATCATAAGGTAGGTACCTTATTACCGAGGGGTGGTTAATTGGTCAAAGTCCCAAAAAATCTCATAAGATCTACTCAAAATCCATAAAAAGCTTTGAAATCCTCGAAAATTTAACAAAAGCTCTTGAAATTGCATAAAATTCTATAAAATTTTACAAAATTTCATTAAAACCAAAAAAATCCTTTGGAAGCCCCAAAAATCTGTTAAAGTCTTTCAGAATTCCATAATTGAGTGAATTTCGAGGAATTTCGGTAGAATTATGTTATTCTGAAAAAGGAATTACATGTGAAATATTTACGGAGTTTCCACAGAATTCACATTAAATTTTAGTTCCTCTCGAATTACATGAAATATCAGTGAAATTTCGATCGAATACACGAAATCCTAAATGAATTGCATGGAGGAATTCTAAACAATTATATGAAATTACACCAAAATTGAAAATTCCCAACATGAAATTTCAGCTCTTACTGAATTTTAGTAAAATTTCAGAAAATACCAGGAATTTCTAGGTAAAAAACATGGGATTTTGGTGATATTCCGAAAAATTCCCAGAAATTTCTGGCTATTAAAAGAGAATTTCAGTGAAATTCCGAAAAATTCTTATGAAAATAAATGAAATTTTTGAAAAATTCCTTGAAGTTTCATTGGACTTCCGAAAAATCTTTGGCTATCAATGTGAAATTCCAGGATATTCCCGAGGATATTTCAGTGGTGAAATTTTGGGGAATTTCAGTAAAGTTAAAAAAAAAATAAATATGGAATTTATATGGAATTTTGAAATTGAAATTTTTGTGGCATTCCGAGGAATGTCATGAAATCCTATACTGTAATTCCGAAAAAAAATTGTCTAAGAATTCCATAAAATCTTCTGGTAAAATATTAGGGAATTTCTATGGAATTACTTGAAATTTTCGCAGAATTTCTATGGAATAACTTGAAATTTTAATGTATTTCGAAGAATTTTATGAAATTTCATAGTGTAGGTAATCCTGAAGAATTTTTGTTCAAGAATGCCATTGAATTTTATTGTGGAATTCCATGAAATCTCTTGGAAAATTAACTAAAATGTTCACCGAATTCCCATGGAATAACTTGAAATTTTAATGGAATTCCGAAGAATTTCGTGATATCTCATAGTGTAACTCCGAGGAATTTTTTTGCAAGAATTCCATTAAATTTTATAGTGGAATTCCATAGAATCTCCTAATGAAGTTCGGAAAAGTATTATGAAATGTTATAGTAAAATTACTAGGAATTTACATTTTTCCATTCAAATTTATCACTTGAATTCCATAAAATCTTCTGGTGAAATTCTAAGGAATTTCCTCGGGAATTTTTATGGAATTGACTAAAATTTTCGCGGAATTCCCATGGAATAATTTTAAATTTCAGTGGAATTCCGAAGAATTTCATAAAATGTTATACTGTAATTTCAAAGAAAAAAAAATTCCAAGAATTCCATTGAATTTTATGGTGTGAAATGTGACATGTGAAATTTTTGCGGAGTTTCCATAGAATTCACATTAAATTTTAGTTGTTTTCGAATTACATGAAATTTCAGTGGAATTTCGATCGAATTACATGAAATCCTGAATGAGTTACATAGAGGAATTCTGAACAATTACATGGATTACACCCAAATTCCCAACATGAAATTTCAGTGCTCGTTAAATTACATAAAGAATTTTTAAAAAGTTTCAAAAAATTCCATGAATTTCGAGGAATTTTCTTTGAATTATATGAAGCTCCGAGGAATTATCAGGAAATTACATGAAATTTAAGTGGAATTTTGAACCGTTTCATAAGGAATTCCAGTGAAATTCCAAAAAATCCTAATGTAATTACATGGAGTTTTATTTTTATTCCAAGAAATTCCCAGTGAAAAACATGGCAATGGTGAAATTGAAATTCCGAAAAATTTCCATCGAATAACTGAATTTTAGTAAAATTAGAGAAAATTTCACAAGAGGAATTTCCTGCTAAATACTTGGAATTTTGGTGAAATTTGAAAAAATTCCCATGTAATGTACTTAAAGTTTCAATAATATTTCCAGAAATTTCTGACTATTGAAAGAGAATTTCGGCGAAATTCCGAAAAATTCCAATGAAAATAAATGAAGTTTTAAAAAAAAAAAATGGAACTTCGAGAAATTTTTGACTAATAACGTGGAATTTCAGTGAAATTTCAAAAAAATTCTCATAAAATTCTAGTGAAATTCCGAGGAATTTTTAAGAAATTATAGAAAATGTCAGTGAAATTCCGAAAAATTTTATAAAAATTTTGTGAAATTCCAGGATATTAGGGTGAAGTTTTTGGGAACAGTAGAGTTTTAAAAAAATTATGGAATTTTGAATTTCTATAAAATTTTGAAGAATTTCAGTGGGATTTCGAAAAAAAAAATTATGAAATATTCACAGAATTTCCATCAAATTATATATAATTTCACTTTGTGTCGACTTACATAAAATTTCGATGAAATGTCGGGTAAAATTTTAAAGAAGTCTCGTCGAATTACATACATGGAATTCCTCGAAATTCTATTGTGGAATTTCAGTAAAATTATATGGAATCTGAAGAATTACCCTTGGAATTAAACAGAATTTCCGTGGAACTTTAATGGAACCACATTCCGGCGGAATTCCGAAGAATTTAATTAAATTTTAATGAAATTCTGAGTAATTTTTGTTGAATTACATAAAATTTTAGTGGAATTCCGAGAAACCTCATGAAATATTTCGAGGAATTTTTGTGCAACAATTCCATCGAATTTTAGGGTCGAATTCGATGATGAAATTTGGGAAAGTATTATGAAATCTTATGGTAAAATGTCTAGGACTTTCTGTTTTTGTATCCAAATTTGTCATTTGAATGGAATTTCGAAGAATTCCATAAAATCTTCTAGTGAAATTCTAAAGAATTTTTATGGAATTAACAAAATTCTCGTATGATAATTTGAAATTTTAGTGGAATGCCGAAGAATTTCATGAAATCTCATAGGTAGTGTGATTTTGAAGAATTTTTGTCCAAGAATTCCATTGAATTTTATGGTGGAATTCCATAGAATCATATGTAATCAATTCGGAAAAGTATTATGAAATCTTATAGTAAAATGTCTAGGAATTACCGTTTTTCCTTTCAAATTTGTCATTTCAATTTAGAATCTCTAAAAACCCCTAAAATGCTCTGAAAATTTTCTGAACTCTTGTAAAATCGTGTAAAGATTTTTAAAATTTTCAAAATCCTACAAAATCAATTAAGATTTAAAATATGTGTTCAATATTTCATAGAGTTAACCGAGGAGTTAACTAAACCTCGGAGCGGTTGTTTGGTTAAAATCTGTGTACAAGTTGGTCAAAATCCCAGAAAAACTTGTAATATTTAGTTCAAATCCCTGAAAATCTTTAAAATTTTATTAGAACAAAAAAAAATTCGGCAAAATCCTATAAAATTCCTTATAAAAAAAATCTTTTAACATTTCCAAAAATCCTTTGGGATCCGCAAAAATCCGTTGAAATTTCTAAAAATCCTTCAGGATCTCTAAAAACCCTTCTAACTTTCCTATAATGCTCCAAAATCACCTAAAATCTATTAAAATCCTGTAAAAAGATATTCATAATACTCAAAATCCTACAAAATCAATTAAGATTTAAAATATGTGTACATATTTTAAGGAGTTAGCCACCCCTCGCTTATTACTATATGGATGAAATTTCAAATTTTTTTGTTGTTGAGATTTTGTGTCCTAATGATCATTTGGGATCCTCCAAACTCCATACACAAAATTGATAAATCACCCCAAAACCACCATACAATTTTATTTCTGGAATTATTTCAATTTTTGATAAATTCAATTTTGAAGCTTCTCAGGTGCAAAACTGTTAAAATTAAATTAAAATCTCAATTATTTTCTCTTAAATTCTCTACAAACCTAATGTTTGTAAAGAATTTAATTGGTTTGAATTAGAGCCTGATTGCGTTAAAATTGAAGGGTCTGTGAGGCAAAAACTGTCTTGGTGACATTATTGGAAAGAAAGAATTTGCTTTGGAAAAACGGTAAATTTTCACAATAACTCTCAAAAACCCAATAGAAATTCTCAAAAACCTCAACAAAAACTTACTAGTATTTAAGTATTGTCCCGATTTCAAGTGTTGAACTAAACTATCATAGGAAGTTTGGTCTTGTAGGTTGATCAAACTTTTGTTCATTATCTTACATTCGGTCCAGGCTTGGAGGAAAGTTAACTAGAACGATTTAAATTTTATTTTGATTAGTATAGAATATTAAATACCTACTTACTTTGGATTCTGAAATATAATATTCATGTACACTGTTATCTAAAGAAGCCGCTTTGGACATTAGAAAAATTGCCATCAAGGCAATGAAAAAAGAAGACAATTTCATCATCGTGAAATAAATAATAGTTTCACTGCATGTTGCTCCAATATTTATAAAGTAGGTAATTTTTATCTTCAAGTGCCAATAATAGTCATTCAACTTTTTTTTTCCTTCCTCTTGAGTGTTTTCCAAGATTCACTTAAATTTTTTGATACACTTCCTAGCAACAATTATACTTTGAAGTGATTGACTAACAAACCTTCGGATTATTTTATTACCACTTGAGAGATTACATTATTTTATGCAGTTGCTGAAAATCAGATAATATAACTATATTTGAGTCAAAAAAAAAAAAAAAATACCAATTTTAATATCAAAAACCTTGTTATTCAGTTTGTAGTTAGAAGAAAAAAAAAGTAGTTTAATGCCTAAAATTATTATGCTAAAGAAATAACCATTTATTACATAATATTGTATTGACTGAATTCCTTTTTGATTATTTTTAATTATTTACAAACAGTTTTTTAGTTTAAACATAATCTACCCATACAATAAATTAAAAAAAAAGGTTTAGCTAATATTAGTCCAGGTCTGTACTTTGTAAGATTTGTCTCGACGTTGATGCCCTACTTTGGCTTGGTTGTGGTGTTTCTTCGTCGCTATCATCATCTAAACCTCCTAAAAATGTCACTTGAAATTGTGTGTATATTTTTTCATATTTTTTACCTAAAAAATTCTCTAAAAGATTCCCAAACAATCCACCAGAATTCTTCTTTTCAGGCGGCTTCACTCCAAAAAATATTTGAGCTATTTTATCCAAATATTGAATGTAACACGGATCCCTTTTTATTGACATTTGATATTGTTCACATAGGACGGCAAAAGTTTGCAATTTCTTACTAGAAAATTACATATGATGAACAAAAAACTAATTATTATTATTATAAAATCCCTTACGTTTCTACAGCCTGCAACAAAAACCAAAGAAAATTCAACAGAGGCAACAAAAATGGCGGTCGATTCTTCTTAATTTTGGGATGATTTTCTGTGTAAGTGGTAAAAGTTTGATTGGCCGTCATCCGATTGCTCATACACAAAAATTGTAACACGGCTTGGGCTATAAACAGATCCACTTCGCTTTTGAAGCCTTTGGTCATTTGAAACTCTATTAGTAACTTTGCGCAACCTTTACCATCATGTGAACGGATGTAGTGGTGTCTAGCTTGGATGTAGTTTAGTTCTTGCCAATAGATTTTAGCTATACACTGAAAGAAAATACATATTTTTTTTTTATAAATTTGCTTGTATTTATACCGAGGGGTGGTTAACTGGTCAAAATCCGTGTACAATCCCAGAAAATCTCTTAAGATCTACTCAAAATCTCTTGAAATTGCATAAAATCCTACAAAATCTAACAAAATTTCATTAAAACCAAAAAAATCCTGCAAAATCTTGTAAAATTATTCCTAAAAAAATATTTCCTTTGAAATTATCAAAAATCCTTTGGAATCCCCAAAAATCTGTTAAAGTCTCTCAGAATTTAGTGGAATTTCGGTAGAATTATGTTATTATTCTGAGACATGTGAAATGTGAAATTTTTGCGGAGTTGCCATAGAATTCACATTAAATTTACTTATTTTAGGTGATAGTTTGGCATATAACATTAGAAATGGTTTGTCTAGGCATTTGAAGTATAATTTTGATATTTCTTCAGTTATAAAACCTAATGCCTTAATAGGTGATGTTGTATCGGATATTTTAAGACTGACAAAAAATTTTGATACGAATGATTATGTTGTTGTAATGGGGGGTAGTGTAAATCTTCTGAATGGTATTAGGGTTGAAGAAGAAACGATTGAGCGACTTAGAGTTGTTAACGGGTATAAAAATCTAATTCTTTTTTCGGTTCCATTGTGGAGCAACAACAGTCTTTTGAATAAATTTATAAATGAGCATAACAAAATGATGTATGATAAAGTTTTTTCTGAACAGAATAGTTCACTGTTTCTGCACTTTAACGCTGTTGTTAGATCTTTGGAGTTTTTCTATAGGGATGGTTTGTTTATTGCTTATAGAGGTAAAAACAAAGTCGCGCATAAATTGAAAAATGTAATAATAAATCATCAAAAAAATAATGTAACAGGAAGATTAGCTGGTAGAAATAATGTAGCTGAGTCAAATAACGAGATGTTTTTGTTGCCTTCTGAGCCTGGCCTATACTAAGACCGATTCCTTAAAAAAATCATACCATTCAATTTAATATAATAATATATTATATAATAAATAACTATTAAGCTTAATACTAAAAAGTGTTCCTCTATGTCTTTTTCTTTAAAGAAAAATGTTATTAATAAGCAATATACAATTAATGAAGAGGTATTAGTGACCAACTCGGTTCAAAAGGACTTGGGAGTACTGTTCGACAATTGCATGAGCTTCACTGATCATATTGTAACAAAAATTAATGAGGCACATAGAATATTGGGTTTCATTATCAGATCTACCAAGCTTTTTAATGTTGATGTATGTGTTAAGCTATTTGACAGTCTTGTGTTGCCACGAATGGAATATGGGAGCATAATTTGGTCACCCCAATATGAGGTATGGTGCAAATCTATTGAACGAGTCCAGAGAAAGTTCTTAAAGTATGTTTTTTTGAAAAGGTTTGGCTTCTACCCTCCTCAGGGATTTAACCATAATAGACTTTTGAATTTGTTTAATAGACTCTCCCTGGAGAATAGGCGAATAAAAATGTGCCTAATTTACATTTATAAACTCATAAATAATAATATAAATAGCCCTCATATTTTATCTCAACTCCCTTTTTCAATAAATCGTGTCTACACCCGACAGAGAAATATGTTTTATTTGGACTTCCCTAGGACAAATTTGTATAAGAATTCTCCAGTTTAAGACACTTTACTAAAATTATAAGTGAGAAACTTTTTATTTCCCAGGCTCAGGAGTAGACAAGTTTGTTTTATTTTTATTGTTAAATTATATAGTATAATCTTGTTTTTTGAAAAAGTTTTTGCTTGTTAGAGCTCCAAGGAAGCCTCATATATTTAATGTGAAGTGTTCATGATTGTAACAATGTAAATTTTTAATTTCAAATAATTATTGTTTACTAGTTTTAAGATCGGTATCTGTAATTGGCATGTGCTGTTGATACTGTATTAATAAATAAATAAATAAATAAATAAATTTTAGTTCCTCTTGAATTCCTTCCGATCGAATTACACGAAATCTTAAATGAATTGCATGGAGGAATTCTAAACAATTTATGAAATTACACCGAAATTCCAATACCAGAAAATTCCACAAGTGGAACCGAGGAATTTCCGGCCAAAAACATGGAATTTCGGTGATATTCCCAAAAATTCCCATGTAATGACATGAAATTTCAAGATATGTGTTTCTGTGAATTTTCAAGAAATTACTTGAAGTTTCATTAATATTCCCAGAAATTCCTGGCTATTAAAAAAGAATTTCAGTGAAAGTCCGAAAAATTCTTATGAAAAAAAATGAAATTTTGAAAAATTCCTTGAGGTTTCATTGGACTTTCGAGAAATCTTCAACTATGAACGTGTAATTTCAAAATATTCTCATAAAATTTAAGTGAATTCCAAGGAATTTTTAAGAAATTACATGAAATGTCAATGAAATTCCGAAAAATTTTATGAAAATTTTGTGGAATTTCAGGATATTTCAGTGGTGAAGTTTTGGGGAATTTCGCTAAAGTTTTAAAAAAATTAGGGAATTTGGAATTTCTATACAATTTTGGAGAGTTTCAGTGGGATTTCGAAAAAAAATATTATGAAATATTCGCAGAATTTCCATCAAGTTATACAGGGTGTCCCACGGTAGATGGCATATTAGACGTTTATGGAGAACTAAAAAGCGGATCATTTTGAAAATTTGGCAACCGGGATAAACGACCATGATCTACACTTTGAAAATATTTTTGTTTATGCGGTGTTGCCGCTTCTACTCTAAACCAGTGGCAACATAGCTATTTTAAATGGAATACCCTGTATGTGATTGCATATTTAGATTCCACGTAAAATTCTGAGCAGATTTCATGTAATATACCCTATACCTAAGTTCAACTGTTTTGGAAATATTGACAGTTGAAAATTGACTTTTTGCAACTTTGACAGGCTGTAAAACCTGAAAGGTTAATTTTAGAGAAAAACCGATTTTACATTCCTATCTTAGATTTTTACAAACTATCATTTGACACCAACTTTCAATTTAATCCATGATTAAAAATTCCAATTAAATTTAATCTCCGGTTAAATTCAAAGTTGGTGTCAAATGATAGTTTATAAAAATCTAAGATAGGAATGTAAAATCGGTTTTCCTCTAAAATTAACCGTTCAGGTTTTACAGCCTGTCAAAGTTGCAAAAAGTCTATTTTCAACTGTCAATATTTCCAGAACAGTTGAACTTATTGTTCGTCGATTTTTAACTGACACTTTCCGTATGAGGAGCGAGGAGGTGTTTCATATGGCAAAAACAGGTGTGACGTCAGGTAACCATTGGCGTTCTAATGTAAGGAGCCACCAGCTCACATTCCGTCCGAGTATCAGATTAAAATCGACGGACAATAGGTATAGGGTATATCACATGAAATCTGCCCAGAATTTTACGTAGAATCTAAATAAGCAATCACATACAGGGTGTTTTATTTTAAATAGCGATGTTGCCACTGGTTTAGAGTAGAAGCGGCAACACCGCATAAACAAAAATATTTTCAAAGTGTAGATCATGGTCGTTTATCCCGGTTGCCAAATTTTCAAAATGATCCGCTTTTCAGTTCTTCATAAACGTCTAATACGCCATCCACCGTGGGACACCCTGTATATAATTTCACTTTGTATCGACTTACATAAAATTTCGAGTAAAATTCCAAGGAATTCTCATCGAATTACATACATGGAATTCCTTATTCCTTGTCCGAAGAATTCCCTTGGAATTAAACAGTATTTCCATGGAACCACGAGAAATTTCGACGGAATTCCGATAAATTGAATTAAATTTTAGTGAAATTTTGAGTAATTTCTTTCGAATTACATACAATTTAAACGGAATTCCGAGATATCTCATGAAATCTATTACTCTAATTCCGAGGAATTTTTATACAAGAATTCCATTGAATTTTATGGTGGTATGGTGGAATTCAATAGAATCATATGATGAAATTCAGAAAAGAATTATGAAATCCTATAGTAAAATGTCTAGGAGTTTCCATTTTTCCATTTAAATTTGTTATTTGAATTTAGAATCTCTGAAAACGTTTCAAAAACCCCTAAAATGCTCCAGGATCACCTAAAATTTTAAAAATCTAAAATCTTCTGAACTCCTGTAAAATCGTGTAAAGATTTTCAAAATCCTCAAAATCCTACAAAATCAATGAAGATTTAAAATCTGTGTACATATTTTAAGGAGTTAACCACCCCTCGATTTATTCATAACATTGTTTTATATAGAAGATTTAGCTACAATATCGATAGGTCTATTTCTGCAGGAATCACAAATCAGTCAGAGCGAATTTCATTGGTTGAAAACAGTCAGAAAACTAGTTTCAACCAATGAAATTCACTCTGACTGGTTTGTGATTTCTGCAGAAACAAACCTGATATTGGATGATGAAAATTAGAAGAAATGTATTATCATTATCAGAGTGGATTTTTAAGGATAAATGGCACTTTTTTCTATTGGAATGGGATCTTTTACTGAAATTTAAATACACATGAAATCTTAAATGATGGACTATTTTAGGTATATTTGTGATCAAGAGCAGGTAAGAGTTTGAATTTTTGATTATTCTTCGCTCTTGACTAGCTGCACTGTTTTCCTGAAGGCAATCAAGAGCCTCTAATTGTCTAACTTTTCATCATTATCTACTCTTGATTGCCTGACTTGAACCAAGAGCAATATAAATCTAATTTTGGTTATTTCTAGCTCTAGATTTGATAGAGGATATTTCTAGATGTGATCAAGATCTGGTATGGAGATCCAAAATTTGATGATTACTGGTCTCCTGATCACCTATAGAAAAATTTTTGAATAAATTAAGAGCCTGTGATAGTTCAAATGATAATTTCTCCTGGCTCTTAATTCATTGAATAATTTTTATAAAGGTGATCAAGAGTTGGTGAGAGCCCACTATACAGGGTGTTTGGCGGAGAGTTACCTAAACTTGGTCGGCATATAGATAGGGCCCATTTCGAAGATATTTTATTAATACACTTGTGCCCTTACCGTCCCCGTTTTTTTATATCATTGGTTTTGTCGAGGATTTTGTATTATTCTCAAGAATTTTCAAAAATGGACCTTTCAACTTCTGTAACTTGTTTTTAAATGTTTATTAAAATGTTTGTTTTAGTGTATTTTTGGTTAATAGAGCTTACACTGATTAGGTATTTCAGTAGTATTTGTACCCAATTATTACTTTATTAGATCAAGTATACCCTACAGACCAAAAACATACGAAACAGACATTTCCATAAACATTAAAACTTATCTTGAGGGCACAAGTGTATTAATAAAATATCTTCGAAATGGGCCTATCTATATGCCCACCAAGTTTGGCTAACCCTCCGCCAAACACCCTGTATATAGACTTTTCCCACTTTTCTGGAAACTTTTCATATTCAAAACAGTTAAACTGGATATCTGTTTTTACTCTATAGTTTCCCCTTATTACTTAATGCTAATGTCAAAAATAAAAAGATTAAATTCAAATGAGACCTGACCATGAGTCGTACAATCAAGTAATACAAAAATATAAAATTTATCATAATTCATGCATGAGGCTCAAAACAAATTATTACAAATGCCCTTTGATGCATTGAATAATTTGATAATAAAGCAACTTTGAAGGAACTTATCGGAATTTATGAGAATTTGGGGAATTTGGAGGAATTTATGGGGAATTTGTAAGGAATTTAAAGTAACAACCTGAAATTAAATTGCTTTTTAAAAAAAACGTACCTGATGTAAAGTGGGATTTCCATAAGTATTACCTTGACTTGACCATTTCACAGCCTGTATCAAAAAATGTTCGCGCTCTGTAGTATGATCAGGGCCTATTTTAGCAAAAATATTTGACAATTTGGGAGACCACGCATCACAGTCTTTTTCTTCGGATTTCTCGAGCGCCTCGATTAATAGAAGACCTAAATCAGCTCCGGAAGTTTTCTGAAAAAAAAAAAATGGTTTGTTTTAAAATCCTAACCTCACTAAACAAGAGGATAATATCATGTTGGCACTGGCAGCCTGCGGAAAATGTTCAGATTGCATTATTAAACTGAGGCAAGAAGATAAAAGAATAAAGAATCCAAAATCAATAGGCTTGTTTTGTTTCTCTCTGTAGATGTAAATAAGTGCTCCCCCAGCTGCTATGGGACATAAAAGAAGAATTGTATATATTTACATAGACTTATTGCTTACCTGATCAACGTCCAAAAATAATACGGAGCCCTGGTAAAGCAACTCTTTCAAATCGTTGTACTTTTTCTGTCCTAAATACCTAAACACACAAGAAAACAATAAGGTTAGTTTTGTCAGAATGATTCCGGATAAAATTGGGGCAAAACGAAAACGCGATAGTGCACCGGAAATGTTTTACCTAAAATTTAAAGTTCTGTACATTTGATGAGCCTCGTAATAATCTCCATTTTTTATCGAATTTTCTAATTTTTCCAAAACTCTGGAAACTCCTCGGCACCCTGCTGCAGCCATTGTTATTTTTGTTAATATAAATGTCAATGTCAATGTCGACTAACATCTCTTCTAGTGGAATTACTCCAACTACTTGCACTAGAGCGCACTCACTCAGCTTGCATTTCAATTTTCAAGTGTAAAGTGCAATAATGTGTGTTCGAGTCGATTCAGAACAGGAACGAGCGAAATTGAACTTGTTTCAGCTTTCGATTTTTAGCGGTGCACGCTTGGAGCTCCTCAAGGTGCTTAGAGCGAGCGAGTGCAGGGTGCGAAAACGCCTATCCGATACAAAAATTCTTTCGAGTGAAGTTGGATCTTTTGATGAATAATTGGAGGTTATGTTACATAAGAAAATTCAAAACAATCGCAGATTCAAATGAAAATCTGAAGAAAAACTCAATAAAACCAAAAAAATATCAAACGTAAACCATGGCAAAAGTCTTTAACAGCCTCAGGCTGGGATTTTTACCATTTATAAGTCAGTACTTTAGCCTGGATAGTTTAAATAAACAAACCGAAACCGAACGATTAGCCGCCCCACAAATTGCGGAACAAGCCAGAAATCAGGAAACTGGCTGGGATAGAGTGAAAAAAATGTTCCAAGTGGAGTAAGCACTAATTTAATTGTAGATTTAATTGTTTTTACTAAGCATTTGCCTTTGAAAATAGTCAGTAAACTCAAAATTATGGAGGCGCTAAATGGACATCTCATTTTCTTTTTTTAATCCTCTATAGCTAATTGTGTCAGTTAAAACCGAGGGGCAAACCACCTAGGAATTATTTGCCAAAAATGTGGGGAATTTAGAGGAATTTGTGGAAAATTTAGAGGAACTTGAGGGGAATTTAAAGGAATTTATGAGAATTTGGGGAATTTATAGGGAATTTGGTGGAATTTATGGGGAATTTGGGGGAATTTGTGAGGAATTTAAAGGAAATTGTAGGGTCATGACGTCACTGAGGTTCACATTCTTATTAGGTATAAAAAATAGTAATAATTGGAATTTAAAAAAAAAGCTGGTGAGCAGTGAGCTTCTCACTTTCCTCTTTAAGTATATGCAAAACGTTTCAAAAATTTCCCTTTACTAGTTTCCCAGGAAAACTTTGAAATGTGTGAGACTGTATTTTCAACTAATTCAGTTTGTGTAGGTTGATTTCCAAGATTTTTCATGTTGCTGTTTTCCACTAGAAAATTTTGAAATTTTGGGAAAATGAGCTTCTCACCTTCCTCTTTACATGCAAAAAGTTTCAAAATTTTCCCTTTACTAGTTTTCCAGGAAAACTTTGAAATGTGTGAGACTGTATTTTCAACTAATTCAGTTTTTGTAGGTTGATTTCCAATATTCCTTATGTTGTTATTTTCCACTGGAAAAATTTGAAATTTTGGGAAAATGAGCTTCTCACCTTCCTCTTAACCTACATGCAAAAAATTTCAAAATTTTTCCTTCACTAGTTTTCTAGGAAAACTTTGAAATGTGTGAGATTGTATTTTCAATTAATTCAGTTATTGTAGGTTGATTTCCAAGATTCCTCATGTAATTTTCTACTGGAAAAATTTGAAATTTTGGGAAAATGAGCTTCTTACCTTTCCTCTTCACATGCAAAAAGTTTAAAAATTTTCCCTTCTCTAGTTTTCCAGAAAAACTTTGAAATATGTGAGACTGTATTTTCAACTAATTCAGTTTTTGTAGGTTGATTTCCAAGATTTTTCATGTTGCTGTTTTCCACTAGAAAAATTTGAAATTTTGGGAAAATGAGCTTTTCATCTTCCTCTTTACATGCAAAAAGTTTCAAAATTTTCCCTTCACTAGTTTTCCAGGAAAACTTTGGAATATATAATACTGTATTTTCAATTAATTCAGTTATTGTAGGTTGATTTCCAATATTCCTCATGTTGTTATTTTCCACTGGAAAAATTAGAAATTTTGGGAAAATGAGCTTCTCAGGTTTCTTTTTACATGCAAAAAGTTTCAAAATTTTCCCTTCACTAGTTTTCCAGAAAAACCTTGAAATGTGTGAGACTGTATTTTCAACTAATTCAGTTTGTGTAGGTTGATTTCCAAGATTTTTCATGTTGCTGTTTTCCACTAGAAAATTTTGAAATTTTGGGAAAATGAGCTTTTCACCTTCCTCTCTACATGCAAAAAGTTTCAAAATTTTCCCTTCACTAGTTTTCCAGGAAAACTTTGAAATATGTAATACTGTATTTTCAATTAATTCAGTTATTGTAGGTTGATTTCCAATATTCCTCATGTTGTTATTTTCCACTGGAAAAATTTGAAATTTTGGGAAAATGAGCTTCTCACCTTCCTCTTAACCTACATGCAAAAAATTTCAAAATTTTTCCTTCACTAGTTTTCTAGGAAAACTTTGAAATGTGTGAGATTGTATTTTCAATTAATTCAGTTATTGTAGGTTGATTTCCAAGATTCCTCATGTTGTAATTTTCTACTGGAAAAATTTGAAATTTTGGGAAAATGAGCTTCTTACCTTCCTCTTCACATGCAAAAAGTTTCAAAATTTTCCCTTCTCTAGTTTTCCAGAAAAACTTTGAAATATGTGAGACTGTATTTCCAACTAATTCAGTTTTTGTAGGATGATTTCCAAGATTTTTCATTTTACTGTTTTCCACTAGAAAAATTTGAAATTTTGGGAAAATGAGCTTTTCACCTTCCTCTCTACATGCAAAAAGTTTCAAAATTTTCCCTTCACTAGTTTTCCAGGAAAACTTTGAAATATGTAATACTGTATTTTCAATTAATTCAGTTATTGTAGGTTGATTTCCAATATTCCTCATGTTGTTATTTTCCACTGGAAAAATTTGAAATTTTGGGAAAATGAGCTTCTCACCTTCCTCTTTACATGCAAAAAGTTTCAAAATTTTCCCTTCACTAGTTTTCCAGGAAAACTTTGAAATATGTAATACTGTATTTTCAATTAATTCAGTTATTGTAGGTTGATTTCCAATATTCCTCATGTTGTTATTTTCCACTGGAAAAATTTGAAATTTTGGGAAAATGAGCTTCTCACCTTCCTCTTAACCTACATGCAAAAAATTTCAAAATTTTTCCTTCACTAGTTTTCTAGGAAAACTTTGAAATGTGTGAGATTGTATTTTCAATTAATTCAGTTATTGTAGGTTGATTTCCAAGATTCCTCATGTTGTAATTTTCTACTGGAAAAATTTGAAATTTTGGGAAAATGAGCTTCTTACCTTCCTCTTCACATGCAAAAAGTTTCAAAATTTTCCCTTCTCTAGTTTTCCAGAAAAACTTTGAAATATGTGAGACTGTATTTCCAACTAATTCAGTTTTTGTAGGATGATTTCCAAGATTTTTCATTTTACTGTTTTCCACTAGAAAAATTTGAAATTTTGGGAAAATGAGCTTTTCACCTTCCTCTCTACATGCAAAAAGTTTCAAAATTTTCCCTTCACTAGTTTTCCAGGAAAACTTTGAAATATGTAATACTGCATTTTCAATTAATTCAGTTATTGTAGGATGATTTTCAATATTCCTCATGTTGTTATTTTCCACAGGAAAAATTTGGGAAAATGAGCTTCTGAGTCTGAGGTTCCTTTTTACATGCAAAAAGTTTCAAAATTTTCCCTTCACTAGTTTTTCAGGAAAACTTTGAAATGTGTGAGACTGTATTTTCAACTAATTTAGTTTTTGTATGTTGATTTCCAATATTCCTCATGTTGTTATTTTCCACTGGAAAAATTTGAAATTTTGGGAAAATGAGCTTCTCACCTTCTTCTTTACATGCAAAAAGTTTCAAAATTTTTCCTTCACTTGTTTTCCAGGAAAACTTTGAAATATGTGAGACTGTATTTTCAATTAATTCAGTTATTGTTAGTTGATTTCCAAGATTCCTCAGGTTGTAATTTTCTACTCAAAAAATTCGAAATTTTAGGAAAATGAGCAAAATTTGAAATTTTGAGTTGATAAGCTTCTCACCTTCCTCTTTACAAGCAAAAAGTTTCAAAATTTTCCCTTTATTAGTTTTCCAGAAAGACTTTGAAATGTGTGAGATTGTATTTTCAACTAATTCAAGTTTTTGTAGGTTGATCTCCAAGATTTTTCATGTTGCTGTTTTCCACTGGAAAAATTTGAAATTTTAGAAAAATGAGCTTTTCACCTTCCTCTTTACATGCATAAAGTTTCAAAATTCTCCCCTCAGTAGTTTTCCAGGAAAACTTTGGAATGTGTGAGACTGTGTTTTCAATTAATTCAGTTATTGTAGGTTAATTTCCAATATTCTTATGTTGTTATTTTCCACTGGAAAAATTTGAAATTTTGGGAAAATGAGCTTCTCAGGTTCCTTTTTACATGCAAAAAGTTTCAAAATTTTCCCTTCACTAGATTTCTAGGAAAATTTTGAAATATGTGAGACTGTATTTTCAACTAATTCAGTTATTGTAGGTTGATTTCTAAGATTTTTCATGTTGCTGCTTTCCACTAGAAAAATTTGAAATTTTGAGAAAATGATCTTCTCACCTTCCTCTTTATATGCAAAAAGTTTCAAGATTTTCCTTTTTTTTAGAGGAATTTGTGGGGTATTTGGAGAAGTTCGTGGTGGGGTATTTGGAAGAATTTGCAGGAATTTTAAGGAATTATGCGTGAAAAATTCCCCTTTGAGGAACTGTTTGCACCGAGGTTTGCACCAATTCTGGAATGGTGGTTTACCCCTTGGTTAAAACTGACAATTAGGTGTAATTGTTAAGATTGTTACTTAAAAATGACAATAGTCACAATTGTCACTTGCAGCTGACAATCATTATATATTTTGTCACTTAGCTTAGAACTGACAATTAATTATACCTTTACCTTATAAAATTGTTACTTGGTACTGACAATTAGGTACAATTAATTGTCACTTAAAACTGAATATTGACCATAATTATCAGTTGCAACTAACAATTAGGTAAGTATTATTGTGACGAGTGACAAATGTACCTAATTGACAGTTCTAAGTAACAATTAATACCTAATTGTTAGTTCTAAGTAACAGTTATAACCTGGGACTATTTATACCACTTTAGCAGATTCTATGATTTGCTCATACTATTTCTGAGCCTCAGATCCTTGCTTAGATCCAAGGATTTGAGAAGAAGCTTCATTGGCTCATAAATCTGAAGCCAGAGCAAGAATGTTGGTGTAGTGGAGTGGTTTTATTCTTTTTACTAATCTCATTTTTCATTTCAATTGTTGTCTTATTTGAGACCAAAAAATTATTGACATTCAAAATAAATTTAAGTGCAAAAATTATTTTAATAATTTGGCTTATTGTTGGTTTCCTGTAATAATTATTTCTGTATGAATGGGTTTTTGACACAAAAGCCCACTGGGTTTTTATCATTATTGATGCTGGGTTTTTGTCTCAAAACCCCATAAGGTAAAGTACCCAGTTGTTGACATGTTAAGGGTATCCTTGCTTATGATCACCACACATTTTCCAAATTTTCAATCCCAAGGCTTTGATATATTTTTTAGCGTGATTTCAAACTCATAATTAAATGTGTAGATATATTATTTACTCTATATTCCTATTATTTGTGTTATTATGCCAAAAATACCTGAAAGGCGATAAAACCCCAATAGTTGGTCTGTGGAACTAAGAAGTATATTTTTCTAAGTGTACAATTTTTTAAATGAAATATATGCACATAATAACCAGTTATTTTAATTTTTTTAAAGTACATGTTGTGGTTTCATTACTTGACACTCTTGAAACCAATAGTTGACATGTTGCCTGTATCAGTAGAAACCCTGGTAGAAACATCAATAATGTAAGAATCAAACTTTTTATTAATAAAAAATAACATTGGGAAACTTTTTGTTGGGAAAAAAATACAAATTTCAATTCTAAATTGGTAATAAAAGAAATTGCTTGGAAAGCATTGGTAGTTCTGGTGCATATTTCAGCAATTTCCATTTTTCATACGTCATCTCTTGATTTAAACCTGGAAGGACCAATTGTTGACACTCCAAAGCTCCAAACCTTGACAGGGGTAACAGGGGTGTCATCTATCGGATCTACGACCGCTACATTCCCCTAACCCATATCTAGGTTTCTTTTTAATCCAGAGCAATAAAAAGAGACAGACTACAATTTTAAAATATTTTTACCGCCAAAAATCCATAATTTGACACTAGGTCAACATTTGGATCACCCCTCGATTTGGGCTTCAATAGTTGACACCCCCCTCCCTTAAAAAGTTTATGCCAGTTGTTTAAGAGATAAAACAATAATAAATATGTATTACAATGTATCTTATTATACAGTAAATATATATTATTCATAATTTATCAACCCTACCTTGGCTTTGAGAACTTTTGTTTTTATATCTTCTTAACTATTTTCACTAGAAATCTGGGAAAAAACTCAAACATTTGCACCTGTTCACTACTTCTTGCCACAATTTTAAAAAAACTTGTCATTTCAAATCCATACATCAGCTATAGCCTGAAAGATGGCTCCAACAATACTATAAGCTATTTCAGTTAGCTTATAACCTATATAAATTCTTATTTTCGGGAATAATATGCTAATGTGTCAACTTTTGGGACCCTGTCAACAACTGGGTACTTTACCTTACTGGGTTTTTAAAATGGGTTTTTGTGAAGGTATGGAAGAGATTCAAGAAAATTGAAGGAAATCTGGGGAGATTCTGGAAAATCTGAGCAGATCTATGGGAGATGTGAGGGATATCTGGGGAAATCTGAGGGAAATCTTACTGAGTGAGACAGTGCGTCCGTTCAGATTTCAATTTTCTTATACAATGTGAAGAAAAACACCAACACACACACACATTGTATAATTAAACACGGGTCTCTTTGAGCCATGAACTATTTTTTCAAATTTCAATTTTTTCTTTATTGAGAATATTCAAGAGAATATCTTGATACCAGGTTTTCCACTATAGCTTTGATATTGCCAGGAAAGTAATAGATCAAGAGAAATTGCACATCTTATATTGAGATGACCTCAGTAGTTGTTGTGTTCTGGCTGGGCACTTGTGCTGGTATCCTATGAAAAATTAGGGAGGTGTTGCAAGGAGATAAAGAAAACTGGAAAAACCTTAGGGGGGTCCTGGGTAATGTGGTGAAATCTGTGGATATCTTTTGCATGAAAATATCTCTTGGTACACTTAAATATGTTGTGACTAACGTTCTGCGCTTTTATATAAAATAACCATCCAATTTCCATTAATATTTATGTAGCCAACACTTGAATAAATTCCCACTTACTTAAACTAAAGATTGTGCTGCTTGAAAGTCCAATTGCACAAACCTTGTTTTAGTGAATTGGGCAACCTTACACCCGAATTTAACTCAATAACACAAAGTGCCTGTATGAGCATGTTTGTGGGAGGCTTATTCGGAGGAACCGCGGCAGGCAAAACGGCGTACGAAAAATTCATGAAAAACAACGAGGCGACAACTTTCAAGTCACATTTAGATGCCAAAGTTAGTAATATGTTTTAGGATGAAACTTAAAAATGAAAAATCTTCATTTTTACAGAGAGAACTTCAAGATGCTGTTACTAGGGCTTTTTCAAAGGGGGCTCTTAAATGGGCTACAAAATTGACAGTGTTTTCAGTTTCATTTATGTAAGTAGGTAATATAATGATATTAAAAACTGTATTAAATTTTTAGAGGTCTTACAACATTAATACAAGTGTATAGAGGCAAATATGGGGTGATGGAATATGTAGGTGCGGGTGCAGCCACTGGATTTTTAGTTAAATTTAATGGAGGCCCTAGGACTTGGGTAGTGAGCAGTGCTGTTGGTAGGTTTTAAAAATTAAAAAAAAAAATAACAAATAATTAAACACCCTTAAAAAGGTTCAACGTTGGGGCTGATTTGCGGCGGCACAACATTGGGTATACTAAAACTGTCCGGTCTTTCAATGGAAGAAGCCAGATACTGGCAGCAGAAATGGAAAAATCACCGGAGTGAACACTTCAGGAAAGGTATAGCTGACTATTTGGAAAAGGAAGATTTTGCTGTGATTAAAATTCATAACGATGAAGTTGGAGAAGCTGGTAGGAGTTTAGATAATTTGGTTGAGGAAAAGGTTGAATTAAGTAAATAAATTATTTTAATGTAGACAAAAAAATGGTTTTTAGTTTTTCTGATAAGCAAATTCATATTGTGTTCTTGAAATGTTTGCTAACAACTTCCAAAACTTTTTCCACTAATATACCCTGTATGAACTTATGAAGTCAACATTTTTGAAAGTCTGTGATGTGGATTTAAAAAAAATTGATTGCGATATACAAGGTGGTTTCTGAAGACAATATAAAATTGGTCACTGAGAAGAAATGCAACAAATTTGTAAAATTGGCTCTCAACTTTGGCCTGTAAGTTTTGAAATTCTCATTGGTTTACTTTAAATTGGGCCAAAAAGCATTTCCCAACAAAAATTTTTTAGTAGGATGAAAGTGAACGAGTTTTGTATTGTTTTCAGAAAGCACCCTGTATATTTCAAATAAAACTAATCTACTGAGTGAGTACGTATACCTGTTTATTTAGGTTTTTTCCGAAAATAGTTGGAACAAGTTAAAAAAAATTGAATATGGTTGTTTCAACAGACTGTGGTAAGTAAAATATATATTATATTATATAAGAAAGTCTAAATTGTTGTGGGGGGGAATTACAGGAGGAGGAGGAGTAGTACTAGTAGTAGTTGTAGTACTAGTAGTAGTTGTAGTAGTAGTACTTGTAGGTTGCAGTGGAACATCAGAAAGTTGGCAAATATAGTTTCGATGACTTTGGCAGGTTTGTTCTTCCCATTGGTAAGGATTAACTGGTCCAATATCCGTACCCATTTGAATGCAAAAATCGTTTACTCCATCACCATCTCCAGGTTGATTTTTGGCCCAATTTTTGAAGCCGACAACCTCTTGTGTTTCGATCCACACCCATCCGCCATTGTTGCGTCTAATACCACCAAGCCAGTAAGTATCTTGAAAGAAAAATTAGAGTTTTATGTGTTATTGAACTTTTGCCGGGTCGCTTACTCTTTTCGGTAATTCCTAAATTTTCTAAATATGATTTTAAGTCATTTAAAACTGTTTCGTTTTCTATCCTTGCCATTTCCATTGAACGGGTTTTACAATCGATCATTGCTTCAATAAAAGATAGCTGGAAAATTTAATTTTTTACTCTTTGAATATTGAAAAATGGATTGTAATTACTTACATTAGACTGTGAAACATAATACCTATCAGTGGCCGTTGTGAATAATACTGATGTTAAAATCAAAACCAAGGTACAAATAATTGGTTTCATCATGTTTGATTATCAAGACTACTGAGAAGGAACCAGAATAATACTGCAATTAGATTAGGGCGTATTTGATATATATACCTACTTATTATAGTAGTAGTGGTTATCTTCAAGTGGAAAACTATTGAATTTAAAGTGTTGTTTCATGTTATAAGATACTTAAAATAATTTTCAAAAGAATCCCACATCGGTTATTGCATTATATCTTGAGAGGATGTGTAAATATGATAAAACTTTTTATATAAAACCTCACATAAACCTTGTAACTAAAAAAAAAAAAATATTTTCCTGTAAATGTGTTCAAGTTGCAATTGATATTATTATATTATATAATCTAGTATATTATAAGAGTCTTTGTAATTTGAATTGCCCGACTTCCACACCTTGATCCATAAAAATCTTCAGTGGATATTCCAACCAAGGGTTTGTACTTAGGCATTGTGGTCTTTTGTGCTGGATCCAGAGCGAAATAGCCACTTTGCTTCTTAGGTTGATGATCCAGAAAACTGCGCAGACTTCCTACCTAATATTAAAATATTAAATATTAAAAAGGTAAAACTGGAAAAAACTTGAAAAGGTATATTTATCAGCATTCGATCCAGAAGCCTGTGCTATGATGATAATGATATCAGCCTAAACTAGACATACAAAAAATATACTTGCAACAAGAATATTTCTGCCAGAATATAAAAGATGATCACTTCTCTCCATCTGGAAAAAAATAAACAATTTGTATATTGAAGTAAGTAATTACCTTTTTAGACACACCACTGTTTTCTGTAAATATAGGTACCAACGAAGACTCTGAAGGTGGACATTTGTGCTATGTATCCAAAATTTCAAATTTGATAATGCCATAACCAACCTTGTATCCCGTACAGTTATCGAAATCCCCATGCTTACTCACGAAATTGTGACACCCTGTATAGCACAAGAATAGCTCATTCAATGATAGGGGCTGGATTATAGGAAAATACAAAAGGGGTTTTAAAATAAACAAATTTCTGGACAAAATAAAATACATATATTTTATTACTGAATTACTTCTACATACAGACCGGACCATAATCTACTAGACACATAGGAAGTAATAAGAGGAATTAGCTTGTACCCGGAGGCGACGATCCTACAGTGTAATGCGGGTATCAGTCAACTGGTCCCATTGAAACCTTAGTCTCTAGTAGCCTGGTCCTGTCAGTATATTACAGGCAAAGATTGTTTTTTCTCTCATAACTATTTTATATTTCAAAAATTCAAAAAACTCCCTATCTTTTCACTGAATACAAAAAACTGGCCACCGTATACAAAATCCGACTCAACTGTAACAAAAAAAAAATCAACTACAAAATCTAGATACACACAAACCAAATAATAATTACCTCTTTAAACAATTCACAACTAACAGTATGCACCGATAAAACCGAAATACTCATGCCTTTTGTAAATTGCGTCAACAACATCAAATAGATTTTTTGCGAAGCCGCGTTCCAATTGTACCAATCCAGATCGTACAATTCGAATGCCAAATCCAAACTCTGGAAAATTAGTTTTAATTGGGCTAAAAAACTATGAAAATCTTACCGCGTCTAAATAATCTTGACCAAAATCGCAAATAGAGAATCCGAAAACAAGATATGCTAGTAAAAGGCATATTGCTTGCAGAGAAGAGATTTGGGGCTAAAATAATGTGTTTACTTAAATACCTACCTATACTTAAGAGTGTCTAATACCGAGAAATATCCAAGAACTGAAGAAAGTCCTATAAATAACCCATTAAAAATATAAATTAAATATTCACCCTGATTCTCTAAAATTCTCTCGTGCGTCCTAAAATATAATAATTATTAGTCTTGAAGTTTCATTTAATATATTTACCGTATTATGTCTAAATGCTTCTTGATAATAAGTTTCAACTTCATTATTACATATGTATTATACAACTTTGTTTTCGATCGCTCTTCGGCAAGCTTTTCAAATTCAACTTTCAACTTGTTGATGTATTCAGCCAATAGCAGCATTTGAATTTTTACATAGAATATACTATAGAGGTAACTTAGGGGTATCGCCAAGCTTGGAATCGTTAACATTAAATATGTAAGATAAATGAGGAAATAGATGAAAGTATAAATTATAGAATCTGTAGATAAATAACGTTTCAAAATGACCAAGAACGCCAACAGTTCATCACCATCATTGTGCCAATAGTAAATACTCACAAAGATATTTAGCAAGACTACAACTATTTGAGTTATAAAAGTAATTCTTAATTTCTTAATAGTAGTCGAAAGTTTTTCTTTGATTTTAAAGCTGGTTTCACCAAAATCTACCAAAAACATTGACTGGAATTTATCAAAATAAAAAACCAAAGTTCTCGTGATTACAACGCGATAGAGAAGATTTGTTGTAACTATCTGAAAATGAAAAGTACAACTAAATAATTTAATTTAATTCAATTTACTCACATACAAGCAGCCCAAATGGAACATTGAGTATTGCAAAATTAAACCGAAATCCAACATTTCTAGAAAATAAATCGATTGAACGATAATGATTAAACTGAAACTTGCAATGGTAAATAACGAAAATGGTTTGAAGAATCGAGCAATTAGGAAGAAATAGTAAATTTCAGGCAGCGGATGAGAATCTACCTCCATGATGAAAGTTTGTTTGGCAAAAAAAACTTAAATTTGATAACTCAACGTAATATAAAGCTTTTATTTACAAGAACATTGAAGCTTGATGATCGTCCTAATGTTTATTACCAGGCACTCAAAAGTAGCATGTTAATTCATTAAAATAAATGTTATAACTTTTATAACAATAATTAGTGAAAATAATGAGAGTAATTTTGTCAGTTATTGTATTGCTTATTAATAATTGAAAAGGCATTTCAAGAATCGACGGGCAAGGAAATGAATCAGATGAGAATGTTGGATAAACTGATATTCATATCAGTGAAACAAAAATTAATAAACTAAACTTTGATTATTAGTCTATACTCTGCTAATTTATATCGCAGCTATGGATGACTGAATGTGTTTATAATAGTTTTTATATGTAAGATAAACAGATGAGGAATCGTTTACTTAAGAAAGGGTTTGTAATTCTTTGTCTTGACGTTGACTCAGTTCCTATAGTTATTTCTATGAGTTCACACGCTCCATGATTTCCACGCTGTGTTCGATATAATAAATATATTGAATATCGATAATTAACAAGTTCTTTTATTGCTTAGCCCATTTCCCAATAGGTTATGGGACCAGTGTACGTGTACTCATTACGGTTGTGGGAACCGGGAGTGTTTAATGTGAGTGACAATAGAAAATTTGAAACTAAAAAGAAACAAAAGGCTTCATGCTAACAGAGCTTGAACTTAGATAAGAACACCAGAGCTCAGCAATTTAGAAATAATTATCGTTGAGGATATTTTAAAATCGATTTTAAAAGACTCAATTTCAAAAACAAAAAAAAATCAATTCTCTGAAACACAATGAAAAAAGTGAAACAAAACAAAGAATATAGGTAGTTTAAAGTGAACAAGCATCAACTCAACACAGTGTGGAAATAACTGATTTCTCAAAAACTATTGGATAAACCGCAATTTTTTTTTTTTTAATACTCTATAGAAGACCCTCTTTCTCATGAAATTTAAAATTTTGCAAAATTCGTGTGTCCGTAAAGTGTACCGGAGCCCAAAACAATTCCATCAATAAAAAAAAAAGGAACTCTTATAACAGCAACCAAAAAGAGCACAATTAGTGTTCCCAGTAATATGGGCATACAGGAAAGTCTTTAGTATAGGCTGGACTGTCCAGAGATTCCTTACAATTTGCTGTCCGTAAGAAAAATGCAAAGGGCTAGTATGACTATTGCTTTTAAAAAAAAGTGTTAGTATTTACAAAGGCGGTAAGCTTATAATTTATGGGTAAATCTTTGAACACTTTAATAATAATTGCTCTTGAACTCACTGTTATTGGAAATTTAAAAAACACTATTATTCAAGCACATAGTGACAATTAAATATAAATAAAAATTATCAATTGTGGTTTGAACGTTTAGGCCACATTGGTAAGGTTCAAATTATTAAATTATTATTAGAAAAAAAAAAACAGAGATCGAGGACAATGAGTATTTATGTGGAGCGGGCATAAACAAGCGCGACTTCCATTCCAAAAACATTGTACTGTTTGTGCATGAATTTACTCACTATTGTGTTACATATTTGATGAGTCATAAGTCATATGTATTTTGTATGTTTCAAGATTTACTTAGCTACTGAAATGAGAGATTTTTGGTATGCAAAAAGGTAAGTCATCATTTGACAATTCCATGAACCCCACAAATTAAATGGTGCAGCTATAAAAAAAAAAGCTTCTGGGATGAAGGAGGCAGTTTTAACTGCAACATTCTCACTTAGTTTGACCCCTACTAAAACTTTAAAAGAATTTGAAACACCATACGAAATGTGGCGTAGTAAAAAGCCTCAAGTAAAATATTCATAAGTGTTTGGTTCCATAATAATACCGTTTATAGGTAGGGGAAAGCCGCCAACAGTGGCCAGGTCCCGACAGTGGTCATTCCGTTATAATTCGGAAAAACTTTGTCAGTCAAAGGCCCCCACCACTTTACATTGCGCGTTTAGTTGTATGATTCGACCCGCAAAACCTTGAGGCGATTAGTTCCATTTTGTATGAGCTAGAGTGAGAATGTGAAAATTCGGGGCGAAAACGTAGATTTTGAGGTAAGTTTCCAGTGCTTTCACACCTTTTGCTGAAATGATTTCCGAAAAAGTATTTTTTCAATAAAAGCTGTGGTGCTTTGACTCTAATTTAACGATATTTAAATTCTCAAATTGATTTGTTTTTTTGCTCAAAATCTATTTTTTTTATTCAACATGTGGTGTTCCCTACGGTGGTCACTACAGCGTTCCGTACAATGGCCACTACTTACCTGGTAATTATAGGGGTGGCCACTGTCAGTTAATTTTTTTTCAGAATATGGCAGCATCAGAGCGTCCAAAGCTGGGTCATGGCAAAATATTTGAAAATACAATAAAGGCAGCCATACGCCTTGTTCAAGACAAATAAGAAGTTTTGCTTATGATTTCGCGAAACATTTCAACAAAAAAATGCCCCAAGCATGGGTTGACAATCAAAGCGCAGGAAAACACTGGTTCGCAGGGTTTATGGAAAGAAACCCATCTGTATCTCTACGACGGTCTGCTGAAGCTACATCTCTGGCAGGAGCTGTAGGATTCAACAGAGTTATGGTCGGAAATGTTTTTGAAAATTTGAAACAACTGTATGAAAAAAATGATTATCACCCATCGCAGATTTGGAATGCAGATGAAACAGCATTGACAACTACTGTTTAAGGCACAAACAAAGTTTTCACAGAAGGGACAAAAACAAGTGAGCCAAGTCACCTCAAGTGAAATAGAAACCATAAATGCTATTGGGAACTTCGTGCCACCGCTTTTAATATTCCCAGGAAATTTTTTTCAAAGACCAACTTAGTTTTTCCCTTACGTTTGCTTATTAGCTATTTTCTAAGATAGTAAAAACAAGTTATATTGACATTTTTTTCAAATTTATTGGTGGCCACTGTTGAGGTTGATGATGGCCAGTGTAGGAGTATGTCCCCGACAGTGGCCAATTTGATAAACATATTGAAATACAAAATTCACAAGAACAAAATGATAGTTTTTGAAAAAATGATTTATTCTGGTTAAAGATAAATATATTTACTGTATGAAAAATTATTAAACGCGTTTAAATTGCTTCAGATAAAAAAGTAGTACGCGGTTCTTTGAAAAGGTGGCCACTGTTGGCGGCTCTCCCCTACATAAAAACCAGGAAAACAAAATTTGATATCAAATCCTGGAAAGCTGTACTGGTTGGTTATGAACCAAATGAAAATAAAGTGTGGGATGTAGATAATCATAAGTTTGTTGTAGTTAGGGATATTATTGTCAAGGGCGGTTTAAAGGGGGGGGGGGGTAATTACCCCCCCCCCAGACAAAGTTTTTTTTTTAATACATTTATCAATTACAATAAAATTTCAACAAAAGACAAGTTCTACAAAGTAAAGGAATAAAGGCATCGTATGAATATGATAGGCTCACCAGTACCGACGTACCTACCAAGGTTCCTAAAGTTCATAGGTTGTCTGGTAATAGGTAACTTGATGACGCATCTGGGGGCCCTATCACCGGCGTATACAAGGGGGGGGGGGGGTAATGGGGGTAATTACCCCCCCCCCCCCCAAGATCGTTGCGATGGACAAAAAATATGTACCCTACACTTCACAAATAAATCTATTTTTTTAGAGATGCCACGAATAGTGATTTGGCCGAATACCGAATATTCGGCCACGCTCTCGTTTGTAGCGCCGAATATTCTGCCGCCGAATATTAGGCGGCAGATCTGTGGGTTTTGTGCGTTAACAAGAGGTTAGAGGTCGTATTTTCGAATATTCTCGTATACGAAATTTGATACGATTTTGAATGTTCCCCATTTAATTTACATTAGTGTCAGCCAAATTTCGTGTATGAAGTGTACTCGAATGAATTCGAAAATACGACCCCGAGGGGTATGATTATCGAAACCATTCGAGTACATTTCGTATACGAAATTTGAGATAATTTCGAATGCCCCCCATTTAATTTACATTGCTGTCAGTCAAATTTCGTGTACGAAATGTACTCGAATGGTTTTCAAAATCGCACCCCTGGGGTGCGATTTTCGAGACCATTCGAGTACATTTCGTACACGAAATTTGACTGCTCCCCATTTAATTTGCATTGCTGTCTGTCAAATTACGTGTACGAAATGTACTCGAATGGTTTCGAAAATCGCACCCCTGGACCTGTCTCATTCTCATCGCATCGCCTCCGGTAACGACGGAATTTGGTTCACTTGAAAATATATAGTGTCACAATACGCATTAGCTATATTCTTTTGATCCCACGTTATTACTTATACTACTATGTATCTTTAGCCAAAAGTTATCAAAATAGCACCAGTAATTAATAAAAAGTCGCCTATTTGATATATTTTAAGTATTTGATTCATTGTGACTTGTTATT